AATAAAACCAATGATAACATTAACAGGCATTCGTTATTTATATTGTTCACTTTCTAAGAATCAATTAAAAAGGGAAAACAGCATAAATACAATTAATTGACGTGCAAGATAAATAATTCAAAAGCGTACTTTTACGTGAAGCAATTAAATGTGTTTTAGTCGGGTGTGCCCAACTAGAAATTACCCTGAACTGATGTTAAATAAATACCGGCATACACAAACATGTGTGCTTCTTTCTTCTCGGTGTTTCTAGCCCAATATTTATGAAACTTTCAGGATACCAAAGTGGCAACCAAATATGTGTATATACCAAAACCCAAGGCTATACATCTAATAAACATTTTCTTGACAGCAACTGAGGAACTTATCCAAAGCTAAAGTATTCTAAATGTGTGTATACTAACCTAAAGCTCCTATAATTATCGAGTGATGCTTAAAAGAAAAGCCAGCTTTTAAACTATTTATTTAATTTATCAAAAAGAAATGACAAGCTCCAGCTGTGTCTGATATACGTTAATATATATTTCAGACTTTAAGTCTTTATCATTTCTAATTGCTGTGATCGCACAGACGGGCGGGCCCAATGACATATGGACGCGGCTAGATCGACTAAGTTAATTTAACTGATCAGAAATATGTATTTAACCCTGTCTTCGCATAGGTATACATCGCAAAAAGTATGAAAAGCAACTAGATAATCCTGTTTTCCCATTGAATACATTGATTGACTTTTCCTTAATTGTATTGTCAGAGCTGTGAGTGCATTGTCTGGCGTATGTTTGACGTGACGTCTGCTCGGTTACAGCTGGAAATCAGCACTCAAGTGCATTAGCCACGCCCACACACAGCTGGCGACTACTTTGGCCGGATGGGTAAGCTTAAGTGCAGCTCGAACGCGCATTTCGCACGCCAGCTCAAACAAGTGGGCCGCAGACGGGGAGCTGCACATAAAAATAAATTCAATAAATATTTAATACATTTGATTCAGCAACAATGACAGCGGAATCGCATTTTAGCAGCACTTTCCACCGCCAAGGCCGGAGCTCAGGTGAAAAAACAAACTCCCCTGACAGCTCAATGAGCTGTGCCGTGTGCCGGGACGCGGGGGCTGTTATGTAAGGCGTATAAAACTAACGGTAACAGATACCAAGAAGCGCATAACTTTTGCATAAATCTCTCATAGTTGTTAATGCAAACCGCGCCTGGCAGCCCCCAGCTCTTAGTTCCCAGTCCCCAGTTGCCAGCTTCCAGCTGGCAGTTGGCAGTTGGCAGCCGTCGCACGTTCGAACTTTTCGACAAACAAAAAAAAGAAAATGCAAACAGAAAAAAGGCTGCATGGGAAATAAGCTGGTTAGCTAAAAATATATATAAAAGAAACAAAATGAACACAAAAACTGAACGCAAACACCAGCGCGACCCTGGCAATTTTGAACACTGACCGCTGGCTTCCATATGTATGTCCGACTAATCCCCGACATACATACGCCAACTTATATCACTCACGCTCGCACATTTTACCTTTTCCTGTTCCACACATATTGCTATCTATCGAATTTATGTGTGTATGTATGTGAATCCCAATCTATTGTCCCTTTGGCCGCCAAACCATATTTCTGTGTGTGCGTCGTGTGTGTGTGTGTGTGTGTGTGTGTGTGGGCTGATAATTTGTCACATTCTGTGTAGCATACCAATAGGGGCTCGTGTCATGCGTTGAGATAAGCTTATGCGACAGCTTGATAGCTTCTGCATGACAGCTGCATTAAATTTTAAAAATTAATAGAATAGTTCTCGCAATAATATATTCGAACAATTTAATTTGGTCACAACTAATTAGTTACGATGTTAACAAACGCTGGCTTAACTGATTAACTTGCAGTTTAACTGTTAATTGCTAACAACTTGTTACCAACTAAATCAACTTTATATTGCAATTTTAATTTTATTTATTTATTATTTATATATTATTTTAAAGATTTATTTAAGAGCTCCCAATATATTCAAGTTGCATTTCGCGAAAAGCTGATTCCAATTGAGGCCAAGTCAGTAAAGATAACTTATTTCACAAAACTCAAATTAATAATAAATTAGACTAATATCCTTATCAAACCATTGTTGAGGGTGTTATAATTTTGTCATGAAATGTGTTACTCATAGAAGGAGATATCTCCGACCCGATAAAGTATATATATTTTGAATCGGCATCAGCAGCCGAGTTGGCATAGCCATGTCCGTCTGTCTGTCTGTCTGTCCGTCTGTCTGTCTGTCTGTCTGTCTGTCTGTCTGTCTGTCTGTTTTCCTGCAAACTGGTCTCTGACTTCCGTCTTTCTGTTGCGGGCAGTACACTTGTCGGAACCGGCCGGAACGGACTGCTATATCATATAAATGTGATAGGAACAATCGGTCCAAAAGATGGTTCTTGTATGAACCACTTTTTGTTTATCAAGATATATTAACCAAACTCGTGATTTATAAGTATCGCTATGCTCCTCATATATATGCAAAATCTTATCATCAAAATGATCAATATGTATATATATATTTAGGTTTCATTTTTAAATTAGAAGTGACATTCAGGTCATAGTCCATGTTAATGCTCCATAATTATCAAAAATAACATAAAGTCTTCTAAAAGTCCGAATAACATTTATTTCAACAGTATTTACACAGTTTATAGTCATTTAATATTATATGTTTTGTTTAAACTCAATTAAATTTTTAAAACCTGTGCAAATTTTAAACTTAAATCAATTACGCAACTTAGCAGGGGTATTCATACAAACAGCATTTTATTGCATCCACTTTCGTCGGCTTTTCTGCGCGTTTTTCAATTGTTGCCCATTTATCAAACTCCGCGTCCGCCCAGGGCATTCCGTGCAACATTTTAGGTTCTTGTATTTTAAAAATTTTATTCGTGTTATTTCGTTTCTGGTTTTATGCTGTATACACACACCAACACACAGAGCATCAGCCTGAGGCCACTTTGAAGAATATTTTAGTGACTTTGGCAGCGTTTGAAACGTTTACCTTTCAGCAGAAGCGCAAGCAACAAAAATAAATAGAGTTTTCATGTTTGTTTGTTTTTTTTCTCTGTTTTTATTGCAGCAAAGGATATTACGAGTGTTTTTGCATTGCCCAAGCAGCCATCAAATAGCAGTGCACCTGTTTGGCTAATAGATTTTAAGCCCCATGCAAACTGGCTTAGCTCCGAAAAGCATTCAATTTGCTCTAAGCTGCTCCCAGCAGCCAAATCGTGTTGCAAGAGGCTCATTCATGCCACATCAGGCACTTTGCATAATTAAAATTGCACCTACAGCTGGACAGCTGGACAGTTGGACAGCTGGAGAGTTGGACGGCAGGAACTTGATTGGTGGCCTTTGGCTGTTGGTCAGCAAATATTTTAGACAAAAGACCAAGTAATTATCATTATATAGTAGCTGCCCACGGGCTGCCTGTCAACGTTGACCCGATGACTTTTGGCATTTGGTAAACGTATTGTCATGCATGAATCAAGCAAATTTCAGCAGTTGACTTTTGACCCACAGATGCAATTAACTTGGCCTGCGGCTTGCCTCATAAACGTTTCTCCCATTGCCAATGGCAACTGGGCAAAATGCAAATACTCATATCATTATTATGCGCACCTAGGATTTTTGCAAAAGCTTAACAGAGAAATATGCAAACAACTAGCAGCTGGCTAAAAGAAGTTGGTAAATCCTTGCAAATGGGTACAAGCGCAAGTTGAAAGTTGCAAGCAAGGGGAATATGCATAAAAGATTCCTTAAAATGTTTTTGCATTACTAATTTAAGATATAAAATAATAATTAAAATAATTTAAATAACAATTTGTATTCACACATATTGTCGATCAAACATCCGAATAAGCCAGAACTTATAATTTCCTTCAACAAAAACCGTTATCATCTAAAAAAGATTTAGTCGATTGAATTAAGAAAAAAAACAATTTAGGAAAATTATGTGCCATATCTATATATCTTAATTCAATAACAAGTAAGAATGCTCTAGTCGGGAGTGCACGAATAGGGGATACTCTGAACATACTTCAACCAAGTATGAAGGATACTTACTCTGTATATACTAGCCATTGAAACCTAAAAGATTTGCCAAAATTTCGCGAAAATTTGAAGTTTTTAGTTGTGAAAGACAGATGGACATGGCTAGATCGACTCGAATATTGATGCTCATCAAGAATATATATAATTTATGGAGTCGGAGATGATTCCTTCTGCCTGTTACAACAAAATATTATACCCTTTATTTCCATGGTTTTCGGGGTATAACAACGATGAGCTTAGCCGCAGAAGCAGTTAGTTAAAAATTATATGTAAACAAAATATTACATTTTCACAGAGAAAACATCTCAAAAATGTTTATTTTTTTTGGGTAAAGCATTGAATTGAACCAACAAAATAGTTTAATTTGATTTAAAACTAATTCCCAAAACGTATAAATAATTTACAAAAGGCTTTCCGAAATTATTTTACTAACGTTTCAAATGTATATCATATCTCGCCCCAATCTAGTTAGTAGCTGTTCATTATTTACCCATAGAAACCCAGTCGAGGAGCAAATAAAACACAAAGCGAGTAACACATTTAATCTCAATTTATTCTTAAACTCACTGACAATGCAAAAAGTTTTCGTACATTTATCTTATTTGCCAATTTTACCAATTTCGAATCGATCGATTTTTGCGGTAATTTCGTGTTGCGAAATGTGGAGAAAGAGTTCGCATTGTAATCGTAAATTGCATTTCAATTTGTCTTTGAATGACTTTTCATTTTGTATTCTTTTCATGGTTAATTGCTAAACAAAGTGCACAGATATACACAGATACACACACATACATACACAATGATGTAGCATATTTATAAAACATATATTTGGATTTCTATTTAATTTTTACAATTTAAATATTTAGTATTTGGGCAATTTATAAAGATATTTGTTTAATTCAAATTGATTTAAATGACATGCATTGTTTAAAAGTCGAGTTGCTCCCTATTAACCAAAACTATGTGTGATAAATTTACAAACGTTTTCATTGAAAATATATATACTATATATATACAGATATTTTCTACTATAATCGAATATCAAATAAATAAATAGATCTGGCAACCCTGTTTGTGGTTTGGATTGTAAACACATGCGATTGCTTTTCAAGCAGCTAAAGTATCTTAGGTAGATAAGATAGACAAAGGGCTTTATTGAACTTTGGTCTACATATGTTGCATATTGGTCTAGGAACAGACTAGTTTTCAATTCGAAGTGTATTTTAATTTCACATATTCATATTCACAAGGTAGGTTTAAAAAAATATGATTATCCTGAAGATACTGTGGCCTCTAGATTATTGTGTCCGGAAGTGCTCTACAACTAGAATACATAAATATACAGTATACATATATATGTTATATAATTGTCTAAATCGTCGCTCTCAATATGTGCTATCAAAACATGCTCCAAAAATACCCGAAACTGCATTCTCTGATCAGCTCCAGCTTGACATACAAAACTCTTACAAATTCCTTACAAATCTATCATAAGCGACGGTTCACTGTGCTATGCTATTTCCCATATGTGCAGGAATATTGGGTAGGTTTCTAGGTGTTTCAAATTGAATAGACACAAATATTCGAAGAAATCATGACTAATGGCAACAATTGTTGCAATCCATTTAACAGGACAACTCCGTAGATCGTCGTGCTGCCTCGCTCTGAACACAATAATCGCTGTCCTTCAGCTCACGCCCGGTGATGTCTGCCAGTGAATTGGGATCCATATTCGATAGCTTATCCAAATCGGCATCGTTGAGCAGATTCTGCTGCAGCTTACCCACCAGCTTGCGTAGGCGCTGAGCGTCCAGTGAGCTACGGCGCATATTTGCATTATAATCGCTGGGCTGTAAAGACGGACATAATTTGCACAGTGAAGCGTGGTTAAAACGTAAAGTAAACTTACATCCCTCCACTGTTCGCCGGGGAAAACGGCAATTAACTCTGCATTCGCCTCCAGTGTGGAAAAATACTCCTCATCATCAATTTCTGTGCCGTCGCAGTCCAAATGAATCGCCGGCTGAGCTCGCTGAAACTTTGCGGCCACCTTGAGGCGCAGCTCGGCCAATGTTGTGGCTACAACGGCCTTGCGTATGTTACGTGTGATATCCTTGACCTGTGTGTGTGTGTGGGATGTTAATTAGTTTTCATTGCCCAAAGAGTGCGCTGTTACAAGCCCAATATTATCAAAGCATTCAAATAAATGCTTACTGACTGTCGCTTTAATTCTTCGTCAATGTCATGCCTGCCACTACGAATTTCTCTATTCCATTGTCAAAAGCAAATACGTTACATAACATGCTTGGTTCCTGTTTGCTTATCTTAGCCTTGTCATTTTCCCTCCATGTGCACTTTCCAACACTGTCCGTGAAGCTGTAACATTCTCAATACTGAACAAATTTCCTGCTGTGACACCTAATTGTTTATTCTTAAGAACTTGTGCCTTAAATTCTCTCAGCTTTTTATTTTGAAGAGGACAAACACTTATTTAAATGTCCTTGAATTGAGTTACTTCTTCGATTTTTAAATGAAAAAAGTTGGTAAATCGATTTTAATGATTGTATGGCTTAGCTCTAGATTTCCTTTAAGGGACTTTAGATATTTCTATAATATATAAGCCGATTAATATTATCTCTTTAGCAACTATTTGGAAACAAAAATTACAAGAGTATTTAATCTTTGGCAAGTTCGAAAGTAAAATTTCATTCTTGTTATTATGAAATGCTTTAACATGAATGGAGCTCACGCTGGGACACTTGATTGTATGTACTCGACAGCATACAAAAAGTTAACGACTTTCGTTCAAAATTCTCGCACCCATTTAATTATTATGAAAATGTCACTTCTTTTGATTGGACGCAGGCGTGAAACAACAAAGCAGAAGGAAAGCGAAAGAAAAAACAGAAAAAAGGAGAAATCAGAAACGATGTTAGCCTTAATTTCAAATGTGCCAGAAGCATTCTATTATGACCGCCTTCTGTTAAGCTGCCAATAAAAACAATAAAAACAAAAGTCAGCGAAGCGCAAGACTGCGATACGGAGGTAGTACTATATTATACAAGGGCAACCGAAGCCAGCAACTAATCAATTTATAATTTGCCAATGGCAATAAAGCCACAACAATAACAAAAACAACCCTAGCATGTCATGCGTTCAGGTACCGTATTGTGTTTCGGGCTCAAAAAGATGCTGGCCTGCTTAAAGATGGCCTGCTTAATATTTAAAGCGCAACGCTGTCCATGTGAAATGCCCAAATGCGAGAGATCTGAAGCTAAGTGGAGGGGTAGGATAAACAAAATAAAAGGACAAAGAAGCACTCAGCAAAAGGTAAGCAGCCCGAACGAAGCTGGCGTATTGTATGGAACGCCCTTTTATTAATATTAAGTATACGTCATGCTGTACACAATTGTGGGTGGAACATCTGATAACTGAGCCAACACGTGGCATTTGATCGATCTAGGTTTGAGCCCACATCATCATAAGCATCATTAACATCATCATCATCATCATCAACAATATTATCTGCATGGCCTTAAAGTCAATGACATGTGAGGGCGACACTGTCTGGGCGCGACAATGGAGCTGTCATTCCATTAAGCCAAGAAGCAGCACCTACGCCAGCTGCTTATCATATCAATCATTGATCGCCACGTCTGCTAAAGCAATTATGATGTCTGGCAAATCCATCAACTGGCCAACAATGTTGCGTCTGGCAACAACAATGAAAATTTATCACGCATTTTATGCGAATTTCCATAAACGACGCACGACAGGAGCAAACTGACCGCCTTCCTTTTAGTCGGGCCACTTGGCACTTGGCTTGGCTGGGCGTGTTAACCATTAAACTTATGTTTACATTTGGCATAGCCCGAACTGAACTAAACCAAGCTGAACAGCACTGAACTGACTTTTATTGTGTTGCTCAACATGTTGGCGCACGAGGTTAGATCAACAAGTTATTTGCCAGACTAATAGCTGATGTCGAAGATCGATAATTATTGATTAAGCTACCCTTCGGTAATAGGTTATACTGTTGATAGAACTTACAATTGGGGCACTATTTATTGTTATAAACTCTTTATCCTGATTGATTGACTGACTGATTCGCTTACTGATTAACTGATTAGTTGACTAACTGACTAATTGACTGATTGACTGACGGATAATTCGACACGCAAGTGCCGAAAATAGGAGGAAAACGACTGTTTCCATTGACCTGAAACTCATTTTAAGAGATTTTCATAAAATGCATTCGAGTTTGCTCCGATCAGCTTTAAAGTAATGTTCCACTTTTTACATAAATTAAAAAATGTGTGTCTTACAGATTTTGATAGGTCGCAAATTTAAACAATGAGTTCAAAATAGAACGAAAAATGAAATGTATGCATAACGGTTGAAAAAAATACCCTACCCAGAGCTCCTTGCGGATAATACATTCAGCTGGAAAATGATATCAAAAATATTTCTAGCGATAAGCTATATTAAATTAAACTTTTCCTTTTCTATATTCAATACAAATCCACAAACTCTTTAGGCAAACTTCGCTTGAGCAACGCGCTGACTTGCTGATTGCCACTTTACTGGCTGGGAAACTGGCTGCCTGGCTGGCTGGCTGGCGAACTGAAAGGAAGACTGGCTGGCTGACTGGTTGCCATATGCCAATGGCCTGTGGCTTTGTTTGCGCCAAATGCGTTCCTTGACTTTGTTTTGCTGCGTATTCGCAACTCTACATGGCCCTAACCCACAAAAAAAAAAACGAAATACACCGCAATACGTGCAGTTGTTTTCTTCGACTGAACCATGTTTTCAGATTTAGATTTTCCATTGACCCTGGCCTTGACTTTAACCTTTTGTTGAACTTAAGTATCTGCTACTCACAATATAAAGCTGCTCAATTTCAATCAATTATTCAGAACACTTTGTCACTTTGCTTGGCTCAGCAAACCATATCCGTTGTGTCAAGTGCTTTTAATCATTCTATATGTTTGTCATAAATTTAATCAAGTGTTATTGTTATGAGAACCTTTTGGATTGAGCTAATCAGACGCCTATCAAAAGCTATCAGCTAAATACTTTTGTTTTCTCATATTAATGTTTAATGTGTGACAATGAGAAAGCTTATTTATTTTGCCATTGATTCTAACAATTTTATTCCTGGTCTGTCTGGCAAAGTTATTTTTTTTAATTTAATAATTTATTTACATATAATTAATTTATGTACATAAATAATTAGCATAAAAACATTATGGATTTGCCATCTTATCCATGTGCCACAGTTGCATTAAGATATTTATCTTCATGTTAAGTAACATGATTTTCAACAGAAGTCTGTTAGCACAGCCATAACTGTTCGCTTTGATAAGGCTATTATATCAATTGACTTGTAAACTGCATCGACAAATATTTAAGCCAAGTAACTAAACTGTACAAAAGTGCCTAAATCAATGGTACAGTGTCTGTGTATTTCACCTGCTCCCGCATCAATATTGGTTCGGTAAATTTACGAAAGGCACCAGTCAACTACCAAGACCTGAAAAAAGCATACACTAAAGAGTCCAGCAAGGACAATGGACGGATTCCAATGTACTCATGCATTTATAATGACACGCGTGCGCTCTGTCTCGCTCGCTTGGTAAAGGTACGAGTGCAGGTCGTGCGGGCCAGCAATTGTCAAACTTAATCAGGAATGCGTATGTGCATCTGGATGCGAGCATCTGCAACTGAGCTGCTGTTAAGCCAAAATTAACACAAACTACTGGGCATGCAAATGCATTCGCAACAATACGGCTACAACGGGCACAGAGCCCAACAAAACTATCAACTCCAGGCGAATCTCGCTAGACAAAGGATTTGATCTAAAACAATTTTATATATTAGCACATATCTTTAAATTTAATTATTAATTGCACTTTATTTGACACCAGAAAGATAATGAATACAATGTTTAATCAACTCTCTCTGTAAACCTGACCTAAGCCAACAAATCTTTTCATTCAAAATGAAAATTAGCCAATTTAAACCCAAGTTTGACAAACGGTCAAAATGAATGTGATTATCTTAAAGATCTAAGCATCTAAGGCTTGTCATGAAAATAAGAGCATATCATATTAAATTGAATTAATTGTGACCTGCAATTCTCCGTATGATTTAAATTATTATAAGTTCTCCAGCCAGAGGCTGCACAAGCTCAACTTCAATTAGAATGCTCAATCTCGTCGGCCCTGCGGGACTGGGCCTTTGTTTATTATTGACCTTAGTTGTATTGCTATTTATTTGTTGTCTATTTGTAATTGTTAGTTCTGTTATATTCGATTTGTTCAATTCAATTCACAGAAATATAATAGGCAAGGCGTATCTCGTACTGTTGACTAGCAGTTGTTTTGCCAACGCTCCCCCTGAGCTTTCACTCCATTCGGCTAGACCTTTGTGAAAATTGACCCACTTATACGTGGCTCTATTGAAGTATGAATTGTTTGTATTACATTTCAGCACTCTGCACAGCTTTGCTTTGGGCTACCATTGCGCGGAGTCAGGTTCCTCGCCGATGCTATTTGCCGGCACTAATTTCCCACAATTGTCATCAAAATGCCATAGTAACCGGGTCCTGCCTGCAGCCTGTTGTTGTCCCATCACATTATTGAAATAGTTTACTCTCTGCTATTGCGAGACCATTAAGTATTTTACAGCAATAACAAACAAGGAAGAGCGAAGGGATGACAGCGGAAAGCATCGCAATTTACAAGCTTGTCACCGCATTGACACGCATATTATTAGCAGATAGTCAACAGACGGGCAACAGACAACCCCCTTCCCCCCTCTGGCAACTGCTGCAGCTTATTGCTACTTGGTATTGCCCCATGGAGTGGCATAGTTATGTTGCACGCTTGCTTGGACATGAATAATGCCCGCTTATTTATTTTAATGCGCAACGTTGCGTATACGCAATGTGTGCGCCTGCTTTTACCTTACCAGGCTTTTACTTGTTGTAATTGCTGCTGCTGCTGCTGTTGTTGTTGTTGTTTCTGTTGTTCTTGTCATGTTTGTAGCATGTGTGTTTTCTAACTTAATTCATTCCGGCCAGCCCTCCCACTTTGCCCGCCTGCCCATTCATTTTGCATGACATTTGTATAAGGATTTTGGTTTTGGTTCTTCGCTTTTGAACCATGGCTTTTGCATAGTAGGTAGAACCGAGCAGTTCTCAGACGACATTAAAAGAAAAACAAATGCGTTTTCCATGTCGCATTCGTATTAGTCCCACAGACAGCAACATGCCGGCGGGGAGTCCTGTTCACCACATAGGGACCTCGGTGGGCTCCACTCTCATTTTTATGACCGCATAACGAGCTATTAAGAGAGTGTGATTGTGCCGGCACAAAAGTAAGTTGAAATTGGTTTACTTCAATATGTACTCATGCATAGCAGATAACTGATTTCCATAAGCGTAGTAATTAGGCTTGAATCGGGGCTAATAGCTTTTCAATGAAAACAGAAATATACTCTTCAAAATGCAGCAAAACTGATTGGACACTTGCGTACGGGCCTTGGATTTCTCTGGAGAAAAGTCGAAGATGCAAAAAAGATATTTAAAAACAAAATAAAACAATACTTATTTGAATAAGTAATTCGAGTATTTAATAAAATATGTATGGTTACTTTTCATTGACAAAAGCAACATAAGAAAAATTTGTCACAGCGTATATTAATTCAAACCCTTTCAATTAAATAAACTTTTCTATAATTATAGCTTTTAGCTTCCTTTAAATTAATTACCTATAATTAAAAGCTAAATGAAAATTTTAAGCTCTGCTCCCTTTTTGTTTGGGTCAGTATGCTCTTAAATTGTTTTTAATCGATATACTTTAAATTTACCCATACTAAGAGATACCCTGAACCTAGTGCAAACCTTCTGTTGCAAGCACTTAAGCTTCTTTCATGGTGCGCTATCGATCATTTGAAATAAATTACATCTGTGCGGGCAAGTCTCTATGTTTTATAGTCTCTGGGGTTGACGCGCTCTTACATAAAGCTGGACAGACTCTTCTATTGATGCTGACTAAATAAATATGTGTATACTTTATAGGGTCCCTTTACACTCGTCTTACTCATTTTCAATGGGTTTAGGACTTACAAACAATAATTTGTTTACATGTAGCTTATTTTAAAGCAATGCGCATATCAAATTAAATTCAAATATTCGGATACTTCGTAAATCTCGTGGATTTTAAGAGCTTAACATAAAATATAATGGAAGTATATAATAAATGCAATTTTAGTTGTACAATATTCATGTTAATCATCTATATTTATGTAAGTCTATCGATAAATATGAATGTATTGTGAAATAAAGAACCAATTCAGGTATCCATATACAGCCTAGAATATATTACTTTTTGGATATCGCCCACCACCGGCAACATTTAATATGAGTTAGAGGTAAGTTCTATTTCACGGCCGAATATCACAAAGGATACTACCTATGAATGGAAGGCCCCCCTAGCACGAGCTGCATTTGGCGATTCTAGAAGGAGGTTCTGGGCACATTATCATAGCGCTTGATGGCATGGGGCAGAGCGTATTCTAGTCCTATTGTATTTAACATCCCCAAAGTTAAAACATATGGTATGCCAACCCACACACACCTATAAAAACGCACACGTCCCTAAATACACACGGACACATTATGTGGCTCATTTAATTAACTACAATTGTTGAAAAAGTGGTGAACGTCGGCCGTAAGGATAGTCAAGCTGTCAGATAGGCATGACATTGGATGCCTGTCAAAATCATGTCACATGCCGTGCATGTTTATTAATTAGATAAAGGCCACACAAATTGCGCATACGACACGTGGCCCTGCCAGCCACTCGCAGCCGCAGTTGATTCTAGTCGAGAAACGGGAAAAGAAGGCAAAACTTTTCCCAGACTTTGAGCGAATGACAAATTTGACAATGAAGAAGAAAAACATCTGAGAATTACAAGCTGTCAGTTAATAATCGCGTCCTGCTAAATTTACAGGCACTTGCGCGAATTTCAACTCGTGGCCAGTTATAAAGTTTTGCCTGTCGCTGATCCTTCAACCCAGTTGATTTTGTTATGGCGCTTTTTAACGTTCTCAGCATACCATAAATCGATTAGGGGCAGACAGCCAGGCAGACGACGCACACACAATCGCTCAAGGAGTGGCTCCTTGCCGGGTCCGTGTCTGGTGACGCATGGCCAAGTGGCAGCAGCATCGTTATCGGCACCAACGCGCACCAGACACGACGGCAGCTTAGTTGCGCCTCAACGACAGTGGCAGCCACTAATGATATACGAGCTATCCAGACCGAGTATGGGATGGCAGCGCGTTGCGCTTTCTGGCCAAAGTGCTGTGGCTTCTCGGGATGCTGCTCGCCTTCGCAACACGGTTAGTCCATTTTATCCCTCGGAACAGTTTTAATTAATTTCAATTGTAAGCTAGCCGCAATATTGGCTTCTCTTGGCTTGTTATTAAAACACAATTTACAAATTTCACGAAAAACCTCTACTTCAAGTTGGCCAAAACGAAGTCGCTGGCCAGGTTTAAGATGTTTGGGCTAATTGAATTTCTAGCATATTTAATGCAACCCAAAATGTTGTCAGCTGCTGCCTTCTATAATGGGTACAGTATTAATATAATATACTTAGATCAAAGATGATATAAACGCATAATGTACATTCATTTACATGTTAAAAGTCTATGAAAGGCATTGTTGCATGTTATAATGGTAACTGTGGCTAGATGGCCTTTTTGTGGCTGCCTCTTCAATTATTTAAATTTGAGTTTAACATGAAAAAGAAAAACTTGCAACCAGTTTATACAGTCTCTGGTGTATCATAATTTGATTCGAGTGTGTTTAAAATGGAGCCAAAGGGCTACATAAATCGAACGATTTTTTAGGTTTGCGATGCAGTTTTTAAAAGTATTTCCAGGGGCACTTTGTTAGGTCTTTAAATATTATGTAGTTTTGATTTATGTGAAGTAATGTCTCATGAGATATTAGCTGCGTTTTTTTCCGACTTGAGCTCAGTCGATGATGAGAAGCAAGACGAAATATAACCTGTTTTATTTGATTTGATGCTCATCTGAACTGTTATGTAGAATTTGCTGGCGTGGCCATTTATTCGATTTTGTATTGATAATAGTTGATTTTATTTATTTTTATTTTTAGAATGAAGAGCTACTATGTTAAACAATATGTGGATTAACTAAATTCATAAGATCTCGGATATCAGTTTACTTTGAGGTACAACTAAAATTATGTGTTTTTACTCAGCTCAATGAAGCTAGAAAGAACGAAGTTCGTATTTGCTGTGTTTGGTTGTTTTTAAATATAAAAAAAAAAAAACATAAAAGTTGTTAGTACAAAAACTTTGTTTTGTACTCCGATATATGCTCTGTCAGCAAATAAGCTGTGATGGAATGGTAAAGGCCGATTAAATCAAAATTTAAATTTTTTGCAAACACTGAACTATGTTTAAAGTTAAATAAATGAATATTGGTGGCATATTCTTTATCCATTTTTAAATAAATGTCTAGTGTCTTTAATCGCTATCGAAAACTGTCTTTTTTAAATAGAACATCGACTACTGATCAAAAACTTGCAACTTTGATTGTTAAATGACTTCTTTAAAGTAGAAAAAACAAATTAAGTACACAAGTTGAGAAACTGTTGGGCGGAAAACTTAACTTTTCGCTTATAAAATTGGCAAAATTTTGTTTTTAACGAATTGTGTTCCGCTGAAACTTAAAGTATGAGCGCAAACTATTTATTGAAAAAAACGTAAATATTAAAAAGAAAAAGAAGCAAATTTGTAAAATAATTACCCGGATGAAATTAGCAACATAGCTGAGCAAAAATATTTGAAAGCGTCTAAGATTTAATACATTTCGAATATTTTATTTCGACCTTTTTTTACCCACTAGAGAAGTTCGCGGCATCAAAACGCGAGCGGCTTGAGGCAATAGAATTTGGTCATGGTACGCTCGGACTGCTGCAGCACTTGAAAGTGAAAGATGCCTTAAAGGCGCATAAAAGGCAGACCCGGCACCAGAACTAGAACAAGCGGCAGCTCTCGAAGCCAAAGACTTTTGAGTGGCCAGCCGCTTGCTCCTTGCACCTTGGTCCCTTGGCTCCTTACGCCACGCTGACTGACCACTTTCCTTTGTGCAGCACGAGCGTCTGAAAGTTGTACGCCTGACGTAAACTCAGGCCAACAACAACAAAGGAGTCCGTAATTACTTAACCAATTGCAAGCCGGCTAACAATTGAGTCTGACTTATGAATAGGCAATACTGTGTGATTGTCCTCTGGCAACGGTAACGAGCACCCACCTTGAAAGGCTTGCTGTTGTCCAGCTCAGCCAGATCCTCGTCGGCAGTGGTGGGTGGTGGTGTGGGCGTGTTGGGTGACAATGCCAGCTCCAAAGTGATGCTGTCCGCCGCATCATCATCATCATCAGTAGCAGTAGCAGCAGCAGCAGCTGGAGAATCAGCAGCAGCTTTACCATCATCTACATCATCCGCATCAGCCTCATCGGTATCAGCGTCCATTTCCGCAGCACGCATCAAAGTTCTTTGTCGTGGAGTTCCTGTTGTTGTTGTCGTTCTTGATGTGGTCTGCACCAGAGACGGAGCCGTCGAGGCTGCCATCGTATCAGTAATTTCAACAGTTGTTTTTACTGCTGCATTAGTTTCTGTCATTTTTTTTATTTGACTTGATGTTTTCCGGTGTCTTGTTATTTTCCTGCTAGCCAGTCCGTGAGATTTATGACAAACAAAACGAATTAAAAAATTAAGTGATTTGTTTAGTACTTGTGGAAAGTTGTTGCCTACTTTTAGCTGTGCTTCCGATCTGCTTTCTGTGTGTTGTTTTTTATTATGAAAATACCAAAAGTCTCAAATTTGATGATTAAAAGCGAGCCAGAAATTTACAATAATGTCGCTTAGTTAATTTGATTGTTTTCTATTGACTTGTTCAAAAATTTTTAGACAAACTGTTTGTTTTATTAGAAAATTTTGCTAGCACACATTTGAAATTTTTATTTTAAAAATGTTGTGTAGTATAATTAAAAATTTAATGTTTTTATTGTTTTCTGCACGTTTAAAAATTTATTTAAAAATTAATATTCATTTATTTGAAGTTCTATTCACTTAACATTCAATTTTGTTATCCTATTATTTACGCGTTTCTTTGTTGTCGCCGTTGCCGTGGCAGCCGCACCCACCAATTGCAACAAAAGCCGGCCGAACTTGGAATAAATTGCCAGACATCTGTGCGTGCTGTATTTAAAGAAGCAGCTCCGTGACTTTGCAACCGTGTTTGCTGTCATTGCAAAAACAAAAGCAAAACGCAAAACGGACGCAGAAGCAGACGCAGACCCAAAAGCACTGCTAACAGTGAGCTTCGTCGAAGAGCGGGCGCTGTTAAGCGGCTGTTAACGCCGCTGTTAGCCGGCTGTAAGTGGCAGACAGGGCGTGTTTTCGCCTGTCCCAAACAAACAATGTTGTGTACATTTTAATGGCAACTAGGCCTACACACCTGCACCCAGGCCCGTCTGGCCAAGCGCTGCTCTTACCTGTAAACTGTTATTTATTTTTCTTTTTTTTCTTTTTTTCGGGCAGTAAATTTGCTGGCAGCGCGCCTGGTAAATTGTTGCACTTATGCTTATAAGTATATATGTACCTACGTATTTGCGGACATATAAATTTTGGTTTTGAACTTTTTGCTGCACTTTGTGTAAGGGCAAAGTTTATAAATGCAATAAAATAAAGTTGGCAGCTCGCAGGCAACACTCTGGCCTATGAATGCAGGGCTGCTGGTACAAGCAAAAAAAAAAAATCCACACAGGCAGTCGAAAAATGTCACTTCTGCATAATAGGGTCCTTGCTGGCACCGCAACTCTTAACGCATTATTAAAATTGTTGGCACTTTCAGAAAGTTCAACAAAGGTGCGCAGACAAAGGCGCAGATTTATGGGCAAAGACTGTCGATTGAACTGGGCGTGACATTTACATGCCGCCTCCAGCTACGTTGCTTACTCTCTGACATGCTAATAAGTTTGCAAAAACAATACCTAATCTTATAATATATGAAAATTGCCACAGGCACACAACGAAAACTACACTCAGCGCTTTAGCATAAATTTCGCTTTGTTATCTTTGCAAGTTACACGGCCATAAACTCATTTCTATATATATATATTATGTATTTAAGCCGATAATACGAAAATATTACCCATACGCCGCGTGAAATCCGAATGCATTAATTGTCACTCCGTCAATGCAATGCACGCAGCACGGAAGTTGCCCGAAACTTACAGCGATTTTCAGCTGATTGACTATAAGGCTGCGTACGTGACTTTCATGAAAATCACGCGAAAACAGTAAAAAAGTTTTCTATTCAATTTCAACTTAACTTGGCAGCACAGCTTGCAATAGTAAATCTATTAGATGTTCAAACCAAACTGTGGAATAAGTGGGAGAGTAATTTATATAAGTACAAATTCAAATTTTTCCAAATAAAAAACCAAATAGTTTTTGCTTTTTTTAATTGTTAATTTAATTGTGTGAAGCATAATATCAAAGAAAAGATTTAATATTTATAAAAAGCTGGCTGTCTGAATAATCAATGCTGATTATTATTTAATATTATATCCTTAAGGCACCTCTTTTGATTTCACACAATATGTAATTACAGAAATTAAACTGCTAATGCTCGGAAATGATATTTCTGAAATATGCGTATTTGCACGGATCGAAAAGTTTAAAGTGCCGAACCAGCAGAATCATTGGACCATCGCTTATTACCGGGTTGCAAGCCCTTCACAAACAATGGGGGCTAAAAGCTTGCAACGTGTTTTGCATATTTCAGCAATACGCTGACCCGACGTCAAAATATTTCGCATATTTCGCACATTTTGTATATTGCATACTTATGCGGCATGTATGTGTATATGTATATATCTATATGTATATATGTATGTGTACATCTGTCGCAGAGCAATAATTTCCGCTTGCATTTCCTTGCGGCAATCGAACGGCCTAATAATTTATGTGGCAGGTCGCTAATTGTGCATTGGGACGTGGTGCGAACGTGTTTGCATTTGACAACCTCGCTGGCAATGCATATATGAGATATAAAGTTGAGCCGCGGCAGGAGTTGAGCTGCTAACAAATTGAAATTTATGCGCCACGTCAGCCGGTGCCGCAAGTTGGGCCAGTCTCATAGTCATCATCATCATCTACAGCAGCAGCAGCAACAACAGTCATGCTTAATTATGGTGCACGACCTTCGTCTCGTCTGCAGTTTGACAGGCATTGGGCAGTTAGATTAATTAACTCACATGTCGTCGCAGCCGTGCCAGGCAGCAGTTACTCAAACTGTAACATACTCTAACAGAAGGTCACATACGCAACGCATGTGGCGATGATTAATTGCTTTCACTCTGGCCAGCCAATTTTTTTGCACCCTGCACCCAATAAAAATTCCCAAAAGGGTACATTGGGTTTGTGAAAAGACATGTCACAGTCGAACGGAACGAGCCCTTAAAGTACATAGTTTCTTGCTACACAGCTGCCGAGTATTCCATTTCCTGGATAAGGAGTACCGTTTCTCCCAAAGATTATTTGTTTAAGTCTTAACCTATGGCCTTGGTATTTACACACATATAAATGCCATTTTAATGTCTTGAATATTTCATACAAATCGAACTGTAAATATAGAAGTTATTCAAACACCCTTTTCCATAGCCTTTTGTGTATTTTTCCTCGATTGATTAAAACGGAAGCATAGTCCTGTTGTCAGGGTATCTCCCAGTCAGACACTCCCTACTAGAGCACACTTAATGGCTTATTTTGGACACTTGCCAGGCTGGAACTCAACTTTGGCATTCAGCGGCCGCGTGTGGATTTGGTGCACTTTTGAACTTGCAAAAAAAAGAAAGGAAAAACAGAACAGATAAAACGGAAACGAGTGCGAATCCGACGAATACGTACATATATTCAAATCCAAACATGAATTCAACTCCTCGGCTAAGCCAAATATTTGGGCTGCCATTCTGGCATTTAGCTACAATTGAATGAATTTAAATAAAAGCGAATGCCAAAGAAAAACACATAAAATTAAAACGTTTTAATTAAATTGAAATATGTGCGCGCGCGCACACACACACTCAATCCCACACACTCAGTCACACACACACACGCTCGAATGCGGGTTGCCTGAACATTATTTGCGGCCTGCCCGCAGTTGGCCTGAGTTCTCACTTTCGTTTTTATGCCAGTTTTATTTTGTGTTTTTTTATGTTAAACATGCAATTCAATTTAATCGTAATCGCATATTTAATTAGTTGTGCAAATGCCCTGATATTTACATATTTCCCTTTGCCTGGCATTCCACTCATTTAGTTGTCGAATATTTGTTTTAATTTGTTCACAAGCTTATACTTGATTGCTTATGCTATATGTTGATTTCATTACACTTAAATCTATTTATGATTCGCACAATATTTTATATCAACAACCATTTAAAAACATATAAATCAATTAAAAGTGATCTAGACCGTAGAGCCTGACTTTGAAATACCCTGTACAAATCTGAGGTAACACAATTCACAAAGCTTCTATTGGAAACAGTTTGTAGTCCTAAAATATAATATAAAAATATACCAAAACACATTATAAAAATTTTTTTTTTTAATTTTCGGGCGAACTGGATGGGTCAAAAGAAAGGTGACAAAAGGCTCAAATATTCTTTACCTTGACATGATTCTTCTCTGAGTTATGACAGAAATAAAGAGTATAATAATATTCATCAAAGTCTTTGCTAAGTAATTTTCAACTTAGGGAAATAAAAATTTTTCCTGAAAAAAAATCAACCTTGAATATCAGGTTCTAGAGATTTCTACAATACAAATAATGCTATCCTTTTTTAGCTGGTAGACATTTATTTACATTTTTATTCTTAATTCATATTAATAGTTTTACTTTGAATTCAATTGGGAAAAGCAAAAGTTGGATTTTATTCATCAAAAAGTTTATGTTCCTTAAAAAAGAAATGTTTCTTAAGAAAAATAGCTTTCAGAACCATGTTCTAAAGATTTCTGTTAAACAAAAATTTCTATCTCTATATATAAAACTGTTTGTCCTGACTGACTGACTGACTGACTGACTGACTGACTGACTGACTGACTGACTGATTGGTGATCAACGCACAGCCCAAACCGTAAGAGCTAGGAAGCTGAAATTTTCACTGTAGCTACCTTATGTGATGTAGGTGCACGTTAAAACGGGGTTTCGGGAAATTCCACCCGCAAGTTTGGAAAAACCGCGAAAAACGTTTGTATGTAACTTTTTTGTTTACCATCCGATCGGGCTCAAACTTATTTGCAAAGATCTTTGTTCAAATTCATTTGAGGGGTGTTTCGCACTTTTAGGAAAATCTGTTTCTCCTTGGTGGAAATGGAGGTCAAAGATTTGGTGGGTGACGTTTCGCGCTCAAATTCATTTCCAGAGATCTATAAGAAAAATCATTTGATACGTGTTTCACACTTTTCGCAGAATTCAAACTTCTTCGGGGGGAATGCGATTTAAAGATTTATTGGGCGAAGTTTTAAGTCGTGTCCGATTTGCTTCAAACTTATTTTCAAAGCTCTACATAAGAACTTAATAAGAACTTAATTCAGCGATTTGGAAAACTCCACTCGCAAATTGGCGGAAAACGTTTGTATGAAAGTTACCGTCCGATCAGTTTCAAAATCATTTCAAATTTGTTTGAGAACATTGATTTTATAACATACGTGCCACGGGCAAGGCCGGGTTATACCCGCTAGTCATTGTATATACATTTATATATTTTATCTTTAATACAATTGTGTTCAATTCTTAATGCTTTTTACCTTTTGGGTTTTTTTTTAAATTTGTAAAATTTTAACATTTATTTATTGTAGCTTTATAAAAATGTTCTTAATCACGCAGAGTCTAGAAACTGGTAATTTTTGCATAAATTAAACTTGTATTGTTTTATGGAAATTCTTCCCCTCAATTTGTTGGCTAAACTATGATCTTATAATCTTCTTTGACATAAAATTTATTGTTGTCAATGTAAAATATTTAGAGCAGTGTATAAAATAAATATTATTGAACGATATTCTTAATTTAAATAAACTCCAGCTTGATTCATATGATATCGAATAGCACAGAATAACCATAGAATAATAAATAGAGCAACCCACTTGACCACTCGTCTTGAAACCGAATTTTTAATAGGAATTCGCAAAGCAAATTTAATATTAAACATGTGACTTGCAAATAGCCGTATATTTATTTAGCCCAAAAAAGTATGCTACAAATCAAATAAGTGAATGGATTTTACGATAGTTTTCTACATCTAACTGGCAGTAGAAACTTATCAAACATGCATTTTAGAGTACAATCAAAATAGTGTACACTTAGACGACACTTCGCCAGTTGCTCCCGTTCCAATTGCAGCATCTGCTCATATTGCGGCTGATCCAGCTCCACGGTTAGCTCCATTTGGGCATTGGCCACCTCGTTCTGCCAGTCCATCATGCAGCGCTCCATGCACGTCATGTTGGTTGAAGGACTCGGCTGCCCGCTGATCGACTCCAGCTGCGACAAAAGGCGCTTGTTGAGTAAAGGTCAAAACGACACGAGTTCTACCCGCTCACATAGCAGACAAACATCAACAGCATTAAGTTCAACAATTCGTATAATTTCATGTTTGTTTTGGGCTATCACTAAAAATTTTCATTACTGACAGCTGTGTCTAGGCATTGGGCGTATACTCATTTATGGACACTGTGCCGGCAGCTAATGCCTTTGGTTGTGCAAACAAATCCGCGAGGCAAATAAACACCCAAAGACACACACACACAAACAAATACACACACACACACTGAGAGACTCCAGTGCAAGCACAGGCGACGACACAGCTCTCGGATATACACAAATACTCAGGCAAATGAGACAATCTAAGCGCTTCTTCTTGTTATTCTTGCTGCTGTTTGCCTGCGGCTCAAACTGCTGCATGATTATGACCACGCCCACAAGCCGCCCAGCGCAGCGTCGCATTGCCGCCGCAATTGTTGCCGTCGCATATGTGCCACGGGGCGTGTTAGCAATGCCCACAGCGGCATCTATTACAAAAAAAAATTGCTGTTTATGTGCAATGCGAAACTCACCCACACACACATAGTCGGTGTGCACAACACGACCCCCCGCAGGCACACAAATAAACAAGCTGCTCTTTTCACATTTATTTCTGGCCAAAAAAAAATAAACAGAAATAAAATAAAATAAGAAGCTGGCTACAAAATTGTAGAAAATTATGCGCTCGCCTGTGCGCAATGCTAAAGCTACATTCGATATGTTCTTTACTTGGCCACGCCCACGCTGCTTCCGCCCTCGCAGCAGACAGCAGCAATGTCAGACATTTGACATTTGTGCCCGATGCTCTGCCATTTGGCCACTGATTTCCTCACTTGTTTGTGCACGGACCAAGATTTGGTTACTCCATGCTTCTCACATTACACTTATCCACAAGATAAAATAGAAAATATTGTTATAGTCATAGCAATAATGTACTCGTACAGTGGGCAAAGCTCGAGAACGGGCAGAACGTTATATAAATATACAATATAATAAACATTTACATCATATTTTGAAATTTGTGTACATTAAAGGCAAACGAAATAACGTTCTAAAAATAAAAAAGATAAATTAAAAATTTTAAATTCAGCTTAAAGTCCAAGAAATCAGAAACAAATAGTTCCGTCAACCTTTTCCCCTGCGATGCCTGTGGACGTTCCAAGCCCGATTAAACATTTATTTTAATAATATAAACAGTAGAGCTTTTAAAATAAATTTACGTCCATAGTTAACCCCCCAACCCTTTATTCCAAAAATTATAAAACAGGTTTTCACGTTTGAATAAACCTTTAAAAACACTTGCGAGTGAAACTTAAAATAAAGTACAGTTCGAAATTCGAATGCCTTTTCGCTTACTGGGCAGTGCATTGATGCCCTTTGATACTCACGCAAAGATCATCTTTCTGATATTGTTCTCATTGAACAAATGCGCTGCTATCGTCAAGTTCTCGCTTATGGAGACAAAAGATAAAGAGTTACATATATTACGAAAGCACTTTTAAATTGTACTTCGCTTTAATATAACATTTAATTACCGAATGTCACAGTCTTTTCCATTGTGCAGCTGTTGGAAATTGGAGCTGCTTCTAAAAATGTCACATTTGCACTTCAAAGCGTGACCCCAGCGAGCATTCAAGCCAAATTATATTTAACGCGGGCAGCAATTTCTAAGAATGACAGAAAAAAATGCAAAAGAAAAACGCGAAACGAACCACGCCCCCGTAATACATAAAATACGCCTTTTAATGAAAATGTGGCCGCACATCAAAGCAGGCCAACGGATACGCGCCCGAACTGAGCCAGAGCCCGTATTTACATTTTAAATAATTTCTTTGCCAGTGTTGGCCCAACAAATGCGACATGTCAAGGACACAGAACCGCCAGCAACAACAACAACAACAATAAACAACAAAACGTAGTCCAACGCGAAGTTAAAAGCATATGCTGCTAAAGTGGGAAAGGTTAAACGGGTACCACAGAGACCTGGCCAAAGATTTGAAGTTCATTTGTGCGCATTCAAAATTCGAAGAGCAAATCGAATTTTGAATTAGTACACGCCCACAATGAGACAGGGGGGGCTGCAGTTGTCGTCGGATTTGGGTCAGTTACAGGCTGCAACTCAGCTGACTGCGAGCTGTGAGCTTTGAACTGTGTTACTAGGCCAGAGTCAGGCGGCAGAAGCGGGAGCAGTAGCATATACTGGCCTGGTCTGGCCCGGCCCGGCCTGGCTTGGCTGCGACCTGACCTCTTTATCATCACACGTCACACGCAACACGCGCCTTGTGACGTCACAGCTGCGACTGTGTTTTTAATGCAATTAACTGCGGCAAATTTGCGGCTCTCTCTCTCTCTCTGTTCATCTTCAAAGCTCGTTCTCTTCCAAGCGCTCTTTCCCACGCTCTTTAGACAGCGCCTAGCTTGTCTGGCTTCATACGCCCTGTTGCACATGTTGCGCATACGCATAGTTGAACCGTGCAGTAAATTATATTTGTATTTGGTTTGTTAATATGCATTTATTTAGGTATATTGTTGCTTGGTGTATGCAGTTACTATGTATATTTAATAATTCTTGTTTTGTTTTTCTTTTTTTTTTGGTATATTTATTGCTTATTCATATTGTGTTTTTCTTGCCTTTGATTTGCCTTGCTTGCTTTTCTGTATGTATACGAGTATAAGAGTGTAATTGCATTTCTTGTTTGCATTTATTGTTTAAATTTACTAATATTAAGTGTTTCGGTTTGCATTTAAATTCTTTACGTTTTGTGTTTGACTACAATACTTTTTGTGGGGGGTTCACTTGAAGCAATTTCAAACCAGGTCGAGTTCGAAGTACAATCTGTTTGTCGTACTCTCAAATAATTGCTACACATAAATACAGTCAGTCTCAATTGGCTTCAACAAATGACATTTTCAATGGCATTAGTCTAAAAACAATTTTATATGTGCGTCTGTGCTTCTTCTTATTTAACACCTTAATCAACTAAATAATTGCTAATGGCAGAACAACATACCACCATATCAAATGTAAATATATATTATATTAATTCGAATAAATAAAGAACAACGCATTCAATGATAATGATCATGAAAACCAATAACTAAAGCAGAAGAATTCTGTTTAATATAACAAATAAGAAAAAAAATATTTATGGAAAATTACAAAAGATAATTCGCTTTTCCAAATTTCATTTAAAAGGTAATTTTTTATTTAAAATACCAAGAAACCATCATTTACGAGTTCTCACAACTCCAAAGAATTTTGTATTAATTTATAAATAAATAAGAATATTTGTAAAAAATTACAATCGAAAATTCTTTATGACGAATTTTCAGTCACAATGCAATTTTTTACTAATGCCTATTTATCCAAAAAAAGACACTTCCATTTTCGAGCTCTAACTACTCAAAAAAAAAACATAATGTGAATGCAATATAAATCAGAAAAAATACCTTGGAAAATTACAAATGAAAACTCGTTATTTGCAATTTTCAATTTATAAGAATGTTTTCTACTAACGCCTATTCAACCAACAAAAACACTTTTAAATTCGAATTCTAACTACACAAAAAGTCGTTAAATCCCTTTTATAGCCGCTACGAAGCAATTCGATTCTTTTTAACAATAAAACATTTTTTTAGTATTTCTTTTAACTAATGTGAATAATTTCATAATAATGAATATGATATTTTTTTATAGTTCCCTCTGCTTTTACTCCACATATGATATATATAAATTTTTTATGTTTATTGTTGTCGTTTATTTTGATTCTTTAATTGTGTTTTTTAGTTTGAAGACACCTGTCTTCAATATGCGGGCTGACATGAAGAAGCTCTGACAAAAACTGTCATCAAATTTTTAAACATGTGTTGCTTGTATTTAGAATTCAGTGTTATTTGGAGATTGATCATAAATGGCCATAGCTTTAACGTAGAAATATATTTTTTGGTTTATTTAAAAATAGATTTCTTCCGATCCTGAGCCTTTGCTAATTGGAAATTTTTTAGAATTCTATGCTGATTCAATTTAAAGGAAATAAAATCGTTAAGTTTCGATTTTAATAAACTCAGATTGGATAAAAACCATGATATCTTCAATATTATATTATATACTTAAAAAGAAACTTGGGCGTGGGTTACAAAAAAATTTTAATACTCGGGATCGCAAGGAATTTTATAATCTGTGATCTAGCGTAATTTTAAAGCTTCTTAAACTGTAAGAAAGTAAAATACTACACTGCATTTCCTCTAAAAAAAAAGAAAATGTATTCGCACATTTAAAAGGAAAACAACTTTTTCCAAGCACTACTGAACTCTCAGAACATTTCCAAATTTAGATTGATGCCCAAAAATATGCCGCCATAATATTGCTGCCCTCTTTTTAGAAAGGGCTCTTTTTTTTGGTGATGATTTTGCGATGATTTTATGCTAATACGTGTAATATTTCGTTAACTTTCATTTGCTCTTAAATTCTATGAAGCATTTCTGAAGATTTTGTTACGTTACGTTTCGTTTTAATATTGTGTGGCATTTCGCAGCTCCTAATTATATGCTACAAATACGTGTATGTTAACCCAATGTTGCAGGACTGATTTTTCGGTTCGTTTACGTGAAACAACGTTTGATAAAATTGTGCCTTAGTTTGGCTACTCCTTGGCGGCCAGGCTTCATCTAAGGCTGCCCAGAATGGGCAGTCAGATGTCGCCATTCGAATTGGCATTGACCTCATTGGCGGCAGCCGTGGCCGCCGCCTCGACAGCCGCTTCAGTGGTGCTGCATGTGGTGGTCGCCTCGGCAACGGTTATTGTGATGGTGGTATTCTGATTGTCGCACTGCACCACCTCGATGGTGCGCGTATTGCTGGCGGTTGTTGTGGTCAGCTGACCGCTCTCCGCCTCGTTTAGCTGACGCCCAATCTCACGATCAATGGCCTCCGCATCTTCCGGATAGCGTTCCGAGCAAAAAATGGCGCCCGCCTTTAGCAACTTCAACAGATTCAGGCGATCCTCAGCATTGCGTTTGGCACAGAGCGGTCTGCAAATAGGTGAAGGCGAAACATAAAAGATATAAGAATGGATATGCAATTAAGTTTCATATTTGTTAAATATATGTTATGGGCGGTGTTACCCGGCTTTGACCGGGCGTTGTTTTTGCCTTATACTTTAGACATCTCTTTAAAATCGAAATTTAATAAAATGATGAGTGCTACATTATTTGATCCCCACATTTCTCGAGAAGAGGGTTTTTCGAAGTGTGAAAACCTCTTAAATGGTTTCCGTGTCCCACAGAAGCAAGTGGAATTTTCCAAAAGCCTCATCTTAGAGTGCACTTCGCCTTGGGCTGTGTGTTTATCATCAGTCAATCAGTCAGTCAGTCAGTCAATTCTTAATAATATGTAGTGTTAAGGTAACTTTTACTCACCTTCCGGCATCTTTGAGCTGTTCCATAAATTCTTTGCCAGTTATGTCTACCAACGAGTTGGGGTCCATATTGGAGAGCGAGTCCAAGTCCGCATCGTTCATGACGGACACATTGCACAAGTTGTTCTGCAGCTGGCCCACCAGCTGGCGAATACGCGCCGTCTCCGAGTTGTTGGCATCCGTGGTGTCGCCGTTTTCTGGATTGCCAGTGATGCTGCCATTGCCCGTGGCATTCGGCGTGGTTATGGTCACGTAATGGGTTGGCTATAAAGCATATAGGATATATTTCAGTTAAAATTCGGCTACGTGACGTTTAACTCGCGACTGAAATTGAATTATGGCAACGGAAGAGTCGCGAAGCGCAAACAATAAAATATATTTACATTGATTCTGAAACCCAGTTATGCAACCATTTGACATAAGACATACTTTGAGGGATTATTCGTAAATGTAATTAAAGTACAACAGAACTGAATGTTTTTCATTCCATTTTTAATTAATTTGTGCGTAATGCACTTTGCGGTTGATTAAATGCAAAAGCGGAATTCAGCGCCTGAATTTACGCTCCGAATTCCAGTTTGACTTAAATCAAGATTAAGCAAAAACCAAACTAAAGAATCTTAATTAAATTATACCATTAAAAAAGCCTGCTTTATTGCAGCCTGTGCCATAAATGATGATCACAGAGCATCGCGCTTTGCATTTTTGGTCTACTCACATCAATCCAATGCTCGCCAGGAAAGACGGCCACCAGCTCCGTGTTCTCATCGAGTGTACGAAAGTATTCTTCATCATCGATTTCGGTGCCATCGGAGTCCAAATGGATTGTTGGCTGTTGTTCACACTTGTCAAATTTCTCGGCCACCTTGGCGCGTATTTCCTCCAGGCTTGCGGCGCAGACGGCTTTTTTAATGTTGCGCGTGACGTCCTTGACCTAGCAGCCAGGCGGTAGGCGGAGTAGGGAATGGTACAAGGATAGAGGAAATAATAAACAGTTACACGTTTGCAGTCACATATGCTATGTTAAGGGCAATACACATTGAATGAATAATAAATTAATACAAAGACATGAGCTGCTGCTGCTGCTGCTGCCAGCAGCAACGGGCCTACATGAAATATTTAAGCTGGACCAAAAAATTCAACCAACGTTTTGTTTTTTGCATTTTCTTTTTTTTTTGGCCTGCCTCTGGCTGTGGCTTAATCAACTTGGCATTAGGCAGCGCGTACAGATGGGAATGTTTTTTGCGTCTTTTTTGGCCCAGTTGCCACGCAGTTCCAACGCATACGTGAACTCATTACCAAACTCAAAGTTTGCCAACATTTTGGCTATTATGTGGGCGTAAAATACACACACACACACATACACACAGTGGCTTAAGCCTAAGCTTAGCAACTCCTGAAAGTAGGCCTAGGATAGGCAGGAGCTACAACAACTGCGTGACGACCTTGACGACTCACATGGTTAGAGCAACAAGGATTGGAGGATAGAGTCAATATCTCAATATATATTAATGCAAATTTACCACCCAGCTGAGTGCATCATTAGGGAGAAAACTGATTTAAGACTCCGTACAAAATAGAAGTGCCAAAAAGGTCTGCAACGAATTGCGAGAGTTGTGTAAAGTTATCTCTGATGTTTAAAAATATGTTTTATGCTTTATTTTATAGTCTAGGCTATAGGGACTTATGATGGACATTTGTCAAAGCCGTTCAAAGTATTGAAAACACGAAGCACACATGAGATTTTTCCCAATCTCAGACAGAAAGTCGACAGGTTCCTCTATGCAAGAAACCCACCAAGTTTTTTTTCATATTTTCTTTTTTTTCTATTGCAAACTTTGGAGACAAAATTCAAGCACTCAAAATCAACATTTCAGTGACCAACAAAATGCTTACAAATTATGGCTAAATATAACGTTTGAACCGAAAAAATTGCTTTTGAACTTTTTATTTGCTTTTGGCCAACGGAAATCCCATAGAACTTTTTCAACTATTTATCTGTTTTTTTTCTTCTTGTTGTCCTAACCTCGTTATGTGTATCTTTCATGCCTCATTGGTTTTTCTACTTTTTCCATTAAAATTCAAGCTAGATGCTGCCCGGAAAATGTAGTTGAAAGGTTTTTAAAGCAGCGCTGGTTTGTGGCCAACATATAATTAAAGTCTATTACCGATTGGCTGGCATCACATACGCATCGCTCACTGCCACGGCAAATGGGGCAGCCATTAAAGTCAAATTTTCGAGTAATTTAGAAACCAAATACCAAGTAATTATGCCCTCGAGCCACAGACACAGACACACGCACACATACACATACACTCGTAACAATAGCAAATCGAAAAGCCAGAGAAAAAAGTGCAAATAATAGGTAAAAGAAATATTGCGCATACGTCACGTTGCCCTGTCAGCTGTCGACTGCTGTCGACTCTAATTGAGATTTATGGCAAGCGATTGCCTAATAAATAAATGACCGGCATATCAAATACATAACGTTAGCTATGCACGAAATGTACCGTGAATAAGTATTTTTTAGCAAGCGTTTGCCTGGTAAATAAAAAAATATTAGATCAAATGCTATGCACGGAACGTACCGTAAACAAGGTTATTCTTGTTGAAACTTCTTAAGAGCAAAGAGACTTGACGAAATTAATTCGAAATTTAATAGAGGAATACATGTGCTTTTTATAGTTGGCATGCACGTTTGTATACGTATATTTTTGTGTATTTTTTTAAACTCTTTCCGGCAGTTTGCATGCGCAGAAAACTTGAGCAGAGTTTGACATGCACTCGTCTGCTTGCCGCACAAATATTTGTCGTGTTTGCTAACAAGTTATGCCTGTCAGCAGTTTAATGCAGCATACTTTTGAGCGCATGCCAGAAATACATGCCACAACCAGCGGCAGCAGCAGCAGTAGCAGCAGCACAAGGACATTCATCGCTGCCTGGCTCTATTAAACTTGCATGTTATGTTAAATGGCGCCTGAGCGTTAAGGTTAAACTGAACATAAATTAGATGTGGCCAAGACTGAGCGAAAAAGAGCGAGCGCCAGCGAGTTGGAGAGAGAGGGAGAGAGTAAGTGAGATATGCAACAGCATCGAAGGCGGCCACACGGCTGCTCGGCAAATTTATCACTCTGGCTGGCAATGTGCAATGTGCACCTGCAACGAGCCTTCATAAATAATAGAGCAGGGCGTGCGAAATGAAATTGAAGTTCAGTTTGCATCACAACATTTTTATTACAATTACCCACGGAAAAAAAACTAACCGGGTAAAAGCAGCAATTCGCCTTCAGATCCCATCAGCTGAAACAGTAAGCCGAAACTCGCGAGCAAAACTCAAAGGACTGCGCAAGGTCCTCGTTGAAGCGCCAGCGAATAAATTGTCTAGAAGCTTCAACATTGAAAACTTTTTCTGCGGCACTTGCACAAAACTCACGCCAAAAATTAATCATATTAAGCCATAAACTTGGCAACAATCAAAACTTGCGGAAACTATTGAAGCGCACTTTGCAGGAAGCTTTGTGCAAAATAATAAAGAGATCAGTTTTTCGTTTATTATACCCTGTATTTGAGAAAATTGAAAGGGCAAACCAGTTATAAGCTGAAGCAGTTTATGTCCGGAATTTGCTTTCTTTTTACCATGAACCCAACCTTACTCTGAATTATTTGGGTAAAAACAGACGAACCATAAACCGAACCGAACCATATATTATAAAAGTAGTTTAGTTAAAAACAATGCTTTTTAGATAGTTAACTATTTCAAAATTTTGTGTTTTATATAAGTTATGAAAAGTTAGTTCATTTCGATAAGTTAAAACAAACAAATTTAATAAATTCAATTGTTCTATTGAAAGTTGTAGAAAATGCGCCGAATCAGTGCTTGAATCAATACCTTGTTTTAATATAAGTAAGAAATCGAGTTTACGAAAAGAATCTTAAGGCGAGGCATTCGTTCGATCTGTGAAACGAACTACCAAATTATTGTGTTGGAAAAGAGCTGCAATAGTTATTAGAGAAATGTCATCTTTAAATCGTTAGAGTCGTGCTGTAAAATTATCAATTGGTTTTATTAATCGATGCACGTCCAACATATATCTATCGACAGTTCTTAAGACAATAATGAATAGGGATATTTAAAATATTACTTACTGGCAAATAAAAGATCAAACTCAATTTAGTCATGCTTAAAATAAAAATGAATTATAATAAAGAACCAATAACAATGGTTGAGGCCATTGAAAATATATCAGTTCAAGAAGTATTATTGACTAGGTAATATGAAGCGGTCATGTAACTAGCTTATGCTTGTACAACTATCTACCGAAAGGAAAAGAAATAGTATGTATACCTAAATATAAGTATAGATCTAACTTTCTTAACCAAGGCAACGAACTTCGCTCAGACTCAATGTTTATATGTTCGCACAAAAATAAAAAAAGTATGTCATAAAGGGTATTGGCTAGTCGAGCAGACTCGCAAAACACTCCTACCAGCTCACTTTTGTGTGTTTGCTGCAAGCCACGAAAACTTTTTTGGTCGATTCAATGTCGTTTTCGCAGATTTTGACATTTTCAATTAGGGTAAGAAAAAAAACCAAATGTGATTTAATTTGAAAAATAATTCAATTTACTGCAATTTTCAACTGAATTCATTTATTGCAGAGTATATTGATAAATATTTTCGAAATTGTGGCTGCTGCGGTTAATCGACAAACTTTCAGGCTGAAAACCAAACATACGTTTCAGTTTATATGCATGATGGGATTACATACACAACTTGTCGATTGAAAGAGGTTTTAAAGGATTCCAAAAAATAAAAACATGCTGAGGCTTTGGCAATGCGGTAAGGTCGTGAGGGGGAGAAGCTAACGAATGACTGACAATATTCTTACCAGACTGATCTGTAACCAGATTCGAATTGCTCTAATATAACTATGTTCGTTCTGACTTTTAAACACACACAAAAACATACACACCGCGGCTGTGGTTCTTCCTTGATGGAAATTTTTTTGAAAATTATATTCTTAAATTAATAATAACCAGCATAAATACATATTAGTATGTAATATCTACCAAATGTTATGTCTCAAGTCCTTATAAACTCAGGAAGTAGGAACAAGTTTCAATTACTTGTTGATTGTTCTCTAAACTGAGGTATACTTAAATGATACAGAGATATAACCTCTAAGAGCTGAGAAACAATGCAAAGTACAAGAGGGGCTCAGTTGCAACTTTCACGTACCCGTTCGAGAGCACATGCCACAAATTGAAGCCGCATCCGATCAGAAATCACAGCTTATTCAGCTGTCGGTACAGCTCAACTATCGGGCAATCTTCAAGAGCATCCTGGACCGCAGCTACAGGACACTCAACACGTAACACGTAACATATCCTGTCCACTGTGTTTACGTGACTGCGTCTCAGTTGTGGCAGCAGCAAAGCAGGCACTGAAGACACCTGCAGCTGCGATTGGAGGGCGAGGGTGTTGGATAGTTAATATTTGATAGGTCTAGAACGCAGATTTGAATGCCGCTGGGGAAATCAGGCGGCAAGTTTAAATTGCTGCTTGAACTACGGCTGCAAATTATGTAAATTGTTAAATATATTATTAATGCGGCTGTGGCTGTCAGTGTGGGCGTGAGCGTGGGCGAGGGCGTGGGCGTGGCATTTAATAATTACACAGACATGTCAACTGAGAAACTTTTTTTAATGGCATTTCGCATGGCTGTCTGCGTATTTAGCTTTTAAGCCGATTTATGTTTGGCGGGATGCTAAATTAATTATTGTAATAAGCAGCGACATTTTAATGGACCCATCACACTGAGAGCGCCTGGGGAATTTGTAGTTGTTGTGTAGTTTGCACACTGATCAAAAAGGACCTCAACACAAAGCGGCCACAGGAAAGTTTCGAAATATTTGTCAAAGAACGGAAGAGGAAATTTCTTTTTGCGGCTGCTGCACGGATTTACTTTGCTTTAAGCCGGGCTCTGTCCAGGATAAATAAAACGAAAACGTTCCTTAAACGGCTTCGAGTTATTTAGATAGCGGCTAAACAAATTAGTTGACAACAAAGGCGATGCTGGCAAACAAACAAATGCCAAAGACAAACAGTTCCCAAGCGCTCAGAAACTAAAAAATAAAAACAAAACAAAAAGGCACAACAAAATCTGAACCCCAAAAATTCATGTCAAGTATTTTGCATTTGCAAAGTCAAAGCAATTACTGTGCTCTTTTTTTTTGTTTTCACTCTCTCACACTCTCTCCGACACTAGCTCTCTTGTGCTCTCACAAATAAACAAAAGTTAACAGAGCTTTTGCTCTCTTGTCTCGCTCACAGCAACTTGAAGTTCACCCAGTTTTTATGTGGGAATTTTTAAATAGCGCAAATGCGAAACATAGCACGCGGTTATAAACGATAACAGCTACAACAACAACTGCGACACAACGCCCAAAAAGGGCATGGCATTGCATTACAGCTTCAATGCGGCAGCCTTTTATTGAAATAAAAACATTTAACAAACTTACTTTGAATGGCTTTTTTGAGTCATTTGTTGTTATCTCCGTAGCGTTGGGCATTTTGATTATAATTAATTCTAATCTATACGATGTAGTTAATAATATTCAAAATTCTTTTAAACAGTTAATGGCACATTTGCAACACTACGCAGCATTTGTTTTATTTTCTATGCTTAAATAATTTAGTATAATTTGTTTACACCTTTTTGCACACACAACAAACTGACAACAATTATTTCTTTGTGCAAACTGCGCTCAAAATGTTTTTTTCAGCTTTCCATTTATAATTCAAGCACTGCCCGAGCTTTATGTGCAATTGGCAAAAACGCGAGCGAGCGCCGGTTTCAACTGAACTCTCTTTAACTCTGGCGCTGGCTTTTATAGCTGTGGAGCAAAAGAGAGTAAAAAGCAAGCAATGGTAAATGGCAGTGATGCCAGCTTTAGGGCGGTTAACTTCGGCTCTAGCTGGAAAGTTGAATAAAACTCTTAGTTTGACAAGATATAAATATAGCTTTACAAAAGTCTAAGCTTTGTATTATTTGTGTCAAGTAAATAATTAATTTATTTTCCAACATTTATTCAGATTATTCTTGACTTTACTAACTGTGAGCAGAAAACTTTGCAGTACTCAACACTGTTGATGACATTACCGACAAGAGCAGAGAGCAAAATCAAATCAAAGCTTGCAAAGAGCGCTCAAAATGTAGAACTGTGTCTCGCTCTTTGGCTGGTCCTTTAACATAAGGCTGTTAACTGAAACAGGTGCTACTATGATTTTGCTAGAAATTTGGCGAACAACTTTATAGGCATTATTGTGCTTTAAAGGAAAACCCAACGGAAAAAAATCACATTTTTAAACTAGTTGCTAAGTTAGTTTAATATGGATCAGGCATGTGCCAACAAAGTTGTTACCAGTCAATGCCTTTGGGTAGACCTTTGTATCCCTGACTATCCTGCCTGAGCTAAGGTAAACAGCACTTAAACAACGCTTAACTTTGCTTAACTGGCCAACACCCATTTGAATCTATGACGTTAACATCAATACGCTATGTGTGTGTGGGTATGTGTGCTATAGAATGAAAAGTAAACTTTTTGACAAATAGCCAAAAGGCATGAATGCCAAGCCCAAGCCCAAGCCCTTGCCTCATCCCCGTACCCACTCCCAGCCGGAAGGTAGCCAGTTGGTTGAGCAGTCTTATCGTTATTGTGCCTCATTGGCTGTGGACAGTGTGCCTTTGCCCCGTTTGCTGTCATTGCACTTGCCGCAGCAGCAGTAGTGGCAGCAACGTCGACTGCCGCATGTGCAGTTGGGCGGTTGGGCGTTGAGCTCAAGTGACTTGAAATGACATACAAGGACATCGCCTTATAGGTGTTGCCAGTTGCCAGTTGCCGAGTCACGTGCGTGTGCCAGTGCATTGACCCAGTATGCCAGCAAACTTGGTCAAACTTGGCTTTATGAATAGCCTCGAAGACGCGGCAGCCACTCGAAAGTTCCCACCAGAATTAAAAAGAAAAAACTCAACACTGTTTTTTTTAAATGTAAACAAGGCTCAAACCGTCCCCTTTTTCTGTGAAACATAAATAGAAAATCCGAGAAGGCTGAGAATAATTCAGGCAACGGAAATGCTTTGTATATGCTATAAAATTTATTTTCCTATGCTAATTGATAATCAACAAGTCTCAGGGGAAGAATGCCCACGAATCCTGTTAACTTAATACCCTGTAGCACTGGTACGCTGTTAAAAAATCCGGAAGTACACTTGCCCAGAAGTGAGGCTTGAATTATCATATTTTTAAATCAATTATTATTTGATTTAATTTTTACCAGTCCTAGATCTGTGCTTTCATTTCGAAACCCGTTTTGAAGCTTTGTCAGTTGTGCAATTAGGAACCATAATTTGTTATCCATTAACGTTTTGAATATATAGAAAATAAAACCTCCAGAAATTAAATGCTCTAATCGAAGAGTTTCGACTGCTTTTTACTGCTCAATATCTGTCAAAATTCCTATAAACTCTTCCCAAAACACGTTTACGTGGTATATATGCAAAAGACAGCGCCCAATTTAACTATCCCACGCTCGCTGCCCGGCCATAACTTTTGTGTTTACACAAAGGGCGCACAAGCGAAACAAGGTTAATCAGCAATTTGATAAGCCTGACGCCCCCTGTTAAGATGCAATTAAGCAGGAAGGCGGCTTAAGCCGTCTTTAGCTAGCCCGCAAATTAACAGCGCTTCGAATACTCCCTTAACATTACCCCTCGCTGTTAATGAGAACGCGTCTGCTATTTAACAGTAGAGCTTTGCTTTACGCGTGCCTCTCTGCCACTTCACTTTGACATTCGCTGGTAGCTTCATGAATATGTTAAAATTTACGCAAATGCTGCGAAAGTGAAGCAGGACGACTGGGCGCTGGTTGGGCGTGGCTGATGGCGGCTCTAAATGGGAATTTAAAAGCAGACGTTGCCAAAGTTTTGGCCCATAACATTTATCAGGGTGTCATTTGGTTGGTGGGGTGCCTATTGAATGGTGGTGGGTGAGCGGGTCACGTAGACCGCGACCCCACACGTTCATTGAACTCGGCGTACACAGTTTAAGATTACAAACATAAACATACAGTTTATTCTCATTGCCTCCAGTCATATACATATATTTAATCACTAAAAGCTTTTACTAGTAGTTCTCCAGTATCAGTTTGGGTACCACATTCATGCTGGTGAGCTCCTGGAAGAGCAGCTTGCAGGCATACGGCATGGATATCTTGGAGACATGCGCCGACGACTGACAGAAATGGCACCAGGAGCAGTAGGCCAGTCTGCCGCAGGTACGGCATACGTCTACCTCAAACGCGTCGGATGATATCATGAGGCGTTCCATTATCAGCATGCTTGCTCCATAAGATATTAGGCAGTCGCGCTCCATTTCGCCCAGACGCAGGCCGCCCTCACGACTACGACCCTGAGTGGGCTGGCGAGTGAGCACAGCCTTTGGGCCACGTGCTCTGGCATGCATCTTGTCCTGTACCATGTGCTTCAGCTTCTGATAGTACACCGGGCCGGAGTAAATGTATGCCTCTAGTGGTGCACCCGTTATGCCCGAGTAGAAAAAGTCCTTGCCCATATAGTTGAATCCATGACGCACCAGCTCCGCCTGCACATCCGCTGCCTTAGAGCCGCCAAAAGCTGTGCCATAATGAAATTTGCCCTCCAAGACGCCAGCCTTGCCGCCCAGCAGCTCTAATGTCTTGCCGACTGTCATACGCGAGGGAAAACCATGCGGGTTCATGATCATGTCCGGACATATGCCATAGTCATTAAAGGGCATGTCTTCCTGATCCACAATAAGTCCCGTAACACCCTTCTGTCCATGCCGCGAGCTGAACTTATCGCCAATCTCCGGTATGCGCGTCTGGCGCAGCAAAATCTTGATAAGGAAGTCCTCCTCAGCGTTGGCCGAGACCATCACACGCTCAATATAACTGGGCTCTGGTCCCTTGTAGCTGATCGGTACAGCAGTGTAGGGCACCTGGGCGGATTGACCTAAAAGCAAAGTGTAAAAAGTAGTATATATTAAGAGTTATATAAATATTTTGGCACTGACCTTCGAGTGGATTTATGGATGTCACCGCTGGCATTTCCTTATTAATCATAATTTGCTTGTTTAACACCTGTTCGCCAGGTGCGACAATGCCATCCGTGTCCAGCACATCATGTTTAAAGATCACCTTGTTGGTCAGCGCATCCTTCACCGGCCCCATAATCCTGTCGAATGTCTGATTCGCGTAACGCTTGACGGTGCACTTGGAGTTCTTATAGACCAAACAACGCCCGTAGCCGCGATCAATCGAAGCCTTGTTTAATATGAGCGCATCCTCAATATCATAACCGGAGTAGCTCATTACAGCCACCGTGGCATTTTGGCCAGCAGGCAGCTTATCAAAGTTGGTCAACTCAATTGTGCGTGACTTGACCATTGGGGCTTGCGGATAGACCAAGTTGTACATGAGGGAATCGATGCGATTCTTTTGATTGTAGCCAATCATGCCCATGGCTTGTTTACCCATGGCACATTGATAGGTATTACGGGGGCTCTGATTGTGATGCGGATACGGCACCAGACCAGCACAGACGCCCAGCAATGTGAAGGGCTCAATTTCCAGATGCGTTGTGTGCGGCTCAATGTGCTCCTCGTTCCAGGCAATAAACGAATCGTTCTCCTCATTCACATCCAAGTACTCAATCAGTCCGTCATGCAGAAAGTCGTCGAATTTACGTACGCCGCGCAGCAGTTCATCCAGATGACGCTGCTGCACCAGGGGACGCGATTTCTCCACTATAATATATGGACGGCACAAGCGTCCACCGTCCGTATGTATAAAGATGCAGCGCTGCGTGTAGGAGGTGTGTATGGAGACGAAGCTTCCCATGCGTCCCTTGCGGCGCATATAGCGCAAATTGTGCACCAGATGCCGATGATTAATGGTCAGGCCCAGCACGTTGCCATTGATGAAGACAAGAAAAACGTGCGGATTATTGATGGGATTGCCGCTGACTTCGCGTATATCCTCGACGCCAGCATTGTATGCCAATGTCATGACTGGGCGTTCGTCCACTTCGGTCGTTATGTGCGTCATTAGCGCCAGATTCTTAACCAGGCCGCAAGCTTCGCCCTCGGGCGTGTCCGAGGGGCACAGCATGCCCCATTGACTCGGCTGCAATGAACGCGGTCCGGACACCTTGCGCGTCTTCTCAAACTGGGAGTTCACACGTGTCATCATGCCCAGCGCCGAAATGTAGCTGAGCCGCGATAGCACTTGAGTAACGCCAGCGCGTTCCATTTTAAAACGTTTGATTGTCCAATTTCCGGAACTAATAGCGGACTCGAGGCCAACGGTGATCTGTGCCGCTCTCATATGCTTGACCACATCAAACTGTGCCGCCTTCACCTTGGGTATATTCTTGTCCGCTATCATCTTTAGCTCCCAGTTCATGCGCTTGAACAGATCCTCAAACATTAACGAAATCAACGAACCAGCCAGCTCTAATCGCTTATTGCCATAATAGTCGCGATCATCGAATAGCGTTTTGTCCAGCTCCGCGGCCATCACTCGACGTACCATTAGCGATACATAAATCGCCTTCATTTGAAAGTTGAAATTGTCGACGGGCACGTGAGCCAGAATGGTGGTCAAAAGCAGCTCACGGGCCTCCTCCGAAGGTGTTTTATTGGTGGCGCTCTGAAAACGCTTCACCACCAGCTTGGATCCTGTGAAGACACGATAATGAAATTGATTTTAGTATATATTTTAGCTTTGCATTAGTGCAACTCACCCATGTAATCCAGGGCACGCTGCTGTGTGAAGACCTTTAGATTGAAGGCTTCCAAGAGGGAAGCTCCAAAGCGATTCTGTGAACGCGCATCTAGGCCAATGTGAGACATTATCTCCTGATCGGAAACTACGCCCAAGGCCTTGAAGATAACCACAATGGGTATGTCGTCGGTCATTGAGTTGTGCTTAAGATAATATTTTCCATGCTTGCTCAGAACCAGCGTGCGCGATTTCTTCTCATGTGTCGACGAAGTGACCTGGCATTGGACGACCCCGTTGAAGTCCTCGGTTAGCATTTTATTCCACGACAGCTGCTCCTGTATGAGAATTACTTTCTCCTGGCCACGCACCACAAAATAGCCGCCAGGATCAAGCGGGCATTCGTTCAACTTGGACAGCTCGAATTCGGATTTTCCGGTTAGCACACAATTGGAGCATCTCAGCATTAGGGGCATGCGTCCAATGAGCAAATTGTTGCGCTTAATACGCTGCGTGCCGCGTGTGTACTCAATGTCCACACTGATGGGCGCCGAGTAGGTGGTGTCCCGCAGCCGGCACTCATGCGGCGTGGTCGCTTTGGTTATGTTAAAGCCATCGTCAATATCCGGCTTACCCACGCGCACGTCCAGATACTTCAGGTAGAAGAGTGGGTCGGCGCCGCTGGTCACAATTTCGTTGGCACGAACAATTTTCTTTATGTCCACATTTATAAAATGATTGAACGAATCGATATGCTGTTTAACCAGGCCTTTCACCTGCAAAAAAGCCGGCACTAGTTTCCATTTCTCTTGCAGTGGCTTGATAGGCTTGCCCCATTCCTTGCTGTCGCCGGGCTCCCAAGTGTTATCCGCTGAAAGGGCATCAGTTTTTTTTAGCTCGACCATTTATAAAGAACTACTCAGTTATTAACAATAACAACGCGTGGTTAGTGGCGGACCAACATGCATGGCCATATCAGAAAGGTATATCGATAGTTTATTGGCGCTATCGATTGTGCCCTAACTTAAAGACAAGGCGCCTAATTTAAAAACAATTAATCTCAGGTGGCAGCGCTGCCTAATTGTCAGCGCAATTCGCGTTTTATTTCAAAACAATGCAAACAGAATTAAAATCCAAAGAATATATATATGTATTAACAGGCCTTAGACCTTTTTCACAATTTGCACCACATCTTCGTCATTGAGTATATGCTCAATGCCCACCTTTTGCGGTTGATGCTTCACGGAAGATCCCCAGACCAGCGCACTGTAAAAGATTATAGAAAGCATTTAGACTCAAAGAAAGTTACACAAATCGAATTTCTTACTATTTAAATTCCTTGGCAATAGACCGATGCAGCTTATTACAAAAGTCTTCGATGCTTGTGCGTTCATTGTGCAGCACCACCGGCGAACTGTAGTCGGGCAACTGTCCCTTGGGCTTGGTATAGATTCGAACCAGTCTTAAGTATTCCCACATCAACTCCAGCAGATCATCGAAGTTCCAGTGATGATGCGCTGATATAGGCACACAATGCGGTATCTTGTATATGACATCCAGTTCCTCAATGGAAATCTGATCAATCTTGTTCAGCAGATAGATGCACGGTATGTAAATGCGATTGCCCTCGATAACATCAATCAGATCGTCGCTAGTAGCATCATAACGTAGGGTTATGTCCGCATTGTGTATCTTATATTCCGACAATATAGTTTTGACCAGATCGGTTTCCAGCTCAGATTGGGGCACCATGCTATTGAGATTTATGCCACCCTTATCCTTCCGCTTGTAGTAAATATTTGGCGGTTTCTTGTTCAAACGTATGCCAAAGCCCTCCAATTCATGCTCTAGCAATTTCTTATGACCCAGTGGCTTGAGGCAGTCCAAAACCATGAAGATCAAATTGCAGGTGCGCGCCACAGCAATCACCTGACGACCGCGACCTTTTCCGTCCTTTGCACCCTCAATAATACCGGGCAAATCGAGCAACTGGATCTTAGCGCCCTTGTACTTAATACAGCCCGGCACAGTGGTAAGCGTTGTGAACTCGTAGGCTGCCACCTCAGAGTAAACACCAGCCAAATTCGATAGCAACGTCGACTTCCCCACAGAGGGGAAGCCGACGAAACCCACCCGCGCATCGCCCGTTTTGGCCACCTCAAAGCCGGCTGCAAATTAACGATTGAAGCTGCGTATTATTTCAAATCGAGGCTCAACTTACCTTCACCCGTGCCACCGCCACCGCCCTTTGGCGAGATAAGCTCACGGCGCAGCTTGGCCAGCTTGGCTTTCAGCAGGCCCAAATGGGCAGACGTTGCCTTATTCTTTTGCGTGCGTGCCATCTACATATACATACATACATTTAGAGGGGAATAAAGTGGGAGACAGGTTAGTTTTTAGTTGGCATATATTGGGATTCGTCCACTCACCTCCGACTCAATGGCCGCAATTTTTTCCAGAATTGTACTCATCGCTGCTACGTTAGTTGTTTAATACCAATGTTTAGTTAATTTAAAGAGCGCTATTTACAAAATTGTTATACATTGAAACGAAAATAAACTCGCGTGGAGAGTGTCGATACTTCGTCACTGCGATAATATTAAATCGATTTGTACAAGTCCAGTCGCACGTAAACTAATCGAAAAATTACCAAAACATGCAGGGATGCAGAAAATATTAACATTAGAACCTATAACAACAAATACGGTCACCTTGGCGCCAAAGTCTATTTTACTGTGTAACTGTCATTTTTCCAATGCAAAATGTTCACCCATAAAAGTAAGTAAAAGATATTGTGTCATGATTATATTTAATAAAACTTATGTGCAGCCAAAAAAAGTAACAGCCTGGCCACCAACACCCAGCAAAAATTCAAAGCCGAGCTAATGGCAAACGGACAAATGTTTGTCAATCGCAGTTTTGAAACTGCCTCTGGATTGCTGCGAAAAACTGGAAGTCAGCTGAAGCAAACCAAATTGAGCCTTTGCCAAAAAGAAAACAAGCTTATATTTTCCGGATTTGTTGAAGAACCACTGAAAGTTAAGCCCAAGCACGAGTTTGTCTATATGCCTGCTCCGAAAGGGCTCAATAAAAGTTTTGGCTATGCCCAAAACGGCGCACGTCCAATGCTCAAAGTTGAGCCGCTGGCAGCGTTGCCAACTTCACCAATGTCCAAGCCGGGACGTAATTTATTGAGCTTAATTGGCCGTGTGGACTTTTGCATTAAAATGCGTCGAAAGCAGCCTCATTTGAATGCACTTTGGAGTGCCTATGGTAGGCTGTTAATATTTAAACATTTTTCAGACTATATAAAGTTTTTTAAATGTTCAACAGGTAAGCTTTTGCGCGTTATTCCGGGCAAGCGAGGCGACCGAACACTGCTGCTGCGCAACGAGGATAAAGGCCCAATATTGCAGGCCATTTTCTATGATTTTGAAGATGAACTAAAATACTTGACAATTGGTAAACATTTGTAATATACTTAAGCCCTATTTTCTAATATTCCTGTATGCAATAGGTTGTTATGTGAATGTTGTGGGCCGTTTCATAGGCGAGAACCGTTTAAATACCTTCAGCGTTTCACAGGTAAGCATCGCCGATTGGCAACAGAATTTTACGCGCATAGAGAACGTAAATTCATATATATTAATGCAACATTCTAGTAGTAGCTTTTAGTTAGTTCTTTTAATATACAATTTAAGTCTAACTTTATAATTTTTGAATGGCAAAAAAATCAAATTTTCTTTTTAGTACTCGTAACTATTTAATCTGCTTAGTATCTATAAACAGAATTTGTTTTACACATTTTTCATTTTGTACTCTCACATAGGTTTTACACTTTTGCATATATAAATATTATTAGTATAATATAATTCATTTAGTTTAATTTATTTACCTAGCTGATAAGTTGATAGATTTAAACGCGCCTTTAAATTGGCCGTTTAGCTTCTTTAGCTTCTACAAAATTCGTTTATAAATACAACGCTGTTAGGTTTTGCTTTAGGAGCATTGCACAGTTACAAATATATAATTATATATATGTATACATATATAATGCTTCATATAAATAAAAAAAAATAAATTAATCCCTAATTTGTGGAAAGGGGGAGTTTACGATTATTAAATCGGGACTGAGTTATATACTAATACTGCTGCCATATTTGACTTAAGGAAATGCTCGGTGTAACTGCAACGTGCAATTACACATCCACATACATGAGAAATGTAACCATTATTCCCGCGCCCAGCGCGCACCAATAGTTCAGCTGCACAGCTGAGCTCCTTAGACGAGATCTGCAAAAGCAAAGTTCGTTAGAAAAACCTATGTACCATATTTATTTAGCTGCTTCCGCCGCTTAATCTTACCGCTGTTTAGAGCGAGGCGAGAAGGGCGCTGGTGGAATAACGCCTGGCACAGCGCTGTCCAAGTAAACAATGGCATAGCAAAAAACAGACACAATAACGCCCCACAGCAATGGGCTCAGCTTGGAGCGCATTTGGTGCTGCTCCGACCAGTCCAAGGCAGCGCTCAGCTGTGCCTGCACATAGCTGCTCAGCTGCTGTACGTTGCTGCCGTTGATGTAGGGCACTGTGGGCGGCAATTGGAAATAAGTTATTAATAGACACGCTCGCCAAGGTCAGCGATTTGATATTGGCTTGTATCAGCAGCACGATAAACGCACAAAAAAAAAACAAACAAATTTGTTTCTCACATCTGCTATTCACTCGCCAATTGCGAAAGCAGGCAGAAAATATTGAGGAAAACTCTTAGCTCGACCAGTTCTGACGCCTACTCAAGTACTGCACAGTGGGACATCATAATAAATATATAAAGTAACTCAATTTATAAAAAAGCTCAAGATTGTGAAAAGACATACTGTTGCGTTAAGATAAGAAACATTCATTATTATGATTAATCAATTTAATTAAAAATATATTACTGCTAATAAATAAGTTCAATTTTACGTCAATGCAATCCAAACTTCTTCCACTGTGCGTTTTCGGTCGCGTGACGCGGTTGAGTTCAAAATACCGTTAAGTCACTCACAATATAAAAAAGAACTTGACATGTTTGTATGTAGCTAACACATACTTAGATATGTATATACATATGTAAACAAAGCCTAAAAGATGATTTTTTAGCAATTAGTCAAATATCGCTGATGGCTTTCAGCCTTGCGTATGCAAATGAGAATTGGCTGTTGGCTACTAACAAAATGCGCAACAGTCAATTGGTGAGTCTTTATTTAGATGCTTAGAGCATTTAAAGGAGTGGGGGGAGAGAGGGGGGGGGGGTTGTTTGAGTGACTGAGGAGAGCGCTGGAAAGGCGCAATACGAAGGTGAAACACAAAAGCAATGAGAATGAAAATGGGCATGAGATCATACAATTTGCCATTGCCCGTATACATCTACATATGCGCATTCTGCTATTTTTAAGCCACTTTGTAAACAACAACAAAACAAAAACACAAGTGCAGCCTTGATGAATGCTGCATGAATGTACTCACTTGTTAAAGTGATGATTCTGTACCCGATAATTATAATGCCAAATAACAAAATTAGAGCTTTCAGGCGCACATCAAAGGTCGGCTCCTGCCCCTTGACACTAGCAGCACCGCCACCGCCCACGCAAATGTAACGTTTTGTTGTTGCTTTGGCCAAATCAAAAAAACCAATGGCGTCGTTGCGTTGCTGCGATTTTCGTTGCTTGTTGAATTCGTTTATGGGGGTTGAGGTGTATATGCGCTGCTGCTGCCTGTTCGGCTGCACGTTGGTTTCCATACTGATAGCAGCGGATGGGCTTGTGCCTGACTTGACGTCGATTCGCTGCCGTGTGACGTCACTCTCAGCTAAAAATGACTGAGTTTCTTGCAGCGACTGCATGACCAATGCTGGCTGCATAGTAAGTCCTTCACTTTATGGTACAGCCCTTTCTGGGTCTTTTTATATGCACATTTATTCACTTTTCATACAGTTTAATTAAATTTTACCAAAAATAAAAAAGAAAAACAAACACAAACGACGCACCCCCGCTGCCGATACAAATGCAATTGAAGCGTTGCCAAGCTGCGTGCGCATAGTGGCAACACCCCGTAGCGCAGTGCTACCGTAGTATTTTAGATTTGTTGCGCGCGTAGCTCATAAATTTGAATTGTTTTTTGGACCATTTTATTTATAATTACTTTTTTTAAAATAATTATTTGTATTTGAAAAACAGTAATAATAGTTAAATGTACAATTTTTTTTTTCTTTTCTCCAAATATTAATGTTATTTCATTACGCTTACAACAATGTTCTTCAATTGTTTTAATACATTTTGAATGTATTCTCTGTATTTTATGAATATGTATGTTTTTATGTTTTATAAGAATATTATGATTAATCACGCATTTTATATTAACTAAATTTTAACTGCGTTCATAGAAAAGTTAATATTAATTTCTTCTTAATAAGGCTTTGTTACTTTACGTCGGGGCATACTTTTTAACTAATTCGCATTCTAACTTCTTTTATTTAGTTTTTATTCGATAAATTTGTGTTATATATCTAAAAATAATTTCTTTCAAAATAATGGAAAAGGTTTAAAATGAAACAAGCCGGAGGAAGGAGCATAATACGAAACAGTACACAATTAAAATATATAATAAAATAATATTAATAGAGGTAAAACTATGCTCTTTCAAAATTACAACTAAAATTAACAAATTAGGCGACACTATCAGAGATTTTTATGTTGCCATGTTGGTTGGTCTGTTTGTTACATCCATCCACACACAACAGAGGTTACAATAATTTCAAGGATGCAATTGTCTGTCGGTTGAGGGTTTCTTGTTGGTCCGTGTGTGTGTGTTTGTTTGTTTGTTTGTGTGTGTGTTCTAATCGTAGTACCCATCTACGTCTTAAATATTTAGTTAACTTAGGGCCTAGACTAACACTAAACTAACAAGTAGCCGCATTCTTCTCTACGATTTGGCGGGCGCTGCGGCACCGCCGCGCGTTCGCTTAGTCATTGGCTCCGTTGTGTCTGCGGCACGTATGTTATCAAATAGATTGTTTTCCTACAAACAATTTAAGCAATTACAAACAAATTGTAAATGGCAAGCCGTGTCAATTTACCTGTGAATTGTCATCATCCATAATTGCCAACGCTGCAGCCCGTTTAGAACCAGCAGCAGTTGCATGTGACGTAGCCGTTGTCGTCGTCGCAGAGGCTTTACTTGTCTTCGCGCCCAGGGTGTATACGTCCAACGGTATATAGATTTCATTATTCTGGAAATTTGCAACGGCGGGCAGTTTATAGTACATTTCAGGCAGCGCCAGTGGCATTGAGAATGCGCTCGAATTGCCATCACATTGACCAACTTTAGCATCGATTATGTGCATGGCGAGATCACAGAGCGCCCACATTTTCTATTTAAACAGAAGCAAAATTACAAGTGTTGCCACAGATGTTGCCATATAATAATAAATACATACATAGTTATTTTGCATTCTATCCTTGTCCGTGCTCTGGCTATACTCGCGCTGTTTGATCAGCTGCAGCAACTGTTTGTAGAAGCCATAGACAAATGACTCGCGTTTCGCCATCAGCGGTTCCAGTATGAAACGCAAACACTTTTCCATCTTGCGCAGCTGCACATAGTCCTCGTGGCTCGTGAAGCTGGGATCGTGCACCAGCACCGGGATGGCAAAGGCCAGCATGTAGTCAGGTAAAATATGCAGCGACTGCGATTCCGTAGAGCTGTCCGGTGCTATATAATATAAAAGTCTTTCGTTTACTTTTCTTTGCTACGGTATTCACTACAACTCACACGTCATGGCCACAGTCTTAAGATATTCCCGTCGTTTATTCACATCCGCTTCCACATAATGTCGCACCTGGTCTTGCAATCTGTGTATAGTAAAAATAAAGATAGATAGTAATTGGAATTATATTCAAAGTCGACTACGTACTTTCTATTGGTCTCCTTGCCGCTAAGCACATAGTAACCCATAAAGTCCAAGGGTAAGCAATTGCGCGGTAGACTCCTGCCCAAGCCCTTATGCAATTTTCGAGCAAATATCTCACGCACTTCCAGCACCGGATCCTCCTGCATTAAGATACAGACTTCAACGTATAATCGTGTAATTTGCTATATGTACTCACCATTAGTTGGGAAAGCTGTAAATACTGCTCGGCACTATATTGATCGCCAACACCCTTCTGTTCACACACCTTGAGCATTGCGCAGGCTGCGCCGAGACGCAACCAGGACTTCTCGGCACCACACAGTCGATTCTGGGCAAGCAAATCGCCGCGCTGATTAACAAAGGCTGCAAGCATGCGGAAAGTTTTCTGCGCTGCATGCTCATCTGAACGTAAGCCAAGTAGCCAACGCGCCATTGTCTTAAGAGCATCCAGCTTGCAGAGTGTATCGGGCGGCAGCTCATCCTGCTCGCACCAATCGCTTTCAGGCAGTTCGTGTTCGCGTTGCGCCGGAACTTCCTGTATGAGAAGCTCTTTGACAATTCGACGGGCAATCATGTTCTTTATGGGTGTTAGGAATGCCTGCGGCATGTTGAGCGCGATGTGTCCCAATGTGACAATCTTGGTGCGTTGATATTCACAATTGGGTGCGAGTTTAACCCTCAGTTCCTCAATGATCTCATTGAAAATGGGATGCACCGTTTGGGTTGTAGTTGAGGCACTGCCGCCGCCATCCGTCGTGGCCGTCGATGACGATTGACTATTGACAAATATACAGCGCACCGCATGTTTTGCCTGCTTGGGCGTACCCATTAGCGCAAAGTCCTTGCAGATGGGCGCCAGTTCATTCAGTATAGCCGGATTGGCATCGTCGATAAGCGGCTGATAACGACCTAAATGCGTCAGCGTTTTCAGCACCAACGGTGCCACATATTCGTACTCATAACTTAGTAGCGCAATTAGATGTCGCAGTGAGGTATCCGTAAAGAAATGGGCCGAAAAGACATAAGATAGCATCTGAAAAAAATACCAAAAGCTAAAGTTCTGAGGACGCCGTATATTGCTTCAATTTGCACTCTACTTACGCTTAACAACTTTAGGCCGCGTTCGCCTGCTTCGTGTGATGGTATTCCAATCTCGTTGCAAATTTCACCGCCCTGAATGCACTGCTCGATTAAGCTGCAAAAAACAGAGTCATTAAAGAAGGAATTGGGCTTTCGATAAATGTGGGTACACAGGTTCGTTACCTATTAGTCGACTTACCCGATCAGCACTCCAATTGACTCCTTGTCCACCATGACGGACGCCACTCGTTCGATGAGCATCTTGACTGTGTTATAGTAAAGATTAGTCATAACATGAGCGCCTAGTTTTTTGAGCAGCACGCTCATTGTGTCGGCGCACTCGCGACAACTGACATCGCGTTTGAGAACAATGTTTATGCAGCGTAGCAGCTGCGCATCCTTGCGCAGATGTTGACTGAACTGTGTGATAAACTCACTAGCCTTCAACGGATCCGGCAGCAATCTAAAACAAGGATTTAATATGTTATTTAGAGTTCTTCCAATAAACATGTAGATATCTGATCTTACTTGGCAATATTGGCCTGTTTGGCGGCCAATTGGCTGAGCACGCGTGGTGTAAATTCCTTGGAGTGATGCAACTTTATCCAATCGCTAACCGTGTGGCGTGATTTCATCTGATTTTTTTGAAGCTCGACAAACGCTTTGGTCGCATTTGTATCCAAATCACCCAACAGATGATACAGCTTCTTCATTCGCTCCTCAGGCGCCAGTTTATACGGCACCAGACAGGTGATGAGCAGCCGCTCCACCAATAGTTTGTCCTCAAGGCAAAGCTTATAGTAGCCATGCATGATTTTGTTCTTTATCCAATCCACCTGCTGTTTCACCTCTGAACTTAAGTCGTTTGGCTCGCAAATTGCGCGCTTGTAGATGTAGCCCAGTCCGTTCATAGCATCACGACGTATTTTGTATTTCTTGTCCATTGTGCGTTCGCGCACAATTTCTAATAGTTCCGGCGATTTGACAACAATGTCAAAATTTCGTTTCCCTGTTTCCACAATGGCCATCACAACCTCATGGCGCACCAGCTCGTCCAGATCGTGATGACGCATGCGGAGCTTTTCGGTTATTTCAGACTGCAGGTGCGGATGATTGAGTAGAAAATGCATTGAAGATTGAACGCATTTAACGCGCACAGGCTCAGTAATGTCACAAAATCGACCAAAAAACGTACGCAAAAGCGATGGATACTTCTTTGACAATTGTGAGTCCTTCTCAGAAAACATGCGTGCCAGCAGTGTTGTGGCTCCTATTCAAAGAGGGCAAAAGAATAATTAGTTTTTCATCAAATATCAAGCATATGTGATTAGAGAGAATTGATAAAAACTTTAAGACCAACTCTGTCAAGGTCATATCATAGGCAAATATTAACCAGCAGATTTTCATATGGATTGACGAAATAACAAAACGTTTGGTCAAATTAAACAAATACAAACTATAATTATATGAATATGCATCACCACTTACTCAATCGCTCGGCGTCGTCGGTGGAGAGAAGCTTATTTTCCAGCTGCGGCAGCACCGAAACCAGCAGGTCGCTGTTGATTTGGTTAAGCTCATAGATGATATCATAAATCTTGCTCGTAATGGCAAGCTTGTTATTCGGCTTGTCCATGACCAACGAACGATTGAAGAACTAAGTAAAAAATCATATTATAAAAACTTAATTTGTAGATCTGATAATAAATATTTGCTAACCAATTTGATGGTTGCCTCGAAGGCATCGCCCGTTTTGACCAAAAGCTGCTCCGTCAGCTCGTGGGCATACTTGTTGGTCGACTTGTTTGGCTCCACAATGTTGATAAGTATAAGATCCAAAAGTTCGACAGACAAATTATCTGCCTCGGTTATCAGCGGACTCAGCACATCAAGGAAAAAGTTCTTCACTTTCACGCTGTGCTGATCACTACAATTATAAATATTTGTGTCATAATAATTATTAACAACGCAATAATTGCAAACCGTTCTTACTTGATGATCTTAAAAACGGTGCTAAAGAGCTCATGAAATATTTCCTGGCAGTCCTCCAGCTCGAAGCACATGTTAAATGACTTGACAAAGGCCAGGTTTTCTAGCAAGTAAAAATAACGCTTGAACGAGGGATCACGCGGATCCTTCAGACCATGGAGTTGCTTGATGAAAAACTTAAAAATCGCTTTGATTTGATCCTGCTCCTTGTAGGGCGCTTCGGGCGCATAAACGCGCAACACATCCGCTATGCAGCATGCAATCAGCAATTGGACATCCCGCGACTGATGCTGCATAAAAAAATCATCGAGTAGGTGCAAGGCTAGAGGTATATACTGCTGATGCAAATTGTCATCTTGATCCATTGTCTGCAGCACATTGGCCAGTGTCTGCGGGGAATAACATTAGTTGATTAATTTTATTAGGAATAGAACTATATTTGCACATACCTTAAGGCGGCGTATAAGCTCATCTGTGCCCAGATCCTCAACCAACGGCCGACAGCCGTTGGGATAAACAATGTCCGCCATTGTTAGCTGCTGCTAAAAGTTCTCTCTCTCCCTCGTCACGCTCTTACCTGTAGACAATATGCAACTGTAAATGTAAACAATGAAGGCAAAACAAGACAAAAATTAAAATCAAGAGCGACGCGTGCTAAGTGCATTCCCTATGATAATAATAGAAGAGATATATTCAAAGTATTAAAAAAAAAACAAAAACAAGCGTGACCCTCAAGTTGCTAAAAAAAAAAAAAAAAAAAAAAAAAGCCACTGCAGCGCCAAAGCAGCGCGGCAGCATTGCCAAATCAACGGTTACAGCGGGCGGCAGCATTGCCAAGCCACTCGCTTGTGCCACACACACACAACACATTTATATATATATATATATATATGCAAACTACTAACAACTTGAGACACAAATAATGGAAGTTTTCTTTTGCACATTAATATCAAAATATCAAAAGAAAAGTTTTTTGCAAGCCGTACACTATATGGCATTTTCAGAGTTTTTCATGCAAATTAGATTCATTTTGCAGCTGCAAATTTTACGGAGAGCTGGTCTTACTTTTCACAATCTAAGAGCAGCAGCCAGCGGTAAAAAATCGCCAAATTCTATTAGTCGATGCCGAACTTTTAAAGCACAAGCACGCTTAGTTTTATCCGAAAATACACCATACAAACACTTTTTATGCACACTATGTTGTCATTTTCAACTATTTGTATTATTTCAGCTGTAAATTATGATGCGTTTGTTGTCAGCAAGAAAAATTTCAACAGCGCACTTTTTGTGCGGAATGGCACGCCATTACTCTTCTGCACAGTGTGGCCAGACGGTGTGAAATGTGGCTGATGGCCAGCAACCATGCCAGTCGAGTTGCATTTCCATAGCTTGCCTCAAATTTGCGCTTACATACTTCGTTTACTCCGATTCGCGTTAACATGCTGTATTTTCATTAACAGCTGTCCGAACGCTATATGCAAATGTTTTTCTTATCTGTGTGATCTGAGAATGATAATGCAAAGTTTAAATGCGCCGACCGTTAGCGCTTACGGCACAGCCTCTAACGGCGTTGCTCGTATTTAAATTTCAAACTGCCAGCAAAACACGCTCTCATGACAACCAATAGGTGCGCATGGCCACCAGAGTCGCCAAGTGGAAATCAACAAAGTATCCAACCGGCTGGGCTGTGGTAAGTGCACTCGCTGTGTTGCTCTAATAATCAGCCACAGCCCTTCTAATACTTTTTAATTTAATTAGGCACTACAGCGCCGAGTGTGCTTGTCCCCCAACGCAAGCGAACCAGTTGTCAGTTGCATGAGGTGCCAGCGTCGTCTCTCAAGTTGAAACATATTCAACGCAAAACTTACGTAAATTCTGCATATGCATTTTTAAATATAGACATACGCAGGTAACGCCATGTTGCAAGGAATGCCCTACAATCTGCTAAAATTATATGCAGCGCCTAATTAATCAAGCAAAGAAGCCCAACGCCCAGCATGATTATGGCTTCTTTGCGCGTAGTCAATAGGTAAAAACATGTCTAAGACAAGTGTCTTGCAACAAATACGTACAAGTATAACAGTATAACAGTAACCTAATATCTTGCAGATTAGTGTGTCGTGGCTTTGTTGTGCTGACGCTGCTGCTCATGTTTTTCAATGAAGTACTTATTTACTATATAGCGCAGTCCAGCTGGAACCCAATCGATTGCAAGCTGGGTAAGATCTTTAAAACGGTTCAACAACATTAATGAGTGACCTATTCCGTGATTTCTTGTAGAAAACTGCACACGTCTGCTGCTTATTGCAGATCCACAAATCCTAGGCACCTCCTACGATCGTTCATCGCACAGCCCGCTTGCGCGTTACGACTTGGATCGTTATCTACAGAAATCCTTTGATCGTGCCGTATCCTTTACACAACCTCACATTATAGTATTTCTAGGTGATTTGCTCGACGAGGGTAACATAGCTACCGCTCAGGAATACAAGCAATATGTGCAGCGCTTCAAGCGTATCTATAGGAATAAGAAGCTAACAAATGTATGTGATCAATTGCCTGCATTTATTCCCTACTCAACCGATGTATATACTTAGTTTCGCATGATTTCTGCCTACTTTCAGCGTGTTCATGTCCCTGGTGATAACGACATTGGCGGCGACAATGGCGACTACATTTCCAACTCAAATCAGCGACGTTTTGAAAATCACTTTATGAGCGAGGATCTGTTTGACTATGACAATCATTTACGTTTCTTCAAGATCAATCGCATGCTATTGGATTTCACAAATCCAGATAAGGAGCACAATGCCGAACGTCTACGCATTGGAGTCACCCATGCACCACTGCTTATTGGCGGTGGGCCGCTGTTACGCGCCGTTATTAGCGATTTGGATCCACATATTATTTTTTCTGGTCACTGGCACGAATCGCGCATATTTATATACCCGTCGACAAAAGTAATTAATTTTTATGAGAATGCCGTGCGGCATTTTGATCTGAAAGCGCTCAAGGAACAGGAGCACAGCTACCTGGAGATTATGGTGCCAACATGCTCGTATCGTATGGGTAAATCCAAGATTGGCATGGGGTATGCGGTGCTAGGTGAGTGTGTGACGACCTAAAAGGGGACAGCATTCAACTTATTTGCATCTTTTTTAGAAAATTATAATCTAAGTTACACGGTCCTGTGGCACCCCAATCGCTTTATACTGCTCTTCACATATGTGTTTTGGGGCCTATTTGTGCTGTGCAGTGCCATTGTCTACAAAATGATGACACGATGTCCCTTCCGAGTGGCCAAACGGCAATCTGTTTATAGTCGTGTAGCAAATATACCTCAATTTTAGACTGTATAATCCTACATATATTTATAAGCAATAGATTCTTTTTATTAACTAGTGTAGCTTGTTATAATCAAAATATATCGCATATTAAAGAACTGAATAAGTAGAAGCCTAACAAAATCAATGTCATAACTGAGTATTATAAAGAAGAAAGAATTGCGTCATGGATGTCTGTTTGACTGTTTAAAAATAAAACATAATATAAGGTGTAAATTCAATAGTGAACACTGCTCGATAGGAGCATAAAACGTAGTGCTGCGCAGAGTTCCATTCGCCGCGTAGTAGTAGTCTACAGAATACTGGTAAATACTGGGTACAGTTAAAAACGCATGCGTCGACCGGCTCGTGCCGCCTGGCAGCCTTAAATTAGCTCGTTGCGGCGTCAGTTCAATTTTGAATGCGAACGCATGAGGTTATCGGCTGGAATATACTCTGCCCCTGGGTTACGGACTATGCAGCAGGATAATTAAGCGTGACGCGTGTGCGTAACATAAAAATAAACATTAAGCGGCAGTTTGGCCGCCACTGTGCCAAGTGAAATGAACTGAAGCTGCGCTGTGGAAAATTGAAAACGAAACGGGCGGAAACGGAAAAATTCCTGCTACACAAATTATAAAGAGAAGGCCCGCACACCGGTTTTTTTTAAAATTTTTTTGTTGTTCTTTTTTTGCGAACCTCAAAAGAGAATTAAACAAAAAAAAAGAATAAAGAAAAAGGAGAACGCAAAATCAAAGAAATTCTTCAAGTCGCACCATGATGAAGTCACAGATAAACGTGAGACGGCTGTTCCTGGGCTACGCTCTGATCTTCTGCGCTTGCAGCTGCCTGCGCGGTGAGTTAACATTGCTTGCCACCGAATGTTGCAACAACTTAACCGTGTATCTTACAGCATCGCCAGCGCCACCAACGGATGTCAGCATCACGCAGGGCCCCAAGGGGTGGCTGACCGTTAAGGAGCAGAGCGTGCTCCAAATCCCCTGCGTCTATCAGCTGCCGGATTTGCTCAGGCAGAGCAACAGCGTCACGTTGCGCTGGCGCAAAGATGGCAAAACCTTGCGCCTGGTGGAGCTGGGCCAGGCAAGCAGCACCACCAGCGAGCCGCAGCTGGAGACATTGCTGAGGGAGGATGCGCGTCTCACGCTCAACAAGGAGACCGGCTCGCTGCACTTTGCCAGCGTTTTGGCCAGCGATGCGGGCGTCTATCAATGCCAGTTGCTTGTGGAGGGGCAATCGGCGGTCAGCTCGGGCAGCGGCACACTGGAGGTGATCGAGCAGTTGAAATTTATGCCGCAGCCGACATCGAAAAATCTGGAACTGGGCAGCGTTAGCAAGGTGCATTGCAAGGCGCAGGGCACGCCGGTGCCCCAAGTCAAATGGATGCGGGTAAGTGAAGAGGCTACACATAGACGTAAGTTAAAGCCAACTATAGCCCTGACATCTTCCTTTAGGAAACACAATTGCCACTGCCGGCAAATGTAACGGACCACAATGGCACGCTGATATTTCGCGGCGTTGCCAATGAGCAGCGGGGTCAGTATACCTGCTTTGCGACGAATAGTCAGGGTCAGATAAGTGCCACAGTGTCCATCAATGTGGTGGTGGCGCCCAGGTTCAGTGTGCCGCCCGTGGGGCCCATTGAGGTGGGCGAAGCGGATGTCGCCGTCATGCACTGTCAGGCTACGGGAGAGCCCAAGCCAACGATACAGTGGGACAAGGATTTGGCCTATCTGAACGAGAACAACACAGATCCGGCACGCTTTCGTCTGCTGGAGAACGGCACACTGGAGATACACAATGTGCAGGCGGAGGATGAGGGACGATATGGCTGCACCATTGGCAGCAGTGCGGGCTTCAAGCGGGAGGAGGTGCTGCTGGTGGTCAGGAGCAATAAGTCTGCCTCGAATTCAATTGTGACGCGCATTATAATCGTAATCATTTGCCTGGCATTTCTCTACTTTGTGCTCGTACTGGGCCTGAAATTGTGGTATCGCTATCGTCGCCACATGGGCAAGGTGCAGCTGGATGATGCGGCGCATGCAGCAGCAGACGCCGATGCCGATGTTGATGGTCATGAGCATGCCGAGCATGAGCCCTGCCTGACCGAGGCGAACTCCAGCAAGAACCTGAAGAGCAAATTGCGCGAGAGCACCATACTGGAGCAGGAGTCGCAGGTGGCCGATGATATTGTTTAGGATATGGCAGTGGAATTTGGCTCTCCAGTTTGCCACTTTCAATGATCTCTTTTGGCTGGTCTCCACTGGCCATTCCACATATGTTAATCCCATTTGTTTGTTGAACGTGTGAAGCCCTTACCTCTAAATCTATTTGTATTTATATTTATCTATATATATACATATATCTATATTTATATTTATATTTATATTTGTGTGTATCTGTGTGTATATATATTCATGTACAGTTATTTTTTTAGTAGAATAAATATTTTATAGCTCTCATAGAGCCCCCATTTTATAGTGCAACCGAAAATTCCACTTGAATGGTTATGGCGCGGAGTTTGGGAATTCTATCGTAAATCTCATGTATCGCTTGGAACATTTTACGGCCGTACATTCGCTGCCCACTTGGCGTACCCATAAAGCACACGATGCGGCAATGCTCAACAGTTTTTTATGTACTTTTTATGAGCGCTGCAGCCGGCAAGCAATGAAATGTGCCAAGTGACGAGTACAAGACAATCCCCCATCACCCATTCCCAATCCCCAGCACAAATTCCATTCAGCTGCAAATGAAAATGCCATAAAAAAACCAAGCAGTTACATTCCCCTGAGCAATGTCTAAGATGGCGAATCTGATATAGATGAACTGAAACGTCGAGATTCCATTCTAACTTACCCTAAGCACTTGCAGAATACTCAAGCGGTGCTCAAAATTGTTATAATATAATTATATACTTTGTTAGTTACAAATATACTAATTGTCATAATATAATTGTTTAGATCATCAAGGTATTCCAATGCTTGAGTTTATAAACAGAAGTGAATAATGAAAAGTAACCTTTGGAAATACTTAAAATATTCTTATATTGTATATTGAATAATGTGAGTTAATCAGATTTAGAAATCTCAAAATGATTTTGAAGAAAGCGGATTATGGATTATATGAAAATCTTAAAATAAATTTGAAATAAAATTGTTTCTCGATGTAAAAAACAAATTTTAATGAAATAGTTATCTTAAATAAAAATATATTGAGTTTTTCTCTGCCAGTTTCCCTTCTAAGTACGGGGAACATTTGAGAAATATGAAATATGACGAGTCGATCTAGCCATGTCCGTCTATCTAACCGTCTGCCCGTCCGTCCGTACGTATGAACGCAAGGATCTCAGAACCTATAATAGCTAGAGACTTGAAAATTTAGCTGTAGGTCATCTTAGTCCCCGCGCAGATCGAGTTTGTTTCCGATATTCGATAACTTGCCCCGTTTCTAAGTAATCGATAAAAATCGATATCGAAATCCTGTTTTTTGAGCAATTTCGGCAAATAACATGAGCTAGAGTTACCAAACTTGACATGTAGCTTCTAGAAGAGTATATATATCAAGTATCTTTAATTTTATACCTATTGCCTGTTGGAAGAAGAGGGTTCAGGGTATCCCCTAGTCGAAAGCTCCCGACTAGAACCTCTTGTTTTATATATAGACTCCATATTGTTGGTATTCTTTTGCCCGCTTTCAATTACCCTTTAAGTTCTCCAAGTTTGCCATCTTTATCCAACTTTTGACAGGAAACCCTCTTATCTGGACGTGGTTCACTACCCACCGAATTCCTTGATTCGCACAACGACAATTTCCAGTCGATTGCCAACGTCTGCACTTAATCGCTTTATTTTCAGTTTTCGTTTCGAGTTCCATTTTCATATTCATTTCCATGTGGCTTGCCTGCTGTTCAGCTTCAAACGCAAATGCCTTTTTGCCTATGCGTTTTATGCATATTTTATGGTTTTTTATAGCTCGCGCATAAACAAATGCGCCCATAGCCCAACCCAACCCAGCACAGCCCCAGCTCCAGCCCAGGCACACATCAAAGGCAACTACACATGCGCAGGTTAACTGACAACCGGAGCTGCGGGCAGAGCTGAAAGCAGAGCGGCACCAACACATGGACACAGATAAAAAGCGGCAAGTGCAATTAAACGATCCCTCCTACCACCCCTTCCCTCATTCCCCCCATTCCACTATCCCTATGCCCTACACCGCGTCGCACTGGTGCCTCCATTGGCTGCCTTTGATCTGCGGCGGCGCTGGCGACGACATCGACATGCATTAAAACTCGTTGCTGGGGCCTCTGCCCTTCCGTATTTCCCTTATTTTTATACCTTGAACCCATCGAAAATGGGTAACAAAAAGGGGCATACTAGCGAGTTGCAAGTGTTTGTAACGGACAGAAGAAGACTTACCAAAAAATATATATATATATTGATCAGAATCAACGAATTAGCTATGGCTGTCTTCCGGGAACTATCGATATTCTCCATTTCTCGAGAATTGCAACTAGCTAGAGTCAAATTTAGTATAAAGGTTTGAAATCACAAAAAAAAATCATTTATGTAACTATATCTTTGGGTTTTGGTATTTATACATATTCGGATACCATATTTGTTCCCTGAATATATCAGAGAGATTGGCCTTTTAACCTCAAGTTGACCTTTTAACCTCAAAGTTGCAGGGTATATTCTAGTCGGGCTCAGCCCCGACTACAGATCTCACATGTTGTTTTACTCTCTTTTTGTATTTTTTTTTTCGTATGGATACTTTTTCGTCTCATTTGTTTATAGTGAGTGCACGGAGAGAATGCAGCGAAACACCTCCAAAAGTTGTTCGAAATATGTTTATTTTGTTTAGTCTACGCAAAGGCCGCATTACTAAAATTTATTTTAATGCCTTTAAATGTTTGATGTCTGCAGACATTGCCGATATATATATAAAGGTATATATAGTATAGTAAAATTATACGAGGCGTTGAGTTAAGGTAAGCAGCGTTATATATAGTAAGTAGTGCTACTCCGGCAGCAAAACACATACATTATGCTTAGACGTAAATACTTGAGTACCTATTTATTCTAGTTTTTTTTTGTTTGATCAGGCATAGACGGTTTTCGCTTTGAACATTTTCAGTATTCTAAACAAACTATGCACAAAGCTGGAAAACGTTTTTGAAGCGAACCGGTTTAAATCCGGAACCAAGAACCAAGATTAATTGGCCGAATCGGAACCAAAATCGACCTTACTAAGTTAGTTCCCGAACCGAACCTTAAGTCGAGCCTTTGCTTGGAACCAAGAAGCGAACCACTAAAAAAAAGGTTGTTTCAGCTTGCAGCCTTGATTATTAACACTACATTTGCCTTTTCTGGGGCGATCCTCCCTGGCCCCTGCCCCGTGGCCCGCTCGTTTAAACAATGAAAATATAAACCCAAATAGGCAGACAGACATAAATCTCCAACTTTATGACATCAATAACTGTCGCTGGGCATAGGAATGGCAACGCGCATTGACGGGCCCAACATTTTGGCTGGCGTTTGATAACCGCAGTCCCAGGCTGTGCCGCTGTTAATCAGGAAGACCACCCCTCAACATATATATATATGTATACATATATACAAATGGCAACGGCATTTTATGACCTTTGGGTGTCAGTCGGTCGGCAGGCGGCGCGTCGACAGGATCTGTTGCAATTGTTTTGGGTTCGCTCTTTTGGGGGTTGAAAGGCGTCGTAAAAAAAGCGGAAAACTATAAAATGAAAAACACACAGAGTCCAACACACACACACACACACACACATTTAATCGGTCGGACCACGCACAGTAGTCAACAGTCGCTTTGTGTCTTAGACGGAAGCTTCTTGCAGCCTTCCAGCCGTGCGTCCGCTCATAAACACAGCAAGCCACCCACCCATCCAGCCAATCCTCTTCCACACGAGTCCAGCTAGCCCAGCTACTTTATATACATTGTAATCATCGCCAGCTCGTGCTTGGTCATTAAGGCGCATTATTGTTTGGGTTTAGAGTCGCGGCTTGTGCCGGGCAAATGCTGATTATTGATAACTTCATTTGGCATTGTCTGTGTGGATCGAGAGAGATTAGCCCCAACTTCTAATTGGCACTGATTTGAAAGCTGACATTGATTTATGCATTAATCCTCAAGGCGTCCACTCAGGCTGGAGTTATGTCGAAATCTTAAATACATACTCCCATGTTTATTCCGTAATAATCTAAAAAATAATAGATAATAATCGTGTTAAGGTAAATACGCATAAAAATAAGTCCGAGCGTCGGACTAACAAGCGAAAGGTTGCCAGCTCAAATTGAGCGGCAACTGTCTATTACTACACATAAAATTTCTGATCGATAAATAATTAAATAGATAATGCTTAGAGAGACGCTTAAAAATAAGTTTAACTAATACATAGCTTGAAATATTTGGCTTTGGTACAGAACTATATTAGGAACAGAACGAATATTCTAATATATAAAAATGTTAGCAACTGACAATAAATATTTTAACTTGAAGAAATGCTGCATTCAAAATAATTTAATCCAAACTTTAAAAGACACCCAACTTTAATCGTTGTATTTACAGTTTTAATTGTATGTACAGTTTTATAGCCTGTTCGAAGAGAGTTTAACTAACTCTTTCGCTCTTTTTCATCAACAACTAAATTTTCCATTTCTCATTTCAAAAGCCGCCCGTTTGCGCGCCAAGCAAGGCAGCCCAGTATTTGCCAGCAGTGGCACGGCAACACTGTTCGAAAACATAAAAAAAAATACTGGTCACACACACCGAGACCGGCAGACAGGCGCAGAGCTACAAAGTAAGAGGCATTCCCAGTATGTGGCAACATTAAAAGCCGGTTCCACAAACAACTCCGACTGCCGCAAGTCTTCAGTAATAAACAGACGTCGAACGCACGCGGTTCTCCTGAATTTGTATTTTGTGTATCTGCGACCGTGCCGCTACGTATCTGTATCTGCCAGCTGCTACGGCGACCCCTCACCTATCGCGCTCGCGCTCGCTCTATAAAAATACACAAAAAAAAAAGTGGAGGAAGAAGAAGCAGCAAAGCACCCACCAATAACAAAAATAAAAGCCGGTTCGGTTCGCAGGCACGTCAAGGATGCAATGCATTGAATATTTTGTATCTTTGGGATACAAATTAAGTTGATTTGTTGCGCTCGCCTTGTGTGCGCTTCGTACGTCTACCACGGTATTACGGTTCGGCTTAAAGCTGCCTGCCCGCCGCCTGTCCGTCGCCTGCCCGCTGCTTGGCCTGGGTAATTGAACTGCAACCCATTCCACACTGGCAATCTGCGGCCCCGTCTTCGGCATTGCATTTTGTGTATCTAGATACCTTTGTCGGTGCCGGTGTCGCTGCCATTACAATTTGATGACAGCACAGCAGAGCACAGCGCAGCACCAGCAGCGGGCAACGAGTATCTTGGCTGCTTGTCGCTTGTCAATCTAGGCGCTGATAAAAAACGCAACCACGAAACATAAACCAAGCCAGCAACAGCAACAACAACAACAGCAACAAAATAAAAAGAAATTAAAAAAAAAAACAAGTGCCGTGAAACGTCTGCGTATCTTTGCTGCTTTTGGTCGCCGTGTTCAGTGATAAATGCATTTCATGCGTTCCAACTATGTAAATACCAATTTAATTTGAGTGTCTATAGTAAATACCAAGCCCCGCCGCACGCCCGCGCCCCTCCCCAGATACAAAGCAAAGCGTTAAAAAAGGCAGTCACCAGTTGGATTCGTCGTCGTCGTCGTCGTCCGACTGTGGGCTGGCCAACCAAATATTGAATATTTACACATGCGTTGAGTGGAGTGCATTTTCGAGTGGCTGCACTTACGAGCATACCCCACTGTGCTCAAGGGATATACCAAATACACACATACATACATACGTACGTGCATAGAGAGAGTAATATATCCAGAATCAACGTGAGTGTTTCCGTGTTTGTGTGTGTGTGTCGTGTTATCATATAGTTTGCTAATTGGCTCGCTCCGAAAGACTTCGAGACACTCGACAAAGAATTGACTGAGGATACCCGACATGGATATGAATATGTTGTTAACGCTCAATCTGGCGTTTGCTGTGCTGGGTAAGTGGAAAAAATAGATATAAATAAATATAAATAAGTAAAGATTTTAAACTAAATGGCACAAGAGAGTGTAGGACATGTGTAAGCAGTTGTGGTTGGAGTTGAAGTCCTTCAGACTCCGGCAGTAAACGGCTCGTATTAATACTGAGCACATATTCATGGTCAATTAAAAAAGTAATTGAACTCATGTGTAACAATAAGTTGAGGGCATCGAGTAGCATTCTCCATTTAAGTAATTAGAAATATGTCGACAATCAAATCAAACTTGAGAATCAATATAGAACTCTTATTGGCTTTTCTCTCTTAGTGCAAAAAAGTCGTCAAATAGTATTTAAGTAAATGCTTTAACAAGTGAAGTTATTAAAAAAAAAAATGAAAAAATAAAGTTTGTTGTGATTAAGTGAGACTCTAATCTAATACTAACTATTTATAGTATAGCTTACAGCTTGTATATATAGTATAGCTAAACGTTAGTTATTAAAGTTACATTTTAACTTTGCCTGAGATTCGAGCCCGGAACTGCGAATGGAATTTAAATGAAAACTTTGTTCATCAACTATGAAGCTTTATTTAAAAGCCATTCACTAGGCAACAACATTAAACTCAGACCATTTGAATTTAGCCTACCAAAGAAAAATATATATATATATTAATACTTGTAATACAAAGCCGGCTACCGTAATAAGTCGTCTCTATTTTCTATTTGCCTGCTTAAGCCAAGTAGTAGGTGCTCATTGTGCGAATTCTGTGCACTTCAAAAGGTTTGGCTTCTCAAAGAAACCAACCACATTGAGCTCATATTACGAAACCAAGCCGAGAAGTGAGCCGCCGGCCGAGAGACCACAGCAAGCGGTGCAATTGAATTTTGAAAGCAAACGGCGCGCAAAATGAGTCAATTAACAGGCAGCCGGGCGGACCGGGACCACAGAGGACCACAGAGCTAGTCGAGAGGAGGCCCCTGAAAAATGATGAGCGCAACTGCAAGGATATGCCGGCCAAGTTCAAAATAAAGTCGTTAGGCAAATAACAATGAGCAAGAAAGGCAAACAATGCCAAGAACACACACACACACACACACTTAGACAGACTACCAGGACATGCCGAGAAAGGATCTCCATTGACACTTGAAGTGAGACAAGCGACGCCGAAAATTCAGCTAATCAAATGCAGTTGACGCTCGGAGATTACAAGGAGCCATCGCAGCTGGCAGCGCAGCACAATTATGCAAAACTACACGCACACACACACAGATACACACGTATATGCCATATAAATGCCTGTGTGTGCGTGTGTTTTTGTGTTTGACAGGACACGCTGAAAACTGCCGACTGTTAAGTAGCACAAAGGCAAACAGCCGCAGACAAAAGGCAACCGGAGCCAGGCAACAGAGTCCCAGTCCGTTGTCGTTGCCTGTGGCATGGTGCACATTTGAAATCTGTGCAACGCTCAGCGTCCATTATTTGTATGGCAAATAATAAGGCAGTCTCTCTCCTTCTCTGTGCAAGTCTTTGTGTGGCACTCATAATTTGTTATTCAAGCGTGCAAAATGCGGCATGCAACATGCCATGCCACAGCCAACCCACACAGACACAGAACGAAATGTGGCCTGGCAGCTGACATGAGGCAGCAACTATATGAATATGCAACCCATAATACAACTTGCCCCCTTTTCAGACCAATGGCAAACTTTAAGTTCATGTCGAGCACTCATAATTGCATGAATTAGACGTGTATTGCAAATCTCTAGGGTCCCTCACACCGTGCATTGTTTCGTTGTGTTCAGATTAGATGGTCTGAAGCCTCGTTGAAACTACTTCAAATTATTAAACGAGTTTCTGGAGGTCTGCAGCTGGTGAGGGGGGTGGGGGGATGACTGTAAAAAGATGCCTCATAAATATATTTTTGAGCTCAGCTCTGGCCTTTGGTAAATATGAGCAGATGTTCCAAGGGAAAAGTTCGTTTGCATATATTTTTTTTAATTTATGAAATGAGTCGCGCATGCGTGGGATCGGATTTGATTTTCATATTCATTACCCAGTTCTAATTTAAGATTGGTTGAGGTAAACAAATTGTTATTAACTATAACATGCATTGTGTCCGGTTTAGTGCACACTTCATAGTTCCTTAAAGTGTAAGAAACAAGAATTTATTTAATACCAGCTTTGACTAGGTCACAGTTTTCTTCTTTCACCCATATTTCGGCCGTGGAAAAGTTAAATCTGGTTATACTACCTTGAACTCCACTTGTTAAATGAACATTTAATATTTGAGTAGCAAATCGGATAAAACTTGATACTTCGCCCATTTTTCACCTAAGAAAGTGGATATTTCGAAAAGTGCGAAATGATTCGGAATAATTTTAATAAAATTCATGGGTTTTTTTTCTATGTTGATACGGGAGTCGAAAGTTTTCTCGATTAATTAGAATTTAATATAAAGGTTATATTCACAATTTTAGTTTTCTAGCTATTATCTACAAGATTATCTAAATGATAGACGAGGCACATATATGGGCAGATAAATAACTCCTTGGATAAAGACACTTATAGATAATTTAGCATCAATTATAATATAAATACTTTTGGGATCGAAAATGTTTATTTCTATCTGTTACACACATCTTTTATTTGCTATAAAAACTGGGTATAAAATGACGCATCATTGCAATGACAAATTCTATAAAAATAAACTACGCACAAATGGACATCCTTTTGATTTTGTTATATTTTTTGGTTGTTTATTTTTGCCTTTTAACTTTTTTATGGTATTTCATTTCAGTTTACTTTGATTCTGTTGTTCATTTTGGCCCTGTTGTAAGCCCTACATCAAACTTTTGACGGGTAATTGTCATGCACATTCATTTCTCTCTCTCTCTCTCTCTCTCGCTCCCTCGCTTTCTCTATCTGCTTGTCTCTTTTCATTTGACTGTTTTGCTGTTTGGATGCCTTTCCCATGTTGACTTGCAGTTTTCCAAAGGTTTTCCCACTGCTGACTGTAAAAATGCCAGAAATTCTTGAGTGACAGTTGAGTTTTTTTCCTTTTTCTGTTATTGTTGTTTTCTACTTTGGCCAGCCAAAGCAAATCAAACGCCACCCATCGTGTCTGTTGGGGGAGTGGGGGCTGTCTCTGTGGTGGCACAGCCTCCAATAACAATAACAAGCAGCAGGGACTAGTTCAAGTGCTGACTGTGCTGCGTGCTGCCGCTTGAGGCACACGGATCGCTGTTTCAGACTCCTGATTATTACAGCGATATTTTCGCATTCATTGCGCTTAATCGACAAATGTTGCCCCACAATTTGTGGCAGACTCAGCAGTTGGTCGCTGACTGGCTGAATTCAGCATTGGAACTCGGACACTCGAATGTAGCGCAAACAAACGAACTAATTATCATCACACACACTCACCGAAAGATTGACCATCTGATAGACAGATAGGCAGGCAGAGACAGCTGCAACAACACAACACAGTTCATATACCCTTCTACAAAGTATTTTAATTCTGTCACCAAATGTGTAATGTGTGAATGGAGACATCTTTGACATAATGTATAGATATTCTAAATTAGTATCAACAGCCGCTTGCGTGTTTCTATCCAAATTAGTTTCTCAGTTTTAAGGCTAATGTCCCGAAACTGCATAGATCCATTCGTTCATAGACTGGATCGAACATCACATCATAAAGCAGCGATCGGTTTATGAAATACTTATTTGTTTTTAAACAAATATTGACCAAACTTGGCATTTATTTCTATCCCATATTCATCTATATAGCTAGAAAGAACCGATCGAAAAAGAATACAACAAATTTGTTTTTATATAGAAAAAGGATCTGTTTTCTAAGATATTTTCACCAAGCTCAGCAATTAGAAGCCTCACAATTTGTGTCTTCAAAAGCACTTCTAAAGGGTATTCAATCTTCGGCCTGCCCATCATATATTTTTATTTAACTCCATGCTGGTCCTCTGGTCCACGCACAACTTTGCGCTTGACTTTTTGCCCACGTCAGCGCAATCAAACCGAATCGAGCTCAGCCGTACCGGGGGCGCATATTTCTTTAATCGACGCCCAGTAACTGACGGCTCCTTCGATGAGTCTGGGGGAGGGGAGGTGGGGAAGGGCTTTAACTGGTTGCAGCAACAAATTAAATCGATTCTGCTCGGCTGACGGGGTCTGGCTGGGAGTCTCCCTAGCGCCTGGCTGACAGCCTTTGTGGTTCGACTTTGTGGCTCCATCTTTGTGGTGTATCATAACACGTCGCTGGCTATGTGACTGGCATCTGATTTGCCAAAAGCCCAACCAGCAACAACAACAACAACAACAACAAGATCAAGAGCAGCTGGAAATACAACAACGAGTACAAACGAAATGAGTTTAATGATGTTGCTCGCAGCTTTGGAGCGCTTATTGATTCCGTGTCCTGCCCCGCCTCATTGTGGAGCTGCTGCTGCCTTGTCGAGGTGTTTTCTCAAATTGCTTCAATTAGTGCCCAAATATAATGGTCTCCGTTTTGTAGTTGCTGCTCCCCTTGTTCCCTCCACAAGAAGAGCCACACGGCTCGAACCACAATCAAAAATAATCGCTGCTGAATTGCTTTGCCAAGTTTTCTTTTACTTAGCTCGCTCGTTGTTTTGCAGGTAAAACAGGTGTGTCTGTGTGTGTGTATGTGTGTTTGTATGCAGATTCTTGAAGCTGGCGCCTAATAACTATCGCTAGAAATTTAAACTTTATGTACAAAAGCGTGAGTTTAATCCACAAAAATATAATAAAAGAAATATATATACTGAATGGAATATATATAATAGAATCTAAAATGTGTACATCTTGATATATATCAACATTTATTGTACATTTCGCAGGGATTCAGTCTCTGGTGCAAATTGCAGTCAAATTCCAAATATTCGTCGTATCTTGGGCGAAGATCTTAATAGTATTATAATTTTTAATCCAATTTTTTTTTTATTATTGTTATTATAACTGTTTAAAATCGTATTTCAAATTGCGCCCATTTACAAAACTTAACTAGTATTAGGTTATCTAAAGATATGCTGAAAGATACATCAAGAAATTCCAACCTAACATCCGGTTCTCAGCTTATTATACAGTTCATTTTCAACTGTAACTGTAAAACTGTAAATGTAAATTCCAACTCTCAGTATACCTTATCTATAGAAAAATTGCCCAGCTTTTGTAGATATGCACAGTATTATTGTAACATATGCACATCCATTTTCATTTGCAATAATACCCTGGCTTTGATCATATTGTTTTCCATTATTTTTGCACTAAACCAAAAATAAATAATACTTGCCATAAATTCCATTTGCGGCCTGCTGATTGCATTAAACAATTCGCTTGCATTTTTTGCTTAACAGTATTTTTTATGGCCCCGACTTTTTAATTATGCTGGCTCTGTGCATCAGCACAGAGAGCTCTGCTGTGTTGTGCTCCTCCATTATATACCCTTATGCAGGGTATTCGAGTTTTATTACGAAATATGTAGGATACGCATTTTATGAAAACTTGTGCCTCAACTATGGAGTTATGCAAATCCGATTTGTAATCTTTATTAAAATATCTCTGATATCAATTAAAAGGACCCTTTTTGGTTTTTGAAGATAAGATACTTAGTTTATCAATACGCTTCAATATACAAGTACTTATATATTGTAAATATTAAATAAATTATTTTGTTTTACTTTTATGAAGAAGTTTTACATTTTAAGTCTTACATAAAACATATTGCATCATATGATTCCAATTAAAAGAAGACTTCGCTGTTTTAAAAAAAATATATATATGTATATCTAGTCAGTCGACGAGCTTCAATATACAACTACTTATGTCTTATAGATATAAGTTAAATTGATTTTTGTACTTTAATGAAAAAGTTTTAAACTCAAATACAGTTTCGAACTTATCTAATGCTATCTTATTACTATACCTTATTAAATTATTTATTTAATTTTAACAAGACGCGGGCTTTTTGCTAATAAAAGAAGTATCAATATGCTCGTCCTTAGCCCGCCATTATGCTCTCTGTGTAGGGTATTTGGAGTTCGTTATGCGGTCATAGCTGCCCTTACATGTTTCATACGTGTTTTTTCAGGCACATATTGTGTGTAATTTTTTGTGTTTTGCCGACACGCAACTGCGCCTGTGTTTATGCTTTGTAATTTGATGTTGTTGTTGCCATTTGGCGCTTAACAAAATTGCATTTAGCTTAAACACTGTAATTTAAGCAGCTTTAGCGCATTTAATTTGCTTAAACCACTGTAATTAAACGCAATTATGGTAAATGCAATTTTTGTTAATTATATTAAACTGATGTCGAGTCAACGTGCCCAACCCTTGCAGCTGTCCGAAAAAAAAGTTCAAAGTATATGGCCCTCAGGAGTTTCGGATGATGCCAGTTTTTGGGTTCTATATTGGGAGTTTTGGGTGTGTTGGGTTTTGGTATTATACAGAGTTTTTATGTAACTGTCAGTACAAAAAGCCGAGTCGTAATATATTAGTAGAAAGTACCAATAATGTTCTATCAGTATTCTAAATGTTATCATTATTATCTACAATACGCCAGCCAGTTCTTTGGAATACTATAAGGATATCTTAGGCATGCACAAGATATAATACCCATGTCGGCATTTCCTTTTGCAGATATGTATAATGAATAGTGAAGCTCGAAAATGCTAAGTTTGATGAAAACATCTTTGAAAGCAGAATATTTTGCCATATAAGTTCCTACTATTCAACCGATCTTTCTTATAGCAGCTATACTATATTGTGCATTCATTCAGGGGACATAATAAAACTTATAAATGTAAATGTAATTGTAAGATATCGTTTTTACCCAAAAAACTTTTCCATATAAGTACTTAATTTTCGACCGATCGTGCCAATGGCAGCTATATTATTTAGTTTTCCAATGTTGATAATCTACAAGATAAAGTGGTTCGTTTCGGCCAGCTAAGACATATGCACTACCTGCATCAGAAAGACGGACCCATGCAAGGTTTCAAGGCGAACAAGATTATACTGGGGTCGAGAAAATTAAATATATATGGAACAGAAATAATTAAACTATACTAGGGTCGAACAAATTTTGATTAAACGGAAAAAGGAAAAGATTTGATTATACTAGGGTCCAAAACAAAAGAAAAAATATATTTTGATTTAACGGAAAAAAAAGAAAAAATTGTATTTATAATTTGTATTATACGATTTGTCTCCTTCTATACGTTACAATATTCCCGACAAAATCATAATACCTTCTAAAGGGGAATAGAATATAAAAAGTTATATGCCTTAATGCAAAAGAAAGGGAACCAAGCCGACAATCTATCTGTTGGGTTTAGTATAAAGATGATATTCCTTGCCAGCTCTTCAAATATTAATACCTTTACTAACTTTTTCAGCACCCAGCTTGGCCAGCTCGTCGCGATTCATTCAACCGCCGCAGAGTCAGTCCATCATTGAGAACGATGCCGTTGACTTTGGCTGCGAGGCCACAGGACCCTCCAGCGATTTGCACTACGAGTGGTTGCATAATGGTGAGTACTGGGGACCCGGTGGCATCAAATCAACATTATACTAAGGCTGCACTCTACGCTGAATGCCATTGCAGGTCAGCAAATTGTGTATGACAGGCGCGTCGCGCGAATCGACTCCAATTTGCATATCGAGTCGGTGCAACGCGAGGATGCCGGCGATTATGTGTGTATTGCAGCCAGCGTGGCCAGCGGCGCCAGGCAGGCCTCGCCTCCGGCTAAATTGAGCGTGATATGTAAGTACCCAAACCCCTTTATGACTATGACTATTATGGCAGAGAGTATGCCAAAGACTTGTGCCAAGAAATATTTAACTACCTTTTAAAAACCAATCGCACGTCTCAGATACATATATATATATACATAAACTGTAAAAAAAAGAACATAACCTTCTTTTCAGAATTGAAAACATTTGTGTTATTGTATTTGCTTAAAAAACGATCTTTGCTGAGAGAATTTATATGCAAAGCTCTCTTTATTCCAATTCATCTGTGTGATGAGTTTTATGGGTTTGAAACTAGGCTGTAAAACGTTCTTAAGCCAAAACCTGGTTTGAGAACCGGGTGACTGGGTTTTTTGGTTCAAACCGTGGACCGAAAAAATAAAACAATATTTTTTAATCAACTAAAAGATTTAAAACAAAAGATACAGTTGTCTGAAAAATGCAGATAATAAAATGAATGAATAATAAAATTATTTTTGAAATAAAAGTTAAGCACATGTTAATTGACTTAATTTGCCCCAAAACTAGATTTTATGTCCACATTTGGCAACCCTGATTAGCTGTACTGCTGGTTTATCTGATTAATATCAAATTAACAAAACTTCCCCCATCTCTCACATTTTCTCGGCCATCTGACTTCCCTTTCCGGCAAGCTCTTTAGCCTGGCCAAAACCACAGACTGGAGAAGGTAAAGAGGCATAAAAACGCAACCAAAGCAACAACAATATAACAAAAGCAAGAACAAGACTGATGAAAGATAAAAACCAAAAACTTTTGATGTACATACGTCACGCACAACAACCTTCTGTTGCAACACAGCACACCTCCTCTCCTGTTTCCATCCGAACCCCCTGCCTGATCCGGCACAGGAAGTGCAGCGCAATGCAACGTTGCGTGGCCAAAAAGACAGACACACAGAACAAGAGAGAGAGAGAGAGAGAGAGAGAGAGAGAGAAGAGATATGAAGTGAAAAAGATCTAAGTGGCAAGTGCAGTTGCAGTTGCAGTTGTTCTTGTTGTGTTGCTGCTGCCCCTCGTCAGCGTCGGCGTCACGTGATTGATGTTCATTTAGTTGCATTGCCTTTAAGCAGAAAAATGCATAAATTTAACATACAGTCGTTGCCCCAACTCCCCTTTCTCTCTCTCGCACTCCCACTCCACCGCGTGCATGTAAACAAAGCGTGTGTAAGTTTTATGCACAATCTGTGCTGCATGTGCTGCATGTGTTGCAGTTGCTGCTGCTGCTGCTGCTGCTGTCAGCACCGCCGCCTGGTAGCTGATCAAAGCGGCTGCAGCATCATCAAAGACGCTGCAATCCCGAACTATTTATAGCGCCTCGCACAGCACTCAAGTGTTTTAGCTAATTAATTAACTAATTAATTTGTAGTTTTTCGAAGTTGATTTTAATGGCGGCAGCTGGCTGGGCGCGCGCTCCGTTGAAAGGTCGCTAAATATTTCGAAACGGGAGCGAAATTGTTTGGCACTGGGTGAAGAAGCCATGGACATTGCATGGCCAAGGGCTCAGTTGTTCCCAATTCCTGCAATATCTGCAAGCAGACAGAAACTATTGAAATATGCATGGACTCGTTCACAGGGAGCAGTTGCTGGGGTCAGATCTGCGAGCGCAGTCGCAATCTTTCCGCTAGAAATGAATGTTCAATTAGGCGCAAACAAAAGCGACATTTTGCCTGCAACATTAAACAAATTAAACAAAGAATACAATTTTGTTGGGGCATATCAATTGATTCAAGTCGAATGCGGCAAAACCCTTTGTGCTTGGTATCTGAAATATTAATTTTATTTTTATTTTCCTAATTTAAAACAAAAAGAAAAAGTTTTGTTATATTTTGTCAGACAGATTTTAGCGATGTTTCATTGTAATTCCTATAAACATATTAGTCAAATGTGAAAAATAAGAATTGGTTATTACATTTGTAAATAAAAGACCTGGATTTTCCGAGTGAGCCAAATCTGTGCTCTGCAAAAGAGCTGCCACAAAGGAATATAATTGTAGAGTTAAAATATTTGCATATGTCAACAAATAAATAAATACATTCTACAATGCACACAGATTCTTTGAATACCTCAAATAACAACTTTCCATCTATTCTGTGTGTATATCTATATCTGTAGAAGTCGCCTTGACTCATAAGTGTATTTAGCTAAAACTATGCAAAGTATTAGATACGTTTACAATTCCACAGAAAGGCTTTTGTTTATATCACAGCAAAAACAATGAAATAATAGAGTACCTAAATGCATTGGAAATCGAATGGCATAGTTGCCACGCCATGCAGAAGGCAATGTATAATCGTTGAATGAATTTCGCGCAGTGTATAAACTGATGGGTCGACCAGACAAAGGCAAAAAGACCACAGCAGCTGAGTAAAATCAAATGAAAGAGAAAGAGAGTATGGCCCGAGTTAGACCGTAGTCAGACCAGGGCCAGACAACTGGCTGCCAGTCAGACAGATGGACGACAGACGGACGGACAGAGAATTGAAGAGACAGCCCGAAACGTTGCAAGCACTGTAAAAGGGGTTGTTGGACTCTCGCTACAAGGATAACCCAAGGACCAACAGCTGAGCTGAGTTATGTATGTGCCATGACGACGGAGTTGGACGGAGGCGGGGTAGGGAAACGGTAATCCAAGGCAACGGGCATGCTGAAATGTACATGGAAATGAAATGCAACATTAACACGAAACATAAACATAAAATGAGAAATGGCAACAGCAACAACAACAACAACAACAAAAACAATGGCAACCCAACAACCGGGCAAAGTCATAAAAACCAAACAAAATGCAAAGACACAACACAAAGGGGGGCGAACGCGAATACGAGTAGGAAGCAGCGACGAGGACAAACCTACCCTGGGAGCCGCAATACCCCCGCATCGCTCTCCCCCCACCCACCACTGCTGTTGTTGTTGTGGTTGTTGTTGTATCTGTGCGCTACACAAGTTCAAGTTGACTGCAGTTGGCAAGTTGGGTTCTTATATTTCGGATAATTTTCATTTGCTGAATGCCGGAAAAACGCATAAAATTTTACGAGCCTAAGCTTGAAGACGTTAAAGTGGCGCAGACAGAAAACGTAGTCAGCTTTTTGGCGCGCGGCTCTGACGTTCTATCACTCTATCTCTCTTTCTCTCTATCTTTAATATCTATCTCACTTGCTCCATGGTCTATTAATGACACCCTGTACATAGCTGCTGAGATAAAAGGTATCATGTTCTTGTTTATACTCTTTTGTTAATTTTTTTGTTTTGTGAACTTTTTAAGAAAACGCGATTCAGAAATTTAATGATAATATCTTCAACTTGTGCATACAATGCACATATCCAATCGTAAAACTCCCTGAAAAATATATCTGCGTGCAATAGGATTGTCGTGACAAATGCATTTAAAAACCTGCCTAGGTGGCAACGCTTACTTACTGGTTGAATTGCAATGCCTAGAAGAAGAAGCACATAAATAAAATGAAGCATTAAATTTGAATAAATTGAATAAATTTATTTAGAGGAAGAATATTTATTTTGAAATGAAACATTGTATTTATATACAGGGCATCTTTTAGTCGACTAACTGCTTCGACTTTCGCCTCGACTTGTGGTTACATGAGTTGATCATTAGCAGAAAGTTTCTGCAATTGAGTTGGATCTGAAAACATTTTCGGTCTCTGGCAAAGTGCGATAATCGAATGTTTAACGTTTTAATTTGGAAACAGTTTGACGATGGAGTAGAACGGAGGGAGGTCAACTTTAATTAAAGATTCGCCAGCAAAGATAGTACACTGAGCACAGGGCTTAGAGCAAATGGTGCTCGCGGGTCAGTTGGTCATAAATTTGCCGTGAAAATTGCAAGTCAGAACAATGACAAAATTAATGGGAATTAAAGCTTTAGAATGGAACTGAAACTCATCCATTGCAAGCTACATATTTTTATATTACCATTTTATATCGTCTATGACCCTATAATGGATTAATATACTCTGAATCAAAATACCAAATCGGAAAACCTTATTTGTTTGTCCAGATGTTTGGAAAAAACCCATCAAATAGGAACTTCACTACCCTCCTTAAATATCTGATATACCACTATAAAAATGTCATATGGCAGCTAATGGAATAAGCGGTCGGAAATAGGAGAGTTTGTATATAAAATCACTTCGGCACGCTGCAGATAGACAATATTTTTAATATTTTTTGTAGTATCATACAACAAAATATTGCCCTGCACGGGTACAGATCGATAATGAAAATTAAAATCGATATTTTTGGTCAGGCTGATTGGAATTAGCTCACGATTGTAATAGAGCTTATTAAAGATCCCCACGATCTCCGAATGGGATCTGTATGTCTGTCGCAACCGTAACTGCAGAATTCGGTAATAGTTTCCACTGCTCTCCATTTTGAGCTTGGCTCGTAATGGGATAGGTATGTATTTCATTTTTGCTTTTAAGAATATTATTGCAAAACTGATGGGTTTCCCGGTTCGTGGTCAATTCTAAACTGAACCTTAACAAAAAACACCAAACCAATGTATAATATTACACTTTCACTTAAATATTTCTGTCAACGGCATTCAACTAGGGGATTCTTTTTTTAAATATTTACACATGCAAAAACTGCAAAAAAAAGGGGGATCCATGCCATCCAAACCAGACAAATCGAATAAATATTGGAGCTGTCGGACAGTTGCTCGCTGCTCTGGCACTTGACAATTTAAATCAATTGATGAATGAGAGCATTGATATCAAAGCGTGTATTTATCGATACATCGATACACACTTTTCGGAAATGCTCAATATTGGAATTCCAGGATTTCTTGATAAGCTTCAGTTGCGCGTCGATCGCGAAACGGGGAACCCATCAGTTTCGCAATTATATTCATTGAAGCAGAGGAATAGTGTGGTTTTAAAAAAAATGAAAGGCCTATCCCATTACGGGCCCAGCTCAAATATGTTGCAAGCTTTTGAGGAAAACTTTACTGACGAATTTTTGGCAAAAACTTATTATCCTCGTATCTGAGTTCACGCCAGTTGGATTACGAAAATATCAGCACAGTGCTCAGCACTTTGCTAAGCATTGAAGATATAAACACGCTGAAGCTTTATCTCCAGCTTACACAGTTTAATGTTATGGTTAAAACTTCTAAGTCCAGCCTTTACTTGGAATTGACAAATACGAAAGCTAACGTTGGAGATGTAGTGACCCCCGACTTTGACCAACTGGTGCTCGTCCACAAAGAGGATTTCTTAAATTTAAAACTATTGGATAATCGCACTCTGGCTCTGCTTCTCGGCAACCATTGTCCCCTATGTTTCGTAATCACGAAAGTAACGCGCAAATGTGTGTACTTTACAGTCGAGGGCTCTAAAAAAAAGTCCAAAAAAGATAAATTGAGGAAAGATTTCCCAAATGAATTTTTTACCAAATCTTACAATGTGATCTTTCGTCCTCTTCGAATTCCATTTCGCTTAATGTGCCTGGCCCTGCAACTGCTCGAGAATAGAACGCGTCGATATATTTTTCCTCTGCCCAATACCGAAAAGGTGGATTGGGAAGAGACAGTGCCTGAGAAAGTGCCAATATTTTCTTTATTTAATGAATCGATTGCAACAAATGCCGAACAGTTGCAAGCCGTTCAGCAGATCTTCGCTGGTCCCAATCCACAGGCGCCCTATATTGTGTTTGGACCCCCAGGTGAGTGAAGGAACGCTGATTGATTCGCTCGGCAGAGTAACTGAGTCAACATTTACAGGAACCGGCAAAACCACAACAATTGTCGAGGCCATTCTTCAAGTATGCCTTCAGGAGTACACTCGTATTCTTATTACGGCGGGCTCGAATTCAGCCTGTGACACAATTGCTTTGAAGATATGTGAAGTTATTGCCAGCAGTGAAAGATTGCAGGAGCTAGTTAAATATTCAAACGAGAAGAAAACGCTACCGACGTGGCGGCTTATTCGTTTCTATTCGCTTTTATACGACAGGAAGAAAATAGATCCGAACCTAAAGAAATATTTCAAATGTATCGCTGCAGAACGGAACGATTTTAAGTCGTTGTATAATTATAAAATCATTGTGGCCACATTGTGCGGCGTTGCCCGCATGAGATATTACGCTAATTTCTGTCCATTTACGCACATTTTCATTGACGAGGCGGCCGCATCATCGGAGGCGGAAGCGCTGATGGGCATTGCGGGCGTTAAGGACAAAGATTGCCATGTTATACTCTCCGGGGATCACAAGCAATTGGGCGCGGTCATTAAGTGCGATCGAGCTAAATCGCTTGGGTTGGGCCAATCGCTTATGGAGCGCCTGCTACTTAACAAGCTGTACGAAGTGGACACCAGTGGAAACTATGACCGAACTCTGCAGTCACGGTTGCGACAGAACTACAGATCCCATCCGGAGATCGTGGGGATCTTTAATAAGCTCTATTACAATTGTGAGCTAATTCCAATGGCCCCGCCGTCGCAGGTTAACCAAGCCGCCAAGTGGAGCGTGCTGCCCAATAGGAAGTTCCCTATCTTGTTCCAGGTCACGCATGGGATAACTGAGCGCGAGGCCCAGTCCAACAGCAGCTTAAACAAGCTGGAGGCACAGGTGCTCTGCTGGTATGTGAAGAGTCTGCTCGAAGACGGACTTGGTGGCGATATTAAAGTGCAGCAGGAGGAGATTGGTGTCGTAACTCCATATTTGGGCCAATGCAGGCTTTTAAAACTTATGCTCCGCCAAAGAGGACACCATAAAGTGGAGGTGGGCAGCGTGGAAAGCTACCAAGGTCGCGAGAAGCTCATTATTATTGTATCGTTAGTTAGTTCTTTTAAGCATCCATACTTTTTATCGAATCCTCGACGTATTAACGTGTTTCTCTCCCGTGCCAAATCTCTGATGATACTAATAGGAAATCCAATCAGCCTGGGCCAAAATAAGGATTTTGAATTTATCATTGGCCAATGCAAGTTACAAGGAAACTTTTTGACCAAGAAGAAGACAGCGAAGAGTAAGAGCAAGAAGACAGCGAAGAGTAAGAGCAAGAAGACAGTGAAGAGCCAATCGAATGAGCTTTGCAAAACTAACCTGCCAACTGTCCAGTTACAAGAAGAAGAGATCGATGATCAACAAGATAATCAAGATGAAGCTGGCGAAGTTGTTCTTCTAGATCTGCAGAATCAGTTGAATGAACTAAATATTTGTGAAGCGTCAACAGGTTAAGCCTCTGGCAGAAACTTAGTTAATCACTTTAATTTAAGCGTATTTTAAATATTTTGTTGACAAGTAAATTCTATCGATATTGTGATCATAAGGAGTCAATTTTGGTGGTTTCAAAATAGATATTTGACTCTCCAAATTTCCTAGTCAAGTTAAGTCCGAATCTGTCTGTCCGAATCCTAACTGATTGATTGTTAACGTACAGTCCAAACCGTACGAGCTTGGAAGCTGAATTTTTTACGGTAGTAACTACATGTGATGGAGGTTATGGGAAACTCCACCCGATCGGCCTCAATCTTATTTTGTAAAATCTTTCGAAACAATACGAGTTTCACAGATTTCGCAATAGTAAATGCGTTTCAAAGGTTGAATGAACGAAAGTTAATTTCTCAGCTTTAGGCTTCACTCCTCGGGAATAAATGGGAATGGAAAAAGTTAATGCTAATATAAATATATGTCGCAATGCAGCCATACCAGAACAGAGCTTTAATTTAAATACAACAGAAGCATAAAAATAGGTCAAAATAAACTGCTTAAGTGGACTAACTGAGTACAAATGGAGGGCTACAACTAATGTTGGCCACTTTGGACACCATTTCTATGGTTTCCTTCTTTTACTCTCATCGAAAGGCATAAAAGCTGACTCGATTTATGATAGCTATAAAATATTTTCACTTCAGCTCAATGGAGCTAATTGTCTTCCCGCGAACTAATCAATTTTCGATTATCAATTAATTAAATTTTCAACGGAATCAATAAAAATACAAAAAACAAAATAATAATATTAAGAAAAAAACGGTCGTAAAATGCAGGCAGTGCAGTGGGCCTTATCTTATCAGAAGCTACCGGATCCCACATGCATTCGACAAAATAAGCCGCAGTCAGCACACATACGAGGCTTGGGGGTTTGGCAAGACCTATGCGAAGACCAAGACCATGGTCTTTTAATGCATTTTAAACAAGTAAGATGGCTCTGGTCGGGAGTACCTAACTAGGGAATACCCTGAACACCAGATGCACTTTACACATTTGCTTTACCTTTTAATGGGTAAGAAGTAGCAAGTAAGTAGTAACAATTTTAAAAAATGGTTCAGTTGCCTCTGTTGGGGTCGAACTCGCAAGCACCTTCAACCGAGCGAACTCATAGCCATTGCGTAAACTAAACGTTTTTCGGAAACAAATACTGCCCGATCATTAGAAGGAGCTGCATGGCAAGATGGCTAAGAGTTGGCGGGCTAACCCAAAAAAATACATATATATTTGATGGGGGGGAAGACGCTTTCTTCTGGCGGTTACGTAAATTTGCACAAATGCATTATACCCATTTTCATTGGGTTCAGGGTATAAAAAGAAAAACAAACGGCTTTGGGCGTCAGCGATAACGGTGAATTGCAGCCACACCCCGTTTTCCAGTTGCCGGACAGTCGACTGTCAATTTCTCTATCTATATTTTCGCTGCCTGCCTTTCGACATTTAGTTTCATATTGTTTACCCGAAGGGAGTTGGCTTCACCTATTTTTCATTTTTTATGGTAGCCGGGCCGAGTCCAGATTGTTTACATCGCTGTGGCTCGTGCTCGCCCATCTTCTAGTTGCCAGTTCCGCTGGCATGGTTCAAGAAACTGTTTTTGTTTTGAAGCAATTGGAACCGTTGCTTATATGTATGTTTACCTCTCCGCCCTGCCTACAATATCCCTCATTCATCGTTGCATGCAACGTTTGACTGATGGCTGCCTCCCTCTGCGGCGCTTCACACTGTACATCCAGCGCGTTGGAAATACATAGGTGTTAACAGATGTGCCTATCGGTGCCTACATCAATCTAGTGAGACATTTTTAATTACTGACTAGATAATTCTAATACAAATTTCAGTTTTATTTGGGTACAATTAAACATAAGTATGTGTACATAATCAGCCATTTTGTCCGATTGCTAACTCATTTTAAATACCCTAATGGATATGAATTTAATATCTGCTGTACACTTTTGCAAAGCCCACCCCTCTGGATATAAAAAAAATGGTCAAAAATTGCAAGAATTTTATACATATGTATTTCGCTTAAAACTTGCACCACGGGACTAAAATAGCCGAAAACATTGAATTTGGTTGTGGTTCTTAATTCGAGGGACTTTAAGCTCATTTTCCAATATCTGTCATCCATGTTTCGTATAACCTTTTTATTCCAACTACAGTAAAAATGATGAAAATGTATCGTAGCGAATATTTAAATTAAAGTTATAATATATTTATGTTCACTTCTAATGTACATACGTCAAAAGCAGTCTTTACTTGTGACGTCATGCTTAAAAGCTAAATGTGCAATCTATTTAATTTTCTTTCCATTGTGCTTTAATATTATCATGGCACACGCATACATATACACCGGCATACAAATGTGTATGTATTGTTGTTTTTTTTTGTTTGTATTGTATGTATGTTTGTATTGTAAGGCATTTTACTTTATATTAATAGTGCACCGAAACTCAGATACTCTTACTTTATTTAATTGAAATTTATTTTGTGTATATTGTTTTTGCGCTTTGTGTTTAATAATGTAATATCCCTAATATCAGAAAAAAGTCCTTATATAGTGAATTATAAATATAAATATCTCATTATATGTACATATATTCACATATGCATAAAATAAATCAATTACGTTTAGAAACCACACAGGTTGTGTCAATTTCCAAAAGCTAAGCACATACGTTATATACATATATACTAATCTACTCTTTTATTAACCGTAAATAACTTACGTCTACTGTACTCTTAAAGATAACTTGATTGATAAAGAACTGCAGTCCTACATTATTTATTATTCTTAGAAAAGGTCTGAATGGTCCTCCATACACAAACACCATTTTAAATCAAATACATACATACATCGCTGAATCATTTCGTTTGTACAAATCTTTAGCTGACTGCGAAAAGATTATTTTGAATACCACCCAGAAGTGCAGAGAAACGAAAGTGGACATTGAAATCAAATAATCTATGAAATATGTAAATAATATAAATATTCATTTGGCTACTTCTTATCTACATATGTATAATTAACTGATCTTTAATGTATGTACTCTGGACTAGCGAAAAATACATACATATTACATAAATATAACTACTAAAGATTACAGATTTATATTTATCTTTTAAATTTGGTACATAATAATTTTACAAATTCACTTATAAGGCGCGATTGTAATGCAACTCATATTGACTCAAGCACCAAAGAAAAACAATATACATATGTATGTATATTTGTATATGTATGTATGTGTGTCTATTGCTTTTGCACTTACCATACAACAAAGCATATGACTCTCTAACTCTCTGAGCAAGTGAGCGAGTCAGCGATTACTGTACCCGAGCAAAAGCGGTCTTTCTGTTTCAGCTGTCCCATCTGCATGTTGTATAGTTAGTGCTCTAAACAATACTCTTTAGTTACTTAGAAACAAATCGAGCCATTATAACTTTCTGGCAATGCAAATAAGATCCAAAAAGAAAATGCTTTATCTTGAAATAATTTTACACAATACACAGAAGCAATGGATCTTTTTATATAAATGCGTTACGTGTTGTTGCTATTGCTGTACGTTTTCAGCTGCTTGAAATATTGCATGTATACGATCCAACGAAAACTCTTTGTAGGGTATGACGCGCTACGCTCAAATATCGTTCGCTACGCGGCGAGAGCGCATTTTGTCTCTCTTCAATCTCAACTGACGCATACATGTACATATATATTTATATGCACGGGCGTGTATGTATCTGTAAAATTTTTGCTTAAGTTGAATTTTGTGATTCCCGTTCAATTTCAATTGCGATCGCAAGCTGAGTGTGATAGAGTGTCTGTGCTTAGTCGCGCTGCAAATTATTAATAATTATAGTTAAATCTGTTTTGTAAACGATTAAATTGACTTTACCATCAAGAAAATGAACGTGCCAAGTAATTACGCACCTATCGAGAAGATGTTGCGTGCCTTGGAGCTTAAATTTTCCGACGAAATTCTTGGAGAAAACGATGCTACATTTGCGTCTTACTTGGTGTCTCGTCAATTAAGCATCGAAAATGTCTGTTCCGTGCTCACGACGCTGATCAGCATTGAGGATATATCCAGAATGTTGACATTCGCAGAGCTCATGCAGTTCGACGTTTCGATCAAAGAGACTAAAAACGGCAACTGTAGCATTCCGCTGCCTAAAAAGAATAGTCAGTCAATATTGATACCCTATGTAGACGAAGTTTTGCTGCTGCCCAGCGGTACTCTGCAAGCTTCGCTAACGCCAAGGGAACGAATTGTGAAACTAACGAGTATAAGCGGTTTTATTCCAACTACAGTAAAAATGATGAAAATGTATCGTAGCGAATATTTAAATTAAAGTTATAATATATTTATGTTCACTTCTAATGTACATACGTCAAAAGCAGTCTTTACTTGTGACGTCATGCTTAAAAGCTAAATGTGCAATCTATTTAATTTTCTTTCCATTGTGCTTTAATATTATCATGGCACACGCATACATATACACCGGCATACAAATGTGTATGTATTGTTGTTTTTTTTTGTTTGTATTGTATGTATGTTTGTATTGTAAGGCATTTTACTTTATATTAATAGTGCACCGAAACTCAGATACTCTTACTTTATTTAATTGAAATTTATTTTGTGTATATTGTTTTTGCGCTTTGTGTTTAATAATGTAATATCCCTAATATCAGAAAAAAGTCCTTATATAGTGAATTATAAATATAAATATCTCATTATATGTACATATATTCACATATGCATAAAATAAATCAATTACGTTTAGAAACCACACAGGTTGTGTCAATTTCCAAAAGCTAAGCACATACGTTATATACATATATACTAATCTACTCTTTTATTAACCGTAAATAACTTACGTCTACTGTACTCTTAAAGATAACTTGATTGATAAAGAACTGCAGTCCTACATTATTTATTATTCTTAGAAAAGGTCTGAATGGTCCTCCATACACAAACACCATTTTAAATCAAATACATACATACATCGCTGAATCATTTCGTTTGTACAAATCTTTAGCTGACTGCGAAAAGATTATTTTGAATACCACCCAGAAGTGCAGAGAAACGAAAGTGGACATTGAAATCAAATAATCTATGAAATATGTAAATAATATAAATATTCATTTGGCTACTTCTTATCTACATATGTATAATTAACTGATCTTTAATGTATGTACTCTGGACTAGCGAAAAATACATACATATTACATAAATATAACTACTAAAGATTACAGATTTATATTTATCTTTTAAATTTGGTACATAATAATTTTACAAATTCACTTATAAGGCGCGATTGTAATGCAACTCATATTGACTCAAGCACCAAAGAAAAACAATATACATATGTATGTATATTTGTATATGTATGTATGTGTGTCTATTGCTTTTGCACTTACCATACAACAAAGCATATGACTCTCTAACTCTCTGAGCAAGTGAGCGAGTCAGCGATTACTGTACCCGAGCAAAAGCGGTCTTTCTGTTTCAGCTGTCCCATCTGCATGTTGTATAGTTAGTGCTCTAAACAATACTCTTTAGTTACTTAGAAACAAATCGAGCCATTATAACTTTCTGGCAATGCAAATAAGATCCAAAAAGAAAATGCTTTATCTTGAAATAATTTTACACAATACACAGAAGCAATGGATCTTTTTATATAAATGCGTTACGTGTTGTTGCTATTGCTGTACGTTTTCAGCTGCTTGAAATATTGCATGTATACGATCCAACGAAAACTCTTTGTAGGGTATGACGCGCTACGCTCAAATATCGTTCGCTACGCGGCGAGAGCGCATTTTGTCTCTCTTCAATCTCAACTGACGCATACATGTACATATATATTTATATGCACGGGCGTGTATGTATCTGTAAAATTTTTGCTTAAGTTGAATTTTGTGATTCCCGTTCAATTTCAATTGCGATCGCAAGCTGAGTGTGATAGAGTGTCTGTGCTTAGTCGCGCTGCAAATTATTAATAATTATAGTTAAATCTGTTTTGTAAACGATTAAATTGACTTTACCATCAAGAAAATGAACGTGCCAAGTAATTACGCACCTATCGAGAAGATGTTGCGTGCCTTGGAGCTTAAATTTTCCGACGAAATTCTTGGAGAAAACGATGCTACATTTGCGTCTTACTTGGTGTCTCGTCAATTAAGCATCGAAAATGTCTGTTCCGTGCTCACGACGCTGATCAGCATTGAGGATATATCCAGAATGTTGACATTCGCAGAGCTCATGCAGTTCGACGTTTCGATCAAAGAGACTAAAAACGGCAACTGTAGCATTCCGCTGCCTAAAAAGAATAGTCAGTCAATATTGATACCCTATGTAGACGAAGTTTTGCTGCTGCCCAGCGGTACTCTGCAAGCTTCGCTAACGCCAAGGGAACGAATTGTGAAACTAACGAGTATAAGCGGTTTGGCTTATATAGTTTCCAAAGCGACGAAAGAATGCGTTGTATTTCGCAGGCGCCACAGCGTCATTTCACCAGAAAACTTTAAGAACCACAAGTTCGATGTGATCTTTCGTTCTCCGCGAATCCCGTTTCGTCTAATGTATCGAGCACTAAACCTGTTGTCGACATCCCCAGAGACGCGTCGCTATCTGTTTCCACTTTCGACTATCCCGAAATGTCCAAGCCAACTGAAAAGCTTCCCCTTGCTCAACAATAACATAGCATCAAATCCAGAACAGTTGAAAGCAGTACAGCAGATTGTCGCAGGGCCCAATCCGCAGGCACCCTACGTTCTGTTTGGGCCCCCAGGTGAGTGACTGAGCACAGGTCCGCCAGGTGAAATGATTAATCAATCAGAAATCAATTTCAGGCACCGGCAAGACCACAACGATTGTGGAAGCCATCCTACAATTGTACCTTCAGAAGAAAAGTCGTATCCTTGTAACAATAGCCTCGAATTCAGCATGCGACACGATTGCCTTTAAGTTAATCGAGTATATTGAAAAAGATAAACGATTTCAGGAACTTGCCCACCATAAGTATGTGCTGCTGCGCTTGGTTTCGTACACAAGATTTAGGAAGAGCGCTAAATCCATGAATCGGCTGGTGCTGAGGTACTCCAACTACGAGCTGTTTCGGGCAAACAAGAAAAAGACCAGCAAATACATAAAGCAAATCGAATTGGAGGATTGTGGAATCGTCGTGGCTACGCTGTGCACAGCCAGCATGCGAGCTGGCCAGAGTCCACATACATTTACACACATTTTCATTGACGAGGCCGCCTCAGCCTCAGAGCCAGAGACAGCTATGGCCATTGCGGGCATTAAAAGTCGCGAATGCCACATCATACTCTCCGGGGATCACAAGCAGTTGGGTCCGCACGTAAAGAGCGGTCGCGCTGTGACATTAGGATTGGATCATTCGCTTTTTGAGCGTCTAATGAAACATAACATTTACGAAGAGGATGACAGTGGTGCATATGACTGCACATTGCAGTCACGATTGCGACGCAACTTCCGAGCGCATCCCGAGATTGTTGGTATCTACAACAAGCTATATTACAATAATGAGCTATTGGCAGTGGCCCCACTGTCACAGGTTAACCAAGCCGCCAAGTGGAGCTTGCTGCCAAATGGAAAGTTTCCCATTTTATTTCAAGCTACAAAGGGCGCCATGGAGAGCGAAACTAATTCAACCAGCAGCTTCAATAAACTGGAGGCAATGGTGGTCTGCTGGTATGTGATGAGCTTGCTCAAGGAGGGACTTGGTGACGTAAGGGTCGATCAAGGGGATATTGGCGTCGTGACTCCATATTTGGCCCAACGCAATCTTCTGAAGCGTATGCTTCGTTTAAGAGGGCATCCGAATGTTGAAGTTGGCACTGTGGAGAGCTACCAGGGACGTGAAAAACCGATTATCATTGCATCGCTTGTGAGTTCCTTCAAGAGCACAAGCTTCCTGTCCGATCCACGTCGCATCAACGTGCTGCTCTCCCGTGCTAAGGTGCTGATGATACTAATTGGTAATCCGATAAGTCTGGAAAAAAATTACCACTTTAAGTTCATCATCGATCAGTGTAAGGCAAACCACAACTTTTTGGAAAATGTGGAGAAATTTAAGGATGACAGCCTTGAGGGGCTTATAAGCAAGATGAATCTGAAGGATGATGAAAGTGAAGACAGTTGCAGCTCATCTGAAGAAGATGATTAACGTTTTCTATGTGTCTTGTAGACTTTTGAATACATAAATACAATGGTTTATTTTCCTTTTCATAAACAAATTCAAACAAATAAATGTCTAAAATTAAAATAAATTTTGTTTTATATCACAACCCATCGAATGCAGTTTCATTTTGAGAGTTTTTTTTATGGCTAAGAAAGCTGCTAGATGAGGGGAAGCTAGCAGTAGCATTTATCCATGGAAAATGATTCTTCGTCAACTTTACAAAAGTGTGTAGCTAGTCCCGGTGTTGTTTTGTGCGGTGCTATTCTTTTTGCCACAAATAACTATAAAAACGAAGGAAAACAACTTTTCCAGTTAACTGGTTTGAACCGAACTGGCTCGAACCTGTAATTTTTAAATGTTTTTCCTATTAACCGAACTAGCTTAAGCCTAAATCAAACGATGCTTGCAAATAAGGGTTTACATTTTCAAACAAACGTATGTACATACATATATACATATGTATGTGTGTGCACAAACATGTGCTCTATCTTCATTTGTAGATGACACTATGTAAATGGTGTGCACACTGTACAGGCACTACCCATACATATATGTGTGTATGTACAGTATATGCGTTCGTGTGTGTGTACTGCAAATGTCATGCTCCGAATTGATCTTTATCATTGGCGCCGGCTATTTTGCTCGGCGAATTTCATTCTAAGAAAGAACCCAAAAAAGTTCTGACACTCATTATTCCTGTATGTACATATGTACATACATATGTATGTATGCATATGCATGTGTACATGTACATGCTTATACATATTTATGTACATACATATATATGCAGTACTTATTTACAAATCGAACACTAAACATGTTGTTGTGTACAGTTTTAAAACTAGACCCCAAAATTTGCTAAGTATATTTGGCCAGTAGAATATTTGGCAAGTAGAAAGCTTTTTGGCAATATTTATTTTTAAAATAAGAAAATTCGAACCAGAACTCAAATTTAGAGATAAGGAAAGCCAGGCTTATTTTTGATATGTTTTATTTGCTTTGCCAAGAAACAGGCTTATGAATTAGATTTTAAGGCTAAACGTTGTTTTGAATTGTGAATACAATTAAATTGCTTATCAGAATTCTTGCTGGTAGGTTATTATTATTATTATCGATTATTATTCAACTATCGGACATTCGTCCATTCCACCTGGATGGTTAGAATGTGTCTTCCAGAACGTCTTGCGAATTGTGCACTGTTAAAAAAAACGTAGTAGAATCGCACCTCCGTCGGAGCTAGCAACCGCTGGTTACTTTGGAACAAAAATCAAGGTAATTGGCGAATAGCACGCCAGCTCCTTCAGCAAAGTTTAAACAAATTAGTTTACTTGGGAGTCGTTGCAACCGTTGCTTTTCTGTTAACAACCTCACCGCCTCGGTTGTCTGCCAGCTCCCCCATTCACCGTTGCATGCAACCTGTGACTGATGGTCGCCTTCCCCAGCAGTGGCAGCTCCTCCCACTCTGCGTTCGGTGTAGGTGCTAACAGATGCGCCCATCGGGTTGTTGCTGCTGACGTAGCATTCATCAACCCAATGAGACGATTCTTAATTAGCGACTTGGTATCCATTAGTCTAGTTTGATTTACAGTTGGAACTTCCTCTTATTTCCCAGAGCCAGAGCTCTTATTGCTCCAGGCCTTGTTTAAAGTGCGGCTTAGCCGGAAACATGGATTTTCTGACAATTATTAAGCTTAAAAAAATTCTAAATTTTAGGCCTGGACGCTAGCGCTCTTTTTTGTGGTAATTAGATATAGTATTATTTAAATTATAAAAATTTTATAGTTAATCCTAATAATAATAATAATAAATAAATAAAATTTTAGGTTTATTAAAAATGCTGCAATACTTTATGCAAAAAAACTTATAACTATTTGCTTGTGGATATATAATTAAATTAAAATTTCTTTTGTCATGTTTTGTGTATTTCCATATTTGCGTTTTGAATCCTATCTCTTACTTATGACTCCGTCATAATTTTTATAAAGTATACATTTTTATCTATACAAATATTTGTTATGCTCAAGAACAAAATGAACCTGCCCGCCACCTCCGGTGCCGCCCAGCCAAATGGTTGATATATGTTTTATGGATATTTTGCTTTGCCTATCTGAATGTTTGCCAGTTCCAGCGAGCACAGCCGGGTTCTGGAACTGGGTTTGGGCCTATTTCCGTGTTGCCTGCGGTTTGGAGGGCGCGTTAGAAAATTTACATATGCACATAAATCTTGTTTAGGCTTTGACTTTGTTTGTCTCAGCAGAGCGGCAGGCAGCGCGAGAAATGCCTCTAAATATTTGTAGATACTTATTTGGTGGCATAGAAAAAACAAACAAGAACAACAACTTGCAGCGACAGCAACAACTCAATAAACATTGCTGTGCCGTCTCGGGTTCCACAGCTCCGTCGAGGAAGTGTCAAAAGTTTGAGATGTATTTGTTTTTGTATTTGTTTTCGCTTTGTGTCTGTGTGTGTGTGTGTGTGTGTGTGTGTGTTTGTGTGTGTAGTGGCACGTCGGCTGGCGACAACATACTGACAGATACTTTGGCTTGGCCACGTTGCCCAGCGGCAATAACTTTACGTACAATGTTACGGCCAAAAATGGCAGCAGAGTGAACTAATTGGCACTTAGACATCACACATGCAAAAAGTATCTAATGGAAAGCCAAACAAGAACCTATGAAGATGAAGTGCACAGCTGTGCTTTTACATTTGGAGACTACTTATTACAGCGCGCATCCGACAGGAGAAAATGAGCATTCAATCCAGGGAAATGCGGACTTGGCTCAATTGTAGTTTTCAGAGCAGATGCGCCAAATTATTTGCATCATAATTTAAGTTTCTATGAAATTTGATTATTTGTATCTAATATTTAGCTTAGATAGGTGCAACAGATACACAACTATCTCATAGATACTTTGGCATATTTTAAGTGCTGAACTAATAATATACTCTTATTCACAGAGAAAAATACTTAATATATTAAAAAGTATCTGTAAAATACAACATAAATTTTATACACCCTTTAACATTAGTAGTTTCAATCAGAAAAGATACGAAAGTTTTTCCCATTATGTTGCATGCAGATATATAATTCTATTTACTCAATAATATCTCGTAGATACTTTGCTCTGCGAGGAACTCAATCGTTTGGAAATCTGATATTACAGTTCTATATTTAATTAACTATTCGAAGCCTGCTAAATGCAACTGGATCTTTTCGCTATGTGCACATATTTACTGTATGTGGATATTACACCTAGCATGGGGCTGGATTATTAAATACGTGCCTTAAGCCAAATGCTATGGCAATTCTATGCCAGCATTGCCACGCCCAGTAGCGCGCCCTAAAATATTATTTCAACCTGGAGCCGGGCATTGCACATTCTTCTTTTTATGCGTTTGCCACAAAATGTTTTCTCATGCTGCAATTGTTGCCAAGTACCGTTCGCTCTTCGTTCACATTTCGTACCCCAGCACGCTGTTTGGCCCAGACGGCCAGGCGAAAAAAAAGAAGTTTCCTCTTTTTTATACCCTGTAAAAATGAGTATAGCAGGCAGCAGATGTCATTCAACCCTCTTATAGCTCAATTTGTTTTTACGAAATCGATAAGAATCGAACATAAGTTGAGAATATTTGATCATGACACGAAACTAAATGCTGCCATAGATATCAAATTTAATACGAATACGAAGGTTTGTACAACTTTCCCACATTCAAGTCGAAATATTATCGGAGATATAGCCTGGGGCTTTGATATATATCCACACTTTTGGAAGCCATATTCAAGTCTACGCCTAGTGTGGGGCCTAGTTACAGGGCATCGCCTGGTCGGTCACTCCCGTCTATAGCACCTTCTGCTTGCACACATATGCAGAGCTGCGAAGTATTTACATAAATCCAAAGTGAGGGTACGAGGAGTCCGACCCTAGCAACTGACTGACAGTTCAATTTATGCTTCCTCTGCGCCTCAAATGGGCTACCAGGCAGCGATAAAAGCAAAGATTGCCGCATCGTGTTTTGCCCGTTGAGGCTGACTATAAAATGCACTTAATGCAGCGGACAAGAAGCAAAAAAGCGAATTTCACGCTAAACAGCGAGCTAAGAAATGCATTAAAACCGAATGTATCTTGCGGATATATATTAACCATATTTATGGAATGCTGGGCGATTTAGTTGCGAGGCCTGAAAGAGTCGTTGATAATTGATTAAAGTAAACTAACTATACAATGTATTTATTTTAATATTATAATTGATTGAAACATAATTTCTAGCAATGTTATTGTATGTTCACTGAACCTCTATCTGATTGTTTACTCTGTTTCTTTATAATTATATTTGTAATTCTTAAGAGACAACACAAACAAAGATTTAGTCAAAATATTTCGATGACGAGTGCAAAACTGGACGCAGCAATTATTATTATTTATATTTCAAAGAGATTATGGGTAATTCAATATGAATCTGGGGGAAAAAAACTGTTTACTTCATTTTTATCAGTATCAATAATTAATATTAAATATGCCATAAGCTTAGGATCAGCCCTCGCTCTTGAGCGCGTTAACTGCATAAATGAAATTTGTTGATATGCCTTGGCTATGCCCACTTATTGATTGCATTCCTTTTTTGCAGATCTGGACTCGGCCAGCGTGCAGCTGCTGGGCAGCAATCGGAACGAGCTGCTGCTCAAGTGCCATGTGGAGGGCGCCTCCGGCGACGAGCCGCTGCAGATTGAATGGTATCGGGACAGCGCAAAGCTTAGCACCTGGCAGAACGTGGAGCTGCAGCAGCATCGACTGCTCGTCCGTCAGCCGAGCGGCGCCGATGATGGACTATATCGCTGCATTGCGTCCAATGCGGCGGCACGCGTGATGAGCAAGCAGGGCTATGTATATCGGCATCAGGCGAGTTCGCTCGGTGTGGCCAAGTGCCTGCCCAGGCTAAAGAAGAACCAGAAGTTGCCCGATTCGTGGGGCAAGCAGGTCTTCTTGTGTCGCGGCAAGCGCGGCGGCTCTGGCGGCATGGATCAGGCACTGTCGCTGCCCCCGTCGCCCGAAGGTCTGCGCATTGTTCAGGGACCCAATGCCAAGCTGATTATCAAGGAGGGCGACTCGGCAGCCCTGAGCTGCCTCTATGAACTGCCCGCCGAGCTGCAGAATCAACGCGTCCAGATGCGCTGGCGCAAGGATGGCAAAATCTTGCGACACGTGGAACTGGGCGAGGCACTAATTCCTGGCCTGGCGCTCGACTATGGCAAGGATACATTGCTGCGCGAAGACGGACGCCTGGTGCTGCATAAGCAGAACGGCACGATGAGCTTCAACAGCATTATTGCCAGCGATGCGGGCCAGTACATGTGCCAAATACAGCTGGAGGGGCACGCGGCAGTCAACTCCTCACCCGGCACACTGGAGGTCATTGAACAGCTCAAGTTTATGCCGCAGCCAACCTCTAAGAATCTGGAGCTCGGCTCACTTGGCAAGCTGCACTGCAAGGCACAGGGCACTCCCACGCCGCAGGTGCAATGGCTGAGGGTGAGTAGTCAAGGGTTCGACATGCAAATGGTTGATAAATAAGTGCAGAGGTTAATGTATTCAACGTGCGAAGGAAAATAAAATGAGGGCCCCTGCTCAAGCACATTAGTACCTCTTTGCTGCTATAACTCTTTGAGAATTATACGTGTCCGGCAGCGTACAACAACAGAGACGGCAAAACCAAAGTCCAATATGCAAATTAGTAGCTGGCAATAGCTCTCGGGTGATCAATTCTGTAAAAGTTGTCTAATATAACTAGCAAGTGCTATGCGGCGTTGCCCGGCTTTTAATTTCATCTGTAGACATTTCATATTCGTAGACGAAGCTCAGCCAAATATCCGCTAACAATATTTAGGTAAATTTGAATATAAATTCGAGTGAATCGAATTGTGCATAATTACTGATAATTTTTCTAAAATGTTCCTTAATATTTAAAAGCATAATTAAGATTTCATTGCTAATGAAATAATACTTTTTCGCATGACAAGTCACAAGTCGCTTCCACTTCACTGAACTATTCCAGTTTAAATCTTTTCGCTCGGCCCTCGATTGGGATCACAATTGAAAAAAACGCAGCGCGACGCTGTGCAAACGTTTCTATCAACAAACATTTCATATGCAAAACTTCTATTGAGTCTAGCTGGCTAACTGGCAGCTAACCCAACCCTCGGCAAGCCTCTTTCAATTCCCCCTTCCCTCTTCGCTTTGGCGTTGTTTGCAGCTGTTGTGCGAGGAGCAACCAATTTTGACAACTGTTTGTCCATTTGCCGGAAAAATTGTCCAGTGAAAAACAAAAAATATCAAAGCTTTTTCATTTGCGTCTCGTCTAAAACAAACGCACCCCTCGGTCAACAGACCCACCTGCTCCTGTCAAGGTTTTTGCATTTTAGATGAAAACGCGTCGAGCTGGGTTTGGAAATTGGTTTGTAATAGTCCATGTACCTTCTGTTTATCTGCACAGGATGCGGCGAATGGCTCTCTGCCCGAACACGTGGACGACATCAATGGCACTTTAATATTCAGGAATGTTAGCGCCGAGCATCGCGGCAACTATACGTGCCTGGCCAGCAATAGTCAGGGCCAGATTAATGCCACTGTCTCCATAAATGTGGTGGTCGCTCCCAGGTTCAGTGTGGCGCCCGTGGGACCCATCGAAACGGCCGAGCAGGGCGTGGCTGTCATACACTGCCAGGCCATTGGAGATCCCAAGCCGACCATACAATGGGACAAGGATTTACAGTATCTGAGCGAGAACAACACGGATCGCCAGCGTTTCAGTTTCCTGGAGAACGGCACACTCGCCATACACAATGTGCAGGCGGAGGATGAGGGCAAATATGGCTGCACCATTGGCAACAGTGCAGGCCTCAAGCGGGAGGAGGTGCGTCTGCTGGTGCGCGCCAGCGGCGATGGCTTCATTACGGAAGAATCGGCCGGCGATGGTTTCCTTGTGACGCGCGCCGTACTCATCACGATGACCGTTGCCCTGGCCTACATAGTGCTCGTGGTGGGTCTGATGCTGTGGTGCCGCTATCGGCGGCAGGCACGCAAGGCGCGGCTCAATGAGCTGAGCATCAAGGAGGCTGGCGGCGATCAGGCGGAGCCGGGCAAAAGCAACGAACAGGAACCCTGCCTGTCCAAGCAGCAACGCAACGGCCACAGCAAGTCCCGTGCCGCCAATGGAGATGCACAGAAATCCGATGATACCGCTTGCAGTCAGCAGTCTAAGGCTTCCAAGAAATCCGCCCACATTTACGAGCAACTGGCGCTGCCACGCTCCGGTCTCAGCGAACTAATTCAAATTGGACGCGGCGAATTTGGCGATGTGTTTGTGGGCAAACTGAAGGCGTCTCTGGTGGCAGCCGCTTCGCCAGGCGACAAGGATGCAGACGCGGACAAGCAGCATAGCAACAGCGAGAATGGCAGCGGGGCCAGCGGCAGCGGCAGCGGCAGCACCACCTTGAGTACTCTGAATGAGAAGCGACGCTCGAAGACCTCCATGGATGACATTGAGGAAATTAAGGAGGAGGAACAACAGGAACACGAGCCAGCCGAGTCTGCCGCCGATCAACTGGTGCTGGTCAAGGCGCTCAACAAGGTCAAGGACGAACAGGCCTGCCAGGAATTCCGTCGCCAGCTGGACTTGCTGCGCGCCATCTCGCACAAGGGTGTCGTCCGTCTGTTTGGCCTGTGCCGCGAAAAGGATCCACATTACATGGTGCTCGAGTACACAGACTGGGGTGACCTCAAACAGTTCTTATTGGCCACCGCCGGAAAAGTTAACACGGCCACAGCCACATCCTCGCCGCCGCCACTAACCACCAGCCAGATGCTGGCCGTAGCTTACCAAATAGCCCGCGGCATGGATGCAATCTATCGCGCTCGCTTCACCCACAGGTAAGACCAACCAAAAAAAAATATTTTAGTTAGTTACGTTAGGATCTTTAGGCAGGAGTTTAAAAGAAAACAGAACTACAGTATATATTTTGTACTAATGATTTAACAGCCAGATAAACTAGCTGCTAAATTTAGTATGCAATTGCAGTGTTGCCACCATGCAAAAGAAAACGGCTTGTGTAGGCCGTTAAATAGATATACTAACCTTGCCGGATTTTCTACGAGATGTAGTCAATTTCTCAACTTGAATTTAACTTATTGTCCACTGATGGGAACTCAATATATTCAATATATCAATCGTTAAGATATAACTTAGTGATAGTCATTAATCGGTTATTTTTCAAATTTATTGTGTACCCTCCAACAGAGACCTGGCCACTCGCAACTGCGTCATCTCCAGTGAATTTATTGTTAAAGTCGCCTATCCGGCCCTGTGCAAGGACAAGTACAGTCGCGAATATCACAAGCATCGCAACACGCTGCTGCCAGTGCGCTGGTTGGCACCGGAGTGCATACAGGAGGATGAGTATACCACCAAGAGCGACATTTTTGCCTTTGGTGTGGTTGTGTGGGAGCTCTTCAATCAGGCCACAAGGCTGCCGCACGAGGATCTAACCAACGAGCAGGTGGTACAACGTGCACTGGCCAATACACTGGAATGGTCCGTGGCCGAGGGTACGCCAGACTGCCTCAAGGAGATTTTGGTACGTACAAAGCAGGCGGGCGCATTTCTCAACTATTGACAGCTAATTAATTTGTTGTCCTATCTATTAATTGCTTCTTCTTCTGCATACCCCACAGCTCTCCTGCTGGTTGGCCAATCCCAAGGAACGTCCATCTTTCAGTCAGTTGGGCGCTGCGCTTAGCAAGGCCATGCAAGCTGCTGAGAAGTAGGCGCGCCGGCGTTGCCAGACCGATGACTGACTTAGTGTTGGTAAACGTTGAAGCAAGAAACAGTTTGCTAACTACGCCAAATATAATTTGTAGTATTCTCTTAGTATATGCATACATTTATATGCATACATACACACATACATAAAAACCGGCTTAAGTTAAGTTTGATACATTTTCGAGGATAAGTCGTGCATTGAACTGAGTTATTTTCAAATGCTAGGCGCATGTTCAACATGCGTAGTAATAATCGTAACTTAAAATTAATGTACGTATTTTAATTGTATAAACCATAAGCATTGATATCTTCTCTAAAGTATTTACATACATACGTGGTGCTGCATAAAATATGCAGCAAAAATGTAAATAAAAACTGCCACAAACATTTGCATTTAAACCAGTTGAAGCATTTATAGCCGTAGTCTTGGCAATTTGAGGTATTCCAAGAAATATTTCAAAACTAACCCAATGAATATAGGATTATGCTAGGCTTAAGTTGATTTTATTACCTAAAAATTTTAAGCAATACGCAAAATATACATAAAATATTTGTGCAAATTACAGAAAATACACAACAATTTAATCACAGCGTGTATTTTCATTTTGAAATTAACATTTAAGCCAAACTTCAATTTAGCGTGACAACTTTTAAACATATTATATACATCAATTTTCTATACAAACATACATATTACATTAAATACATTAAAATAGGCATATAAGCATGTAAGCCGTAAAAAATTTATAACTAGCATTTTAAGCTTTGATGCATGTTTACAAAACATTTAAATGAAATAATAAACGCAAATAAAGAAAATAAGCAAAGCCCAAACTCGAAATCATTTTAAGTGCTTAACCCAAAAAGCGACAAGGCTTACAAAAAATAATATAAGACCAAAGCCGAAATGCAAATAGCACAGGAATTTCTTAGCCAGTGGTAGTCGACTCGAAGATACTCTGCAAATATTTTGCAATATCTTTTCTAGAAGGAAGAAATGGTCAATAGATCGAACAGCAAGATTCGCAAGATAAATCTCTATAAAGTTGGAGTTAAAAGCAATTTGAAATATATTTGAACTATAACCCAAGAGATTATTTAATATTCAATATGTTTCACAATGTGGATTTGGTAAGGGCAAAACTTTAATTTTTAGTTTTTTTTTTTGCCTTTACTTTACTTTTTTTTAATTTTTATATATTTTCAGATTTTTTGTTAAATAATCCTTATGTTGTTATTATTCTTCTTTAAATATTTAATTTGTTAGATTATAATTTAAAAAGTCTAGTAAATTTATTGCTCATATAGTTCCTGAGATTATCCAGATGTAGTTTCAGATAAGTTTATGTTACTTGATGTATCTGCTGATGCTCTCTTCTCTCTCTTTTAACTTTTTCAAATCTTTGCATATTACAGGGTATGCAAAATAACCTGCTACAACCCACTCGAGCTAAGACTGGGGCGTCGTGTCCTGAATTGGGGCTGCCGGCCCCTTGTTAAGCTATGTAACTACTTTTTATAGACATTTCATTTGGCGTGGCAAATTTGTTGACGGCCCTTCGAGCACTGCCGCGATTTGGCAGCCCGTTCGTTCACACTTCACTTGATTTGAAAAATGAGCATCTATTGAATGTCGGATTGAGAATTCGGTTTCGGTTTCGATTTCGGTTACAGGCCGCCTGGCAAAACAACATGGCAATAAACCGTAAAGTTGCCTAAGCTTATTGGGGCTTAAAGTTGGCCGGAAGTTGCCTAGGCTCCGGCGCCTACGTTGCGCAAAAGTTTGCCGTGCGAAAAACCTTAGCAGCCAGCCGAGCGATATTTGCATTTGAATCAACAAAAACAACACCATATACAATGAGCTGGCGTTTTTTCTGCTTGCCAATTGTGGGCAGCTGTGGAAAGCTTTGGGCCCAAGGAATAGGCTGTTTAGCATTTCCTGGCACGTACAAATTTTCTGCCATGAATTTCAAATGCCTAAGCGCAAAGGCTGATTGAACAGTTCCCAGGAAATGTGCCAAAAAAAAGGAAGCATACCCCTTTGAATAAAACGAATCGATAATACTCTTAACATTTAAATACAAGGAAGTTAATATACAAAAAAAAATATAAAATTTGTTTTAATTTTATTATGCATCGAAAAAATAAGAGACTTTAAATGATATTTTTAGTTCAAAATTTTAATTAAATATTTGCATTTCTTATGAGATTTTTCAGTCTTTCAGAATTTCTGTCATGAAAAATATGCTAACAAAAATATGGACCTAATTAATGCTTCTGAGGCAAATCTTCGATATAATCCGATATCAACGAAGTTGGCTTAAATAAAGTAATTTGAGAAGTTAAAAGAATAAATATAAATTTAATTATTAATTTAATTTAAATTAATAATATATTAAATCTATATATTATCAAAATTTATTGAATATCTTAAACTTACAGAAATTTAATATTTTAATATTTCTGGGCTTGAATACTTGACTAGAAGTTAGTATCAGCTGGTTCTATATATAAAGACGCTTTGGAACTTTATTAAACTTAGGTATTTGCAAATACTAAATTTTTAACCAATTCTGTAGAGACCTGTGTGTATGTTTGACCGAAAGTTCAACATGTTCACAGCCGCCTTTATTTATATTAGGGTATCTTGAAAATCTTAGACGTGCACTTGGCTTAACAAGGACCTTAATTTGATTGCCAGCCGACAGTTATGAGAAATTAGTAGAATAAAAATACCAATAAATAACGGTACAGACAAAACAAAGATGGCTGACCAGCTGCATAGAGGAAAACCAAACACATTTAGCTTATGTTGCCGCAGCCTGCATCCCGCCTGGTTGCGGCCATGAATAAATCAATGCAAAATGCAGCTGAAATTCAACGTCAACGTCAACGTTCGTATTCTGTGTTTTGCATGGCTGATGTTCAAAAATGAAATTGTTGAAAAATACATGAAGCCTTGGCGCATGTGGCGTATGCGCAATATTTTTGTTGTTGCCTCCCATGTATTTGGCCATGTTAGCGGCAGCTGCAACAACAAAAGCCTAAGCTTAACAGTATTTTTTGTACATTTACATATCACACACATACTCACATACAAAAATGCCATTCAATTTATTAATATTATGTATGAGCGCGAGTGCAAATGGCTTTGCCAATTGAAGCGTAAAATGTGCATTACTCATACGCCGCGTGTGCCGCACACACACACACACGCGGACACAAACACGAAATGTATGTGTCCCCCAGCTGACCTATGGCACTTTATTATGCCTTTTACCTGTTCAGACATAAATTACACATTACGCATACGACGAGTAAATTTATGCAAGCTAAAAGTAAATGTTTGGCAAATAAATTACGCGCAAAATTAAGGCATTTTGTATGCGAGCTCTAAGTGACTCGGCAATTGACTGCAAACTCAACTCGTTGCCAAAACAAACTAAAACAAAAAAAAACAAAGCCCCAGATTGATGGGCCGCAGGCAACTTCAACTAGCAGCTTCCACCAAGGAGCAGGAGGCGGCAGAGGGGCACAGGGGCACAGGGGCAGAGGGGCAGAGCCTCATTATGTAGTCGCCGAAAACATATTTTCGCATTCATCAGAAGGCAAAAGTTTTGCAGCCGCCTGCCAACTTCCTGGCACATAATTGAAGCACATCGCAGACTCATTTGTTACCGACTCCTCCCGCCGCATAATCATATTCCTGTCAGTTGGCGGCGGAAGGGGGGGCTGGGGTTAGGGCTGCACATTTGATTGCTTGGCCCGGTTTTTATAGCATTTTCATTTGCAGCGCAATTAGTGTGGCAGAGTTTTGACAAAGTTTTCGAATTGTGTTTTTAGGCCAAGCGAAATGAGCAGCAGCTGCATTTATGAAAGGGGTAAGTTCAGCTGGAGCCGCGAACAGAGATACAAAATTGACGTTGCATGTGCAACATGTTCAGCGGCAGCGGCAACTCATAACAAGATGGGAAACCAACCCCAACCCAATTTGGAGTCAAACTCAACGTTGTCTGCCTTTATCAAAACTTGACAAAATCCCACACGTTGCGTGTGACTAATTTAATTATTTTATTCAGCTGTTAAAAATATTCTACTGCAGACTTTCAGTAAATCAGTGTGCAACAAGCCAGCCACGCCCATCGCTCCGCAGCCCCCACGGCTGCGCCACGCGCCGCGGCTGCAAAGCTTTTCTCGAGCGTATAAATTTAATTAAATTAGTTTCAACTTGCGTAAGTCAAACCTGTGCCATAAAAAAAAAAAATGTGCAGAACATTTCATATTTCTTCGCTCGCCCTTACGAGGGCTGTGCGAGGCAAGCGGGGCGTGGCCCAAATGTAACCACCCCAATGGCAATCAGAGTCACGTTTTGGGCCAGCCTGGCGATTCGTTGACGTTGATGCCACTTTATGATTATTATTAGAAGATTATGTTTGCTTAATTTCCAACAGGGCCTCACACTTTTCTGTTCATTTCAGTCGAGCGAAGTGACAATGGAAGAAATTGTCGAATATACAAGAAGAAACCTGCTCTTAAATTGTTGGCAAATGCTTGGGAACAATTTAAAAAGTATACAGAGCAAAATATATATATATACCAATTTGAATGCCAAATTCCCAAATTAAAGGAAGCCAAAAATATAATAATTAAAGCCAGAATTGAAGCCTGAAACGAAATTGATAAGAAAATATAATAATCGCTTTATTTGAATTGCTGAAAATATTATTTCAGCCTTTTTTAAATGACACTTAATTATTATAATTTTTATATTTTTTTGGATTAATATTCTTTTATTTACAACTAATATGTTATTACTGTAGCTTAGCAACCTTAATCAGCGTGAGGGATGATTATCAAGATTGTTTTATATTCAAAAAATAAACGAAATTCTAATTAACATAAATATCAACATATAACATAATTCTAACAAACTTAATTGTCACATTTGAGATTAGAAAAAAAGTGTATAGCCAAGGTTCTAACAAAAAGGTGTGGCAGAGGTTTTAGCTTTGTACTAAACCCCTGACAATTTGATTAGTTTCAATCGCATTATCAATGATATTATTATAATTAATGTAAGTAATGCAAGCAAGAGCTTATTTATAGATAGGCTTATGTCTTGTATTATAGAGCATGGAATTCCAGCTCACATGATATTCTGCAAAGATATTACTTTCATATTTAAATCCTTAACTTTAGCATCCCTATAGATTGGCTTCACAGTCACATTAGCCCATTATCAGCTGTCTCAATGCACTGATGCCCTTTTGCACAGCCTGAGATATTATGACAACTTATTGGTGGAAGTGCTGCTAAGGCGAAAAGGTCATTGAAATACACAAAATAGGAGCTGGAAACTAATTAGCGTTAAATGAGGGTTAACTGCCAAAAGCGCCTGA